ATATTATGTTTTATTATTAGTTGTTTTATAAAATTCTTTATAACTTTAATATTAATAAATAATATTATTTTTTTAATAATAGTTAAATTTATAAATAAATATTTATTTATTCCTATATTGGTAAATATTTATAAGTTAAATTTATATTGATTTATATTTATTATATAATTTATAAAAAATGGATTTCCTTTAATATATAAAGTTAAAAAGTTTTTTATATTAATAATTTTTAATATAATTTTTAAAAGGGAGTTTAATAACTTTAAAGTTAAGCATTTTTTAATTTATTACTTTTAAGGTTTTTAGTTATATTATTATTATTATTCTTTTTATCTTTAAAATGGGTATATAGTATTATAATATAAGCTTTATATTTAATATTAAGTTTAACTAGCTTTAATATTTATTTATTTTTAAGGTAATCTTTAATAATATATTCCTTTTCTTTATATATAAAGTAATATTTTTATTTAATTAACTTTTTTAATTTATTATAAGGTAGGTTAGGTTTAAGGGATCTTAATGAGGAGTTTATTATTAGTTTAAGCTTATTAAAGTTATTTATAAATTAATTCTAATTTTATTAATAGTTATTAGTATTATTATTTTTAATATTAAAGTTAAATTAGTTTTTTTTAATTATTTTATATAATTTATTTATTATATTAGTTTTAGTTATATTATAAATAAGTTATTTATATTAAAGAATAAATACTTTAAATTTAAGTTTATTATTAAAATATTTTTAAATAATTTAGTTTTTAATATAAAAGTTTAACTAATTATAGAATTTCTACTTTTAGTCTTTTTTAATAAGGTAATATTTTTTAAATAAGGTAAACGAATAAGTTTTTAAAGGTTTAAAAGTTAATAAGGGTTTTTATTTTTAATTTTTTAAATTTAGTGTTTACCTTTTACTTTTTATTAAGGTTATTATATTTTTACTTTAAATGTTTTATAAATGCTTTAAGTATTTTTAATTGCTTTAGGTAGCTGTTTTTAAGATAGGGTATAAGGTTTTAAGCTACCTTTTTATTTAAATAGAATTTAATATTAAATATTTTAAATTGTTAAATAAGAAACTAGTTTATATTATTTTTAAAATGGTTAATTTAATTATAGTATTAAATTATAAAATTAATCTTATTAGTTATAAGGTTATTAAAAAAGATAAATATATTAATTTTTAATAACTTTTTTTTTTTAGTTAATTATTTTTATTAAAGGAATTAGTAATAGATTTATTTAAATTAAATTTATTAAATCCGCCATTAAAACCATTATTGGAGTTTAAGGATTATTTATAGCTTTATATAATAAAATTAATAATTAATGAGTTTGTTTTATTTACCTTTGCTTTTTTATCCTTAATTTCTTATTATATAATATTAAATATTACTTTTAATTTATTTAATTATTATTTTTTCTTTTAATAGACATTTTTAATTTAGGTTTTTATAACTTTAAAGTTAAAGCTTTTAATAAATATTTAATAATAAAGGTTTTAAATAATAAGGTTTTATATTTTTATAATATAAAATTATAATGCGATTTTTTAAAATAGGGCTTTATAATTAATCCTATATATATTATTAAATGCTTTTTAATTTATTATTTTATTAAATATAGGAAATATAATTCTTTTAATAGAAGTAGCTATTTTAAAGTAGTAATTAATAGTATTTTTTTTTAATCGTATATATTTAATTATTATTTATAAAGCATGTATATTTATTTTATAACGGACATTATTTATATTAATTATATATTTTAAAGTTAATATATCCTTTTTTATAATAATTTAAAATTTCTATTAATAAATGGGGGTAAGCTTTTTTTAAGCATTTAAAAAGTTATTATTTTTAAATTTAAAATAGCTATTAATATAGGAATCTTTAAGTAGGTTAATAATTAAAGCTTTAAAAAAATAATAACCTAATTTAATTTTAAAGAGTTATTTATAACGTATATATAGTATTATTATATTTTTAAGGTTAAACCTTATAGTTTTCTTTTTATTATTAAGAGTAGGTAACGCATCTCCCATTTGACCTGGCCACCCAATTGACCTGGCCACCCCAATAACCTATATAAAACCCTATTATTTCAATCTTTAATAACTTTACGAATATTAACCGTACGATTCAATAATTAGTACCTTTAAATCTGTTAGTTAAAGGGGAATCCAGAGGTATTTTTTACTATTTTTTACAAAATTTATTAAGCGAAATATTAAGCAATACGCTAAAGGAGCGCTAAGCAAGGATTAATTTAGCGCTTACTTTAGTGTATTGCTTAATAGCTCCGCGAATATAGGTCGTAGAATTTAGTAAAGGGTACCGTTAAATAGCTCCTTCTATTACGAATCTAATGGTATATTTTATTATTTCATACGATTAGTATTCGTAGAGTTATTAAATTATCACGTGATTAACGCACCGACGTTTATTGTATGGGCTAGGGGGGTGGCCAGGTTAATTGGGTGGCCAGGTCAAGTGGGAGATGCGTTATACTTAATTTAAATATAATGGGCCTATCTTTTAAAAACCTACTTAAGGTAAATAAGTTAAATATAATCGGTAAAATAGGTTTATTTTAAAATTAATTTATACTTTTATTTAAGCGGGCTATATTATATTAGTTTTTATTTTAAAAAGTAATTATTTACTTTAATATAAATTACTTATAGGGTTTAAAAAAAAGTCCAATTAGTAGGTCTTTCCGTTAAATGCTAATAAAGTTAATAGGGTCGTTTAATTAATATAAATATAAAGCTTTTTAATTATTAGATTAATTTTATAATTATTATAGTTAAAATATTATATATAAAATAAAGTTTATATTAAGGTATTATTTATATATTTATTATAAGATAAAAAATAGAGGAAATATTTTAAGTATAAAAAGTATAGTAAAGTATTTTAATATATATAGCGAAGCAATAGTTATATAATGATTATAATATGTATAGCAGTATAGCCATTTAGGCCTTAAGCCCTAGGTGGGTTACTAGGCCAACCACTGTAACTATATATATAGGAACTTTTAAGAGCTTATATATATAAAGAATATAAAAGGATAAACATCTTTTAATATAGTTATATTTGCTTTTTTATTTATATTATTTTTATGTTTTTATTTTTATTTTATATATATTTTTTTATTTTAAGCTTCCGGGCTTTTATATATAAAGAATAAAAAAAAGGAAGAAATTAAAAACCTATAAAGTATAATATATAATATATAATGTATAATTTAAAATATAAATAAAAAGGTACGTTATATAACAAATATAAAGGGCCTTCTATAAAGTAATATTTCTTTTATTTATAAATAATAACCTTCGTTAATTGATGAGGATTGATGGCTATACTATAATATGAGAACTTTGGCAAATTAACTGTGGTCCCGGGGGTTATTTATGGGTACTTGGGGGGTCTGCTATGGGCTCTTTAAGGGCGGTAGGTTATAAGGGCAATACGCTACGCGTAGCTATCCTTCTATTCGTTTTTTGTAGGGCGGGAGCAAGGGAGTTACTATCGATGAAAACCGATTGCTTTACCTAACCTGGGAGCTCTAGCTGCCGTAAGGCCCTTGAGGAGCTCTGTCCGTATTTTCTAAACTACTCCGTACGGGCTATTTAATGACGACCTATAAAGCTACTTCGGTTTATTTGGATTACTTGGTGACCAGTTACAGTTAAGCCAAATACAGATTCTAGCTAAATAGGTCAAATAAGGCCAAAAATGGGCTCAAATCAAAGAAAACAAGATAAAGACAAATTGCTTGACTTGTTTTGACTGTGTGCAGCGCTGCCTAACTAAGCCAAGTCATGTTGATCTATTAGCAAAGGCAGCACGAAACCAACAACCGATATAAAATTGGGTCTGCAAAGTACGGAGCCTTCGTGGCGTTTAAAAGAATAGGAGCTCACTATACCTGTAATAGCCTTTTGACTGAAGCCTGTCAATCAGGTGCAACTCGATTCGGTAATATTATCCATCAGCCGCCTTATGATAATAATATATCAAAAAGCTTTAGCAACTTGATTTTATGAAAGAAATTTTATAAGACAAGTTCTTCTACATCGAGGAATCACCGCACTTAGATTAAAGCAATCGGTAGATTCAGCGAGTGCGACAAATCAGTGCAATAAGAAATATAAAGAAGGCGGTATAAGCCTAAAGAATAACAGTTACTTCCCGAGTATTAAGTTTAGCGCCTCTAAAATCTCAACTATATATATCCATATCGTCATCCATAAAATCCGCTCATTTTACACACCAGCTTAACTAATACAGTACAAAATACACGTACATTTATCAACTCACCTTCACACTCATACCACAGATTATGTTTCTCATTGATAAGGTTTAGCTAGTCACTTAATTGTCATGGCGTTGCATGATATTGGTCTCGTGTTCGTAAAAGTGACCCATCTCTTGAAAGACTCCGGTAATGAGATTCAAACTCACTAGCTGTAGACAAGCTACCCCTGCCCCTCATTGTAATACAATATTGTTAACATAGCTTCTCAACGAGAGCTTTCGTGGTGTCAAGTGCCGAATCTTCGCTTTCATAAATTTCGGGCGTTTTCTTGGGATTGAAATAAGTGTCACCGAAAATATGTTATAGGTAGTTGAGCTAGGACCGCCAGATCCTGGGTAACAGATCTTGGAGCAATCTATTAAACCAGGTCTTTCAGGTCTACATGTATTACACTTACAAGGCAGGGCCCTCCAATACTTGTTTGTGTCATACTCAGTCGACAATGACACCCATTGGACTGCCCCAGTCTAACGGGTTTTGTGTAGCCCTTTCTACCGCGACGTCTAGATTACTGGGTCTCTTAGCTAAAGGGCGAGGACACCTTGCTAGACTCCCACAGACTTGGTCGGTGTCAAGTCCTATCATCGTACAAAGTGAGTGTACGAAGGTTTTGTCCCTCACTTGTGCTCGTTCTATGCACGCTGTAGTCTGTGCTGACTCATCATGCGGGGACCTTATACCCGCTGGCATCTGTTTTGCAATCTGCCTGTTAACCCCTTGCATTATATCACATCAATTCGAGAGGCTATTATGGCACCGTTATAATATACTCCAACTCCCTAAATCAGCCTCCGGTTGATGGATCCGGACATCGTTCCGTATTTTTACACTTTATGGTACGTGTTCCTATTCGCAAGAACTAAAGTTCGCTACATGATAGCCCGAACGCACGAGTCTGGGGTGGAAACGGGAAAAGTATATATGCATGTTGCTGGTTTTGCAATGCTTGCAATTCCCTTGCTCATATTACAGAGGCGGCATTGTCTGACACTTAGACTCGAAAGTCTTTTTGAAATGTTGCTGTATCTGTGGCTATGCATTGTACCATTGGCACTCGGTGCTTCATGGATTGCCCCTGGTGCTGTTTGGTACGATACCGATGGCAAGAAGATCAACGCACATGGTGGCGGCATTGTCCAACGTGAAAGCACATTTTACTGGGTTGGCCATTCAGCCGAAAGTAAGTTTACACTTCGTCCTCTCTCGAAGCTATGAATCCTGTGCTAATGATGGTCCAAGATCAAACGCCTATGATGTATTCGTCCACGGATCTCATTAATTGGAAAAACCTGGGGGCCCAATCTACCGTGTCGGCGATGTGGAGACCTAAGCTCGCGAAGCCGAACGGTTCATTTTGGGTATTTGCTCCTGTTTTAACTCTAAGACTCACATTTATCAACTAATTCTCTGTGGAGCTCTTTGGTCAACAAGATCGTTATAGCTTATCCCTGAAGTCATCCCAACTGAATGGGGGCTATGTGCAATCTGCCAAGGTCTACCTTCCGCCGAATCTTTACAGCTATTCAGACACAGGAATGTTTCATGACCCCGTTACCGGTAATTATCGACTGACGTAACAATAATCAGAAATGAACTAACGCTTCATAGATACGTGGTACCTGTTGACGAGTGCAGACCACAACATTGTCCAAATCAACAAAATAAATGCCGATGGAACAGTAGGCGCTCAAGCTTCGAGCCTAAGTATGAGAATATCCAGTCTGGCCACAAGACAATGTTGCTAATTCAAGATAAGTCGCCGGGGCATACGAAGCCCCTGGCTTGTTTTACGCGGATGGAGTGTACTTTTTGATCTGTTCTGGAAAAACCGGCTGGAGAGCAAATCCTAACAAAGTCTTCTGGGCTACCTCGATAGCCGGCCCATGGACAGGAGGAACTGACATTGCGCCTTCAGGCGAGAACACTTACGGCTCCCAAAATACCTTTGAACTAACAATCTCCGGATCCCAGAAAACTACCCATATCTTTATGGGTGATGCATGGGATTCAAAAGGTGGTGCCAGCTCCAACTACGTTTGGCTACCGATGACAGTTGATACTAGGTATGATTTGATCAGACATGGCCTTATTATATCACTTGTTCATTAACCTAAACCTTCTTCTATTACAGTCGTAAAAAAGTCACACTAGACTACCACGCCATGTGGGCAGTCGATGTTAAGACTGGTGCTATCTCATCAGCAAAAGCGGACAAGCGGTACGAAGCATACCACGTGCTTGGAAAGAGAACAGGTACGTCCCATTTTTGACACATTGCTGTAACCTATCCTGACGTGGAAATCTCAACAGCTGGTGGATTGAACGAGATAACTTTCCGCAATGTCACAGGCACCGGAGCTATGCAGTGGCTAGCCTTTGACTACACAGTGAACAAGCGAAATAGTAGGGAACCTTCCTAACAGCCACTTGTCAATACACGCTGACCATATATCGCGTTAGCTGGTGAGGCATATATTATCGTCAACAATGAACCACCCGTGAACATTTCGAGCTTGAACTCGCGGGCTGGATACCACCACTTGGTGCCCGTGCAGCTAAAGCTTGAAGCTGGCGATGACAATACTATTGTGTTCGGGTCTATGGGACAGGATGGTATGCGCCTTACGATTTGAGTACTGGGACCTAGCTGACAGTTTGATCTAGATTTCGAGACGACTATTACTGGGATTGAGTCTTTTTAATACAAGTTTAAACTTTAGTAAAACTTGTTGCAGAGGTGTTCAATTCTATAGATAGGGGCAAGCAAACGAGCGCACACCCAAGAGTTAACATTATTATAACTATGTACTCGGATAGTTAGTGTAAAGTCATAAAAACAACTATTATAGGGAATACCAGTTGTTCTTGGGGTAGCGTGTTTTAGTTAGAGCTTAGACAACCGAACCCTTTTCCCAAAGACCGATCGCTACGGACTACGTACGGCAATCGGAGAATGCTATCAAGACTATATCTTCAACTCTATGTGAGCGAATATAGCGTCTATATCTAATTATCGGTAGGCAGCATTTCTAAGACGAATTGAGCTATTTGGATCACGAAGATGACCTGGTAATCCTTGTCGAGGCTTTAGAGAAATTCATGGCATACACAGAATCTATCGTCGAGGAATGTGTATTGCGGCAGCAGAAATTCCGACCTAAGGTAAATACTCATATATATTATAGTGAAATTAAACCTTACTGACACATCGGTTTTCCCAAGGCTCTTGGATATCCGGTTGACCACGTTAGAATCACATCTGATGAAGAGTGGTATACTAAGTGTACCAAGCCTAAAGGTATACTGTTACACGTAAGTGACACCTGTACGCTGTTTCAACTGTAGACTTCGGTGTACGCCTTCGTATTCGCGCATGTCTTATTAACATTGAACACGAAGGTATTCAGCCCTCGCTTATTTAAATCAACTGTATAACCATGGCAGTTAGTCATCTTCGAAATCGCTGTATATAGTGCTAGGTCAGGTCTGAAGGAGTCAATCTAAGGACCCAGGCAAGACCTTGAAGAGTATTGTTCAATTGAAGTCATCCTTCCAAGTCCCATACAGCCCTTGTGATTGATGAAATGCAAAAGTCAACGCTAATGCCACTTTGGCACTATCGCAATATTTCAGCAGTGATAATGTGCGAAGCTGGATCTACTATGACACCACTCTGGGCATGGTTGTTAGTGCAAGTAGCAGAATGATTTATTAGTGTAGTAAATAAATGGTTTATATGAATATAATTATGCTTGAGGGGATGTTCTTACAACTTCCCCGGGATCAGGTGACCTAACCGGCAGTAGACTAAAGGAGCACTTGATACCCCTATTATCAAATTTGTTTGTTACTCTCTCCACCTTATGACACCCCTATGAATATTGCAAGTCCCCTCTGGAGGGAGGCTAACGGCTAGGGCCCACCCGTATGGCGACGGGCCCGGGTTTTAGTTAGTAGACACGTTCGCACCGATGTTGGCCATATTGCTTCTTATTCTTCTATTTATATGTGCTAGATCGCCCGCTATTCCTCCTGCATATACCTAAGTGCTATGCGTGTCGTGCAAGCGGGACGCATAGTATTCCAAAGACGAACAATATCTCACATGCGTCATTGTAAGATTTCAATCATAGCCTCTTATCCTGTTAGTCGCAGAGAGTCCAGTAGTCTCCCGTTTGCCTCGTAGCAGCCGTCGTATCCAAATCAAGAAATCCATCAAGGCCGTGTCTCCGCGGAGCCGAAGGGATACTTCTCAATGGACCACACACTTGGAGACCGAGATCTTCTACCCGCGGGCAACCCTGGACCCGTAGTTACGAAGCGATGCTCAGAATATGAACAAGATTAAGCGCCAGTGACCAAGGGATGGCGGCCTTGGGCTCTCTTTTCAGCAGTCTGCTTCACGACGTTGCTCTCCGCCATCAGATCTACCGTCACCTCAACCGAGCTGCCATTCATCTCACATGCATTGTCCGCGGGGGGCTTGTACATCTGGTTTGTGAATGCGTACTTTCTCACGAGGTATGTCCACTACGATCCGAAATATTAGCTAGCTCGAACGTTTTACTGATTTCCCATAACTTCCCCAGACGTGCACTGTACGTGCCGCAGCCATTCTAGGAGTCGAATAACTAACGGCCCGTTATTGTGCGGTTAATCTTCCAAAGTTAGATATTTCCGTCTGTGAGGCCGGCCGGCTTAGGGATCCAAGGGATAGAATACAAGGGATAGCAAACTCACAACCACCACTTAAAACCCACCCCCTTCGCTAAGGGTAAAATTGATGTGACGAAGGAAGAACGTAAGCGCGCGTACTTCGTGCGAAGATGGCCTTATATGCCCCTTAAGACGCCGCGCTCGCAGCTGGTGAATCGGATACACCAACAGTCAATCCTTACCCTCACAATCCACCACCACAACATGGTTCATTGGTTTAAACGGTTCATGTTATCCAGATATATTTAGCATATTGTTCAACAATTCAATGTCGAATCATGCCAATAAGCCTCTTCTTGTAACACCTTAACAGGACGGCGAGGGAGAAACACATCCTTTGTTCGACCACACAATGACCATCTCCAACATAACGCGACATTTCCACATCTCTTTCAACATTATGCTACAAATAACTCGTATATAAAAGAATGTCTCATTCTCATCTCAAAATTCTTCAAGACATATTCACCAAGCTAACTTTCCCACCTTCTTGTTCGCAAACTTAACCGCGCGTCTCGGCTGGCCAAACGCACACACACTCTTCAGTGACCACAAACAACAAGGATTCACGGGACTTATTCTCTCCCTCGCTTCTTCACCTTACTCCTCGATAATATCTACAAATTTCATCCTGAGACCATCTCTCCGACAATGGGTAATTGCACAAGCGCACCATCCGAGCCACAACAGCTGCCGCCGGGACGATGGGATGATAACGCCGGAGTAATACCTCCCGGGCCACGACCGGTGCCGCATCCAGCATTTTCACAACCCAACACAGGGACATCCGAATATCAGCCGATCGCAAGGAGAAATACTCCAATACAAGGTGCTTCATTACAGAAAAAGCCTACATACAACGTTTCCCCATTGAAACATGCTCCAACAGCGGAACGGGCAGAATTTATCGATCCACGAACGCCAGATGCACCAAAGGAGATGCAGGCTACACCCTTCCGTTCATGGCAAGCCGTTCCATTGGGGAAGCGAGAAACAATCGACGGCATTCCCCTTCTAGACGCCAATGAGTACATCGCGGTAGCGAGGATAGAGATGTCGAAGTCGACGCAGCAAGCGGGGCCGAGACGCGAAGCGAAAAGCTTGTGGGGGGACAAGGCAAGGGATATCGCGTACCGTGGTCCTACATCTTTCCCGACACAGCGATCAAATGTCATTCTCGATCCAGCGGTTCCATTGTTTAATGAAGAGAGAAGGCATAGATAAATCAAGAGTAATATAATCAGCTGGAGTCTGCATATCTTTATTTCCAACCACTCTAAACTCCACGCAACATGGACGGTATTGCTGTATGCTTAGTATATTAGTGTACTTTGACACCCATATTTATCTCCCCAGAATGCTCCATCGTAGCTGCACTACATCTGAGAACAGGCAGAGAATGAAGGAATGAAAGGCGGAGGCGGATGAGTTACCGTTAAATGTAAATATAACAGTGAACCTTTTGATTTCGGCCGGGCCAGATCATGCCACAAGTTAGTAAAGACAATAACTACCAAATATCTTTACAAAACTAAGCACTGTCTGTTGATATAAGGCTTCACCAAGTGGATAATGGGAACTTGAGTAATTGTTCGTTTTCAATAGGGGCCACAGAACTGCTGAGGATGGGTATATAGTATTTATAAGTTAAACTTGAAAGATACCTTCCCTCTTCATGGGTATTCTGCTCGTCATTCTGATCACACAATATTACCATAGGTCAACGTTAAACCATACAACTCCCCTTCGCAATTATATTTTAGGAGCTGGTGCCTAGCTTTTCATCTAGGCCTTGTGCGTGTCTGATTCGATTGGCCTCGGCCTGAGCTTTCTCAACAGCAGCAAAATCTTCATCCTGATTTTTAGAGCCCTTGAAGACACTATCGGGTAGTGCGTTGAGGGCCTCCTCTTCTTTATCAAGCTTCAAGAAGACAAAATGGAAGAGTAATCCACCAAGAGCAGCGATGATAGCCACTGTGGTGTAGAGCCAGACAAGAACGGGATCAGTGGAGAGCGGGACAAAGGCCTGGCCAATAGCTGCCGAGAATGCCTGAGCAAACCAAAAAATTCCGGTAATGAAGCCACGCATGTTTTTCGGCGCCTTAGTGAAAGCATATTCGAGACCTGTGATAGAGGCAAAAATCTCGGAGAAGGCGATGAGAACGTAAGCGGGCGTCTGGATCCACACTGTCAAAGGCGGCTTATACAGACGTTCATTTACATTCGTCTCTTCACCGAAAAGAACTTCTTTACAATTTGAAACGTGGCCATATCCGGACACTTCTCGGCAAGGGGATTGCCAGTAGATCTCATGTTGAATGATAGCACCAACGACCATAGCTAACGTGCCAAGGAGAAAACCAATGCTGATTTTCCTGATCGGTGTGAGATTGTACCCAAATCTACGCAAAAGCGGGTAGAAAAGCTTGTCGAAGATTGGAATAAAGATGAGCAATGCAATAGGGTCGAGGTTGTTGATTCTGTGAGCTCCAAGTTAACAACGGTCCCTCATTCGTCCAGCATAAATATAGTATACGGGCAAAGTCATCTGGAAAGCGCAGGATAACAATGGTGATACTGAAAAGGCACTTACACATCGTTCGGGACTCCACCAAGTACCATAGTTGCAGCTTGACTAATAAGGTTGCTGTTGAGCTGGTTGTACTAAATGCGAAACCGTGTGAGTAAAACCATGTCATATTTCAATTTTTACAGTTACATAAATAATGGCGGTCACGTTTCTAGATCAGGAATTCACATACTGCGGCTACAGTTAGCGCTGAAAGATAACGGATCTTTTCTTAGGAAGCCCGGGCCTCAGAACCGGCACGGTGAGCTTTAATACGTACCAGGCAACCAATAGATAGGAAACAGGAAGAAGACTTGGCAAGCCTTTATGCCTCGTCGAACTTCGTCAACCCAATTATCATCGAAATTCATCCATGGCGGTCGTTCAGATTCGGGAATATTACTTGGCTTGACTCTTTCAAAAAACCCAGGTTCTCGTATGTTTTTCCATAGTCGAATAGGATTTAGACTCCAACGACCTTTCATACCTAGCCCAAGGAGGCCAAAGAACTTGCCTATCACCGAACCTGTGGGCGGATGACGGACATATTTCTTCTTGAAGGCAATGAGGACAAGCGGACAGAAGAGGAATAGTGCCGTTGGCAAAGTGAACGACAGATAGAAACCGACGTATTTCTCAGCGTAAACCATCGAAATCTGTCCAACAAGACTGCCAACGTTAATGAAGAAGTAATAGCGCATGTATATCACGGAGATCGTTAGAACCGGATCCTTGATTACTCGTTCGCCGCTCTTCAATGTCTCGACGACCGGTCGAGGGTGGGATGCTTCATACTGTTCTGCAATCATGGGCGAGATATTCGCTTTGAAGAAACCCACGCCGATGCCGAAGAAAATGAGACCAAGAGAGAAAATTCCCAGGGCTGCGTCGGGCTTTTGAATTACAGGAGGAAGAGCTGATATGATAAGGATGATATGTCCAAAGGTAGCCACTAGTTCAGCTCGGTCAGTTCTAGAGCTTACGAAGAGCGCTGAGGAATATCTAGTTGCGGTCTTCTTCTCTCAGGGAGTATAGTGAGAAGTCTTCAAAATAAAACAACTATCCAGGGCAAGTTAATCTCATACATACCTGCGATGGCAACATGAATTGTCTTATATTTCCCCCAATAGGTATCCGAGAGATATCCACCTATATACATGGTCAATGTTGCGAAAACAATGTAGAATTCGTCATGGCTAGAGTGCAGGTCTCCCTACCGAGCAATGGCATTAAGTATGCCCAGAAGCTGTTGAAAGTAACTAGGCCGGTAGAAGCTTGTTGGCCCTTATCGAGTGCGCCTGGCTGCCCGAAAGTCCCTGCCGAACCCGTTGTGGACCCTGGCGGAAGAGGCTGCTGGATGAAATTGACAACTATTCGCTCTTAGTAATAGGTTTGAATGCGATAATTGAATGGGCTAAGTGAAGCATACAAACTGCAGTAGTCCCGTAGTACGCAAAGCGTTCACAGAGTTCAATGAATGCGATGGTATAAATGATGGGACTAATGTGACCCTTCACGCGACGCAGAGTCTCGAGGTCTTTTTTGGACGGGTACTCCTCGCCATTCGGGCCTCGAAGAGGTTCATCAGTGTCGGATCCAGATGCGACAACGCCTAGGTCATCCTCAGGACCGGCGACGCCATTCTTCTCAGTTGTTGTGGTCGTGTGTTTGGGCTCGGGTGCGTCTTCACTGACGGACTCGACGACATCGGCAGGCTTGCCGCCGTCGGTGGCCATGGCGAAAAATGAATGGGTTAGTACTGGAGACGCAAGGTAGCAATGAGATTGGTTCAATAGGAGCACAATGGCATCTACTAGAAGGACTATGAGACCATGCGACAAAGATTGACGAAGCGAAACATGAGCTGTGACAGTCCCAATCTAGCTGAACTATGATGGCAATTTAATAAAAAGATGGCAGAACAAGTGGAGGGGACGGTGAGGGAGAAGAGTCAGCCGACCGTCGAGGGGTCGGGGGACAAAGGTGAGCTTATAGACGCTATTACCGCTTTCGAGTTGTGAGGTAACGTGCAGTGCGGTTTGTCTCGTGTTTTGTAAGCTGATGGAGTGGGTGCTGGGCTGGGGCCAAGGACTCGATGGTGAGGTACCGGTACTCTGCTTGGCAGGATGGTTTCTACGGTGGCAATCAATTAGCAGCAGGTACTGAAAATGATGATAGGTATTTCGTAGAGAGCCGAGGTTTGAGGATTGATTGACGCGAGTTTAATTTGCTGTGCGGCACAAACCAACACTACCCTGCCCTGCGTCTCTGTCTGCCTCCAATGTCAAAGAACCTGGAGCTCACCAGGGGAGCTAGAGTACGGTGATCTGACTGTACTGTAGAAAGCTGGAGATGAGGGTAGAGGAGGAGGTGGCGACGACGACGACCAGGGTACTCGTATACGTACCATTCGTAGTATAGCTGGTAGCAGATATCTACATACCTGTGTAGGTAGCGAGCAATTAACCTATCGTACATTCCATGCCAATCTTGCGCGAATGAGACAGGGTAGGATTTGTCGAGCTCTTGTCGAAGCTCTTGGCTACACTAGAACATTATCCATTTCGTAGTGCAGATGGTAGGTACCGGTAGATAGTATTCTAGTAGTATTCTGGTAGTGTTCTGGTAGTGTTCTGGTGGGATCAAGCTCCGTCCCTAATCGATTAGGTAGCGATTCAAGCAGGCAGCCCCCTGCTACTGCCTTCTTACTGGAGGGCCTGAAGAGGGGGAGCTTCCTTGGTAGGCATCAACAATCCATCCCATTATGACTCTTATCGAAAGATGGTGCCAGACAAACAGACTATTGACCTTGGCGGATTCTTGGTGAGAAGGAAGATATCTCCAGGTAGGTAGGTAGGTAGTACACAAAGAAGGCTCCTGACTTGGTGACTCACGACAGATTTATTCTGTAATACGAAGTACCTAAGGCAATGAGACGTAGAACTGGACAGCATACCTAGGTCATACCAGGCCTACTACCGGGGAGGTACTCGGTGTACATAGTTCGCCTAGGTAGCCTGGTGGGCGGGTATGTACCATGAGCCTCCCCCAGCTTTGCGGCATAGGAGCCGGCGCTATGCTAGGCACTCAGTAGCTGCCGTTGTCCATTAGTATGCTACATGTACCCACATGTACATGCGATCCAAACTTGGTAGGGAAGAGGGCGGGGAAGAAAGAGAACATTACCTTAACATGGGTACATACCTACTGGGCAATCAGCTATGTATCTAGATTCAGGTCTGCTTTGAAACCAATCATGTAGTGTAGTGTACCCCTCCCTCCATGACTTTGGATTGTCTATACTCTGTAAACCAATAGCCGATTGAGGTGTCAAGAAGCGCGAAATCGTGCCGTTCTCCGGACTGCCTCGGTACAACCAGTACATAGATACCTTACCTATGTACCTATACTCGAACTACCTTCTTAAAGACGCGGGGTTTCCACCGTTACGGATAGGCACGGAGCCCACTCCTTCCAGAAACCGTTTCCGCTAATATCCGCACCGTCGAGTACGGAGTACTTGCTTGCTTAAGTATCGACAGCGGATGCTAGAAACGCCTCATGACTGCATGTCAGCCTGCGTGTTTTACGAAGTAGGTACCTGTTGTTCCCATACTATTTACACTACTGTAGGTAAGGTATATACCTAGGACACACACTTTCTGTCGCGTGATTCGAATGGCTGACGGGATGACATTCCATTCCCGACATCCGAGCTGAAGGGACCAACGGTGGCGGGCTCACTGCATGTACGACGTACCAAGAGTGAAGAGTAAAGGGCCGATAACAACAAACAGGCCTACAGTAGTTTCATTGCTGTTGCGGGAGACCGATTCTCCTTGTCTTTTACTTGGCTAATTCCCTAGTTCTTTGGGCTTTGTACCTCCCTTTTCCCTGATTCTTTTTTGCTGCCTCAGAACAAGGACTAAGCGCGACACGATGCTTTCAATGCTTAGACTCTAGAGTCATTGATGCACCACCACATAGGAGGTAGGCATAGAGGCCAGGCAGAACAAGACGTTTGTTTCCATCCACCTTCGTAAAAGCCCTTTCTCGCAACGCCATGAATCTACAATGGTTTGTCAAATCGGGTCCAATGCAACTCGAGAAGGGCAGCGTACTATATAACGCCGTGGCATCATCGATGCGTCTTGCTGAGAATAGCACGAACGACTAAGTAATTGAGTGTCAAATAAGCCCAAAGAATCGCGTCTAATCCTGAAGAACCCTACCTATTCACAAACAATTTCGCAGCAGCTAATTCAACATGTTTCGAACTTTCCTGCGATTGATTGTCTCCCCATTATGGGGGATCATCAAATTCGCCGTCGCCCTTTGCCTCCTGTTAGGGCTAGCAGTTATACAGTCTACAAGTCTGGGCCGTGTTGGACCCCCTATTACACGTGAATTCGCCTTCGCTAACGCTGTGCAGCTCGCTTCGTTCAACAACACAGTGACCAACAGCACAGCGATCAACAACACAGTGGCCAATGCTCCGGGCATCACAGCAGTAATGAAGTTCTCTGAGTTCGCGCACAACATTTCCGCTATTGACACGGAGACTGAGACTTATCGACACCTTCAAGACGTCGGGGTAACTCCACACGATTCCTCGGCCACGTCACGGAGAACAGAGTGTCGCGTGTCGTCGGTTTCCTCATCGAGTATGTCAAATCAGGCCCTCGGAAGGGCACGCCTAATCTTTTCACCGGAGTGCACGATGAAAGATGTAACGACACCCTAAAAAGGTTGTACCGACTTGGGATTGCTCACAATGATGCCCATGCCAGGGATTGCCTTGTTCGTCAAAATGGAACAGCTGTTCTGATAGACTTTGATCAAGAGACGAGGGTCAAAGGTGATTTCTCACGCGACATCGCACTCATGAATACTGCAGCTTGGTAATAAGGAACTGAGTGACAGCGAATGTAGTTTAGGTTTAGGTGTGCTATGGGCTTGTTCAAGGATGTTTCACGTCGATTTAGACATGGTTATCGGCTTAGTCATAGGTCAGTAGTAGTGCTGTTTTAAGAATTTTTACATTGTTCTCTATATGTCAGTAGTAAGGAGATGTTAATCCTCCCAAGTAATGCTCTTAGGGTTTCAATAATCGTTTGTTGATGCTGGGACAAATATCACATGATCTATTTACGCAGTTTAGTGTTCGAAATATAGGGATTCTAGTCCTTTATACATGGTTTCAGGTATCTAAAGGCCGCTTAGAGTTTCGATGTTGTACAGTTCTGAAGGGGAGGCTTTGTTTATTGATCCACTCGAGGAGAATACCTTCCATGGCCTTCCTATTAAAATTCTTAAGAAAGCTATTGACTAGCGTTTGGTCTCTAGGGTTTCCAGGGCCAGATAAGAGGAAATGAGGTCCCTACAGGCACCCATCAGTGAGCAGTTATAACAAGGGTACAGATACTAGGCTTGGAACTTAGAATTCAGATTATAATGAACAACTAGGGCTGCATGAGTCCTTGACTAACCAACTCCTTCTTGGCTGTTGGTGGCTTGACTCGACTCTATATACAACTGGTTTGCCAGCCCAGACCGCCTAGGTCTCTGGGGTCTGTTTCAAGAAACGAAATCTGTATAAGCTCACTTTCCAATATTGCCCAATATTGCCTGCATGTCTTGAAAAATCATGAACAGCCTGCAATGGTCCTCCGTACGGCCGAAGTTCAAGGTGAACTGCATATTCAGCTGGCACAGAGACTGTGCGTGTAAAGTATCAGATCAAGGAGTAACGTTCGGCAATGGAAATGTTGTATTCAATTATGAGATATGCAATAAATTACTCCCAGTGTTTTGAATTGCTATAATCCATGCGTTTATAATACCCGCACTGCTACTACCTCTTGACTTATGTAACTAACTGTAATCCTCACACCGCTCCAAGTGCAGCCTGCCACAACCTCTCTTTTTAATCTGAGACACCTGAGGTGGATTACGCAAATCCCTCTGCGTGAGAGATAGACGTATACTCCTGACATTCAGTCCGCGAGTAACAGGATTTTGTACACATACCACGGAGGTTGAAAAAACAGGTTTGAGTATCCCTTACAGAGGCACGTCAAATCTTTCACTATAAAACAGTTAATGTGATTTGGGGCCACTTGTGAAGTACTCAGTTATCTTTGGCCAAACACGGAGAAGTCACGATGGCTCTCCCTTGCAAGAAGTACTTGGATCTGGTGCGGGAATGCGACGGGTGAGTTTTCACGACATAACTCGTCAAGAGCGCATGTTTATCTTCAAACCAAGCACACAAGGAATAATCATGTCTCATACCACAAGCTAACATCCTCCAGGTTTCCCTACCCAGACGAAGAAGGCTACATAGACATAGTGTCAAAGCTGTACAAATTCCGCCTCCAAGAAATATGGGGTCCAACTAGTGGGAACAAACCCCAGTGCTGGGTTACTGTCGGCCTCATGCTTCCCGAAATTGTGGCCAAGATGCCGTGGACAAACAAATTTCAAGTTGACCACGTCACAAAGACAGTCGGCATTCCATGGCAGGAAGGCGCAAAGGTAGACTTTGAGACTCGCGCCATCGCCGAGCAAGTTGGGCTGGCGCGCGACAGAGACAGCTTCGAGATCCTACGCAAGTGGCGCGACGAGCCGTACAAAATCCTAGGGCTTCCGCACGCCGCCAGCGGGCGCCCGGAAGTGCGAATGGCACGCGGCGCGAGCGCGCTTTTCGGGATTCATACAATCGGGGTGCACGTCTTGGGATATACGCGCAGCGAGGACTCGAACGAAATGATGCTCTGGATCCCGCGGCGTTCGCCGAACAAGCAGACGTTCCCGGGTATGTTGGACAATACGGTCGGGGGCGGCCTCACTGCCGGCGAGGACCAGTTCGAATGTCTTCTTCGCGAGGCCGAGGAGGAAGCTTCGTTGCCCCGGGCCGTCGTGCGAACGTGCGCTTGCGCCGTCGGCGCGATTTCCTACTTCTATATACGCGATGAGAGAGCCGGGGGCCGTGGAGAGGTGGGGTTGCTACAGCCGGCGACGCAAATATTGTATGATCTGGAGCTGCCAAAGGACGTGAAGCCGGTTCCCTTGGATGGAGAGGTGGACGAGTTCCTCCTCTGGACACCACAGCAGACTATACAAGCGCTGTTAGAGGGGCAGTTCAAGCCGAATAGCTCACTCGCTTGGATTGAATTTTTCATCCGCCATGGATACATCACTGCACAAAACGAGGACGACTACATGGAAATAGTGACGAGGATTCACAGGAGGGTTTATTTTTAGTTCCAGGTTAAAGCATTTATATTTGAATCGAGAATAGTATGTGTTTTTCTATCATCTCTGTGGCCCGCTATTAGTTTCCGAGAGCGCCGTTTCTCTTTTCAGGGCTTTGTAGTCTTATTATACCGAACCACAGATAAAAGGGGCTTGATTAGAAAGAGTGAAGCTGCAGTCACAACAGCGCCCGCAAAGCTCTGCGCTGGTCGAAAGTCAATATGCTCAGGATGTATACCAGCCAAAGCGCCTGCTACGGGTGACCCAATAAGCACTCCTACCCCGGCAAACAGCCAGACTACGCCCATTCGCGAGCCGATGACGTCCATCGTGGGGGATAGGGTAGGATGCGACATGGCTGCGCTTGGAGCGGCGACCAGCACGCCGGACACAAGACCGTAGATAATGGCGAAGGCAACTACACCCCCAACGCTACGAACCGACATCCATGCGAAGAGTACAACAATTGCAACAACAGTCCCTGCGAGGTACACCTGCACGGCCCCTATGTAGATGGCCGCGACGAGTGGGATTGTTCGGCCGAGGAACGAGCCTATGCTGACGAAGACCAGTGTCAAGATGCCAAAGTCACGACTCTGCCCGAGAGAAGTCGTTGCGAACGTGGGCAAGAAGAAGGCCGGGATATAGAAGGCGATGTAGTTGAGCAGTAAAGCTATTGCGAAGAAAAGAAAGTTGGGCTCGCAGACGACGCGCAGGTCAACGACTGCGCGCCTATTCGCAGGAGGTTGAATGCGCTGCGGCATGAGGATTGCGAGCGCGACGGCCGACAACAAGAGATTGACCAGCGCGACGGAACGCACAGCCCAACTGAAGCCGATGCTCGGAATCAGTTGCCGGAGCATGAAGGCAAATATGATGCCGCCTACGCTGCCTCCAGAGCTGACGCTGCCAATGGCTAGGGGGCGGGTCTTATCCGGGAATATGGTCGAGATGAAGGACAGCGACGGGACGTAGATGAGACCGCCTCCGAGACCAACGGCGACACCCTGCGCGAGGAATATCGAATAGTACTGCGTAGCGATAGAGAGCGTGGCCATGCCCAGTACGAGAAGCGCGCAGCCGACAACCAGGAGCGGTCGTAGATAACCGGCATCGAAAAGCGGCCCGGTAAAGGTGCCGGCGGTGATGACGAGGAAGACTTGTATACTGCCGATCCATGATATGTCGCTTGGTGATGTGTCTTGGAGCCTAGTCTGGATGTAGAATTCTTGGAATAGCCCGAACACCTGCGTCAGTCCCCTAATAGGCAAGTGAGAATTAGTTCGCGTCAATTCTTTGATGCTGCGTACGTGGTAGATGATGGGGAACTAACCAAGCATTAACGAACATAAAAAACGTAGCTAGCACGCACAGCCAGGGGTGAGTCAATTTTGACCCATATCCTGAAACCTCGGTTTCTTCGCACTGGCCGCCATCTTGTTCTTCGTCAGGACTCGATTTCTCTACTGACACATCGTGACTCTTCTTGATTGTTTTATTATCCATAGAGGAAACTTCGTCGTTCTCAGGGATACTCATGAGGCCAGCTATTTGGCGAGACAAGCGGCGGCAGGTTATTTTGAACGAACCCGACAAATGTTTCCTATACGATTGATATGATAGACAATTGGCAAGTGGGATAAGTGGGAAAGTAAAGAGATATCATGAAGACGACTTAGGATTCTGTCTTGTTTCACCGCCGAGGCGGCTCCGACCATGATTCTATCCCTTGACTCATACATGTACAACATCTCTAATCAGCTGTGCATTTTACCTTAAAATAGCCGAAGCATTGAAACAGTAAGATATTTTTTATTTTCATAATTGTGATATCATAAATTAATATATTGAATTTGGATAGTAAGCTGATCTGTAGCTGCCCGAACCTTGATCTTTCAACCATCTGCCAGGCCTTTGGTTGTCTAGCGAGATCGGTGTAGAATCGTGAGGTCATGACGGATAGGTCCGATGTATGTATGTGCGGTCATCTACTTGTAACCAACTACAACATTCAGTCTTTTCTTGCATACATGATTCGTCACTTTCAACCAACCGCCTTGAGGTGGGTGCGGTAGTGATTACACAAATGAGCTACCAATGAGAAGATGTCCCTATTGTGATTAACCAACGCCGCCACCTCTGTCCTCTTCTCCTGCTCGGCCATTGCACCAAATTCGAACTACCATTTCCGCGTCCAGAAAGTTAGAGTTTGAAAGCTCTGTCATGACCATAGTCTGTTGAGTTTTATACCGGGAAAGAAAAAGCTAAGATTTATTATAGTTATCTGTATTCACTATAATCATACTAGGAATGTAGCTTATTAGGGTAGTTCTGGGACTGACTCTGTTTACCCCAGCCGAGTTTAAAGTGCTGATTGGTACCCCTCTCTACGGGAACACCCGTAGATACTAAACTGTATTAGGTTTTAGTAACTGTCGCTATATCCAAGTCGATCGACTACATAGTCGACTTAGACTGAAAAGTCAGGCTTTCGCAGGCTCTCATTGCCACAACCCTAGATATTTGATGCTACGCCCCTCCTGCTCCGAGAGATCCGTTATCGTTGGTTAGGGTAAGTTTTCACGACGTGTTACTCATCCCTGTGGTGTTAGTTGCGAGTCTCAGGACGAGATCGAGAACTTAGGCTGCGAATACCCCTCAATGTCGCAGCAGTGCAGCGGGCCAAGAACTAGCCGATTTGGAGACGCATGTACTGACCTGAAAGCTTTTTCTATGTTGTAACGTTAACAGACGGATGCAGCGGAGGTGGTAGATAGGTCAGAGAGCCAGTCGTCGTCTCTGGGCCCGACAGTGTAGTGTAACACTGTTGAGCCATGGTGACCGATGGAAAGGACTGGCTAGCTCAAGCTGTGCAACCCTCAGCCTTCCCTCAGTATTGGGGTCCTCTGTGGTGGCAAATTGCGGTTACAGACGACTTTACGTTAGCCGAGTCAATTGGAAATCATTTTCGGATGACCTTAGAAAGAGGGGTTCGGCATTATCATCTATCCCACTCGCGAGATCGAAGACTGAATGGTCTCTTTCAGTTTTACCTCCCGGAAAGGCCGTGGCTCTGATTCACGCCATCTATAGTGACTCACTGAGTGATACAAGTGCGATCCCGGTGCAGAGTGGAAGAGCTAAAAGTGGCAGGTCAGCAGGCAAGGAGGGTTGCATCCTGCCGTTAGGTCCTGATCCAAGAGCATTTGGGGGCCAAGCAATTGGAGTCCACACCAACTATTTCCCCGAAGACCACCTGGCCTGAGCCTCATGCACAGCACGGCAGTTTAGGGAAATTATACCGTTTTTTCTTTTTTTTCTTTCTTAGGAAATGCACGTCCCAGCATTCCACACGCGCCGATTGGTAATGGCCGCGTTCTGTCAAGAAGGCGGCCGCCAAGTCGAAATGTAGAGTCAGTACGCAATTAAATTGGCTTTATTAACGTACATAGCCGAAAGGGGGGGGGGGGGGGGGGATGAGGTTTGTTGCATTGGCTTATTTCTCGACGCAGGTAGGCGGGAATGGACTGACCGTTGGTATATACATATATATATATATATATAATTTATTTTTTTATTTTTTTGAAAATTGCTCATGCCGGGGTCGACGCTGATTGCGATGGTGAGAACCAGCCATCAGCACTTCACCGGACGCTACCCGTCTTGCGGATAGGCTGGACTGTCGAGATAGAATACAGCGACAAGCATTCAAGGCAAATACCAGAATCCTAAAGGATCTATCAGGTGCAACTCCAATAACAAGGGCCCCACAGGTCACCACGAGTATACAGTTTGTAGCCTGGTGCCCTAGATAGAGACTCATACTTAGGAAATACATCAACCTTTCAAACACACATGTGCCACCAACAGGATCGATGTGACCTACGATGATTCGCTCAGGCTGCTGGAAAATATGCATAGTTCTTAACCTTGTCACATTCATATTATAGGACGAGAAAGATCGTATCCGGTATTTTAATGCGATGAAGGTGATACTACAGGCAGTGGGGTTGAGGCGTGATCCCCTAACCTAGTCTGATCGGGGAGGGCTACAATTCAGTTTATCTCGACCTGAGAACTTTACCTTGCTTTATGTGTCATTGATGTAATACTGAAATCTTTTATTTTGCAGTGTCAATATATATGATACCAGGTCAACCAGATTGGTCAAAATTGAAAATAAACTGGGGTGAGATATGGGGGTAAGTACAGTTAGACCTGGGTTTCGTATCCTTCGGCACCAAACGTAATGGGACAAGCGACCGGCCCTTGAGTATCCTACACGCCTTGAGCCTGCTAATCCCATCCATATTGCGCATCAACAGAATAGAGTGAGTCTAGCATAAAAGATAGCTGGCGTAGCAAAGATAAATGATAGATTTCAAGATTGGAACGTAACAACTGACTTCTCCGCAGGAGAGGCGACGCGAGAGCTCAATTCTCATCATTACAAATGACATCAAATGTCGCCTTGCTATATATGTTAAACCACGTAATATCCTTGGTCTGATTCTCCGGCACCGCCATACGACAGTTAAAGTTGTTAGTTAGGAAAGCAGCAATAAAAACCTTGACCATCATCAATCCGGCGCCCTGCCCTGGGCAACGCCGTGGCCCCTTTCCAAATGGCATGAAGCAGTACGAACGTGTTATGGTCTCTGTCTTGTCAAGAAAACGGCTGGGGTCGAAAACGTTCAGCGGCGCCATGTTCGGATTAACACGCTGAGCCCAGCTCTCCTCGTTCTGGTGTAGGGCGTGGATACAAGTAACGATTCGCGTGCCAGATTTAATTTTGTAGCTCATATTCTTGACTGACAGGTTGAAATCCTTGACTGCTGCGTTGTTAATAAGCGACCCAGGCGGCTCGTAGCGTAGTGTTTCGAGAATGAAAGCGTTGAGCTTCGGGGCGTGCGAGAGTTTAACGAACATGTTGCCCGGTTGTTGCTTTAGCTCATTGATCTCGTCTAATAACTGCTTTTTCCAGTATAGGTTTTCGGGCTCGAGAAGATGGAAAAGTGTTCCCATAACGCTAGATTTAATTGTATCAAGCCCTGCAATAGTAGCTGTTACTAAATCATCACGGGTCATAGTGATAGGAATCCCTAGTTCATCATTGAACTCCTGAACAAGGGATGCCACAGTTTCCTCTTCAGGGGTACGCATCATCTCCTCGGTTGCTTTCACCAGGACTTCAATATTATAGCTCAATCGGCGTGACTCCTTGGTAAGAGGGAGAGCGGCTAAAGGGAAGTAAACTCTGTTCCAGAAGCGACTGGCATAAAAGCGAAGCTCGGTAAATGTTTGGTTTAAGGCAGTCATAGAAGGAAGAGTGACCAAGTTTCCAGCGGTGTCTTTGACGGTAAGCTGGCGCTGGATATTGCTTCTACCCCAAATAAACTCTCCGCTGGATTCCCTGGTCCAGTGGTTCAATAGCTCGCGGATGTTAATTGTAATACCAGATCCGTTCTTTACCCTGAAACGTGTGAGTGCTTCCTCGGCCTGTCGACTGACAATATCGAATAGGCGTTTATTATCTCGCATGCCTTTGGTCAAAGTAACTTTTCTTTCACGGAAACGCCATTTGTTTATTGGGAGGAAGGTTAAGGCGTAGGGGCTTAGGCGGCCGAAGGAGAACAGAGCTGGGGTGTCTCGGTCAACATGAAACCCCGTCTTGGCTATTAGCTCTTCACAGAATTCCGCGCTGGTGCAATAAAGCTATTCAGATAATGGCTATCAGCGAGGGGTTTCAATCACAAAAAGAAGAGAAGGACGCCGGCTGGCTGTGCTGTGCGTTTTACCTGAAGCGAAAAGCCACGGACCGTTCCGTGAATGTCTGTCGGGCGTTCAGTATACAGCCAGTCATGGCTCTTATTCTTCACTTGTAGCCCCGATACTCTCATCTCCGCTCCGACGACAGCATAGCATTTATCCACGAAGCGGATGCCTTGTTTCTCATAGAATCTGCGGAGCAGAACGAGTCGCACGACGTAAGTCCACAAAATCCAGACCACGATTCCCAAAGTTGCAGCGAATGAAAGATATAACAGCTTGTGAATCCCAGAGGACTGAGATGTCACCTCAAAAAGTGTCTCGTAGGATGCATTACTGGTGATGTTTGCCATGGTGATCGAAGGCAACTCAGCCCCATTCAAATTAACGACGTCAAAGGCTTTCTCCATTGTCAATCAAGTAGAGATAACCTTGACTAGGGCTGGGAGCGAAATTAGAGCCGTGGCTGTTTAACCTATGTAAGTGGTAAAAGATCAATAATAAAGCAAACCTACGTTCGTGGAACGGATAATAGGTATAAGTTCAAGCGGATATCAACACTGTTAGATCGGCTGGTTTCGCACGACACTCTCTCTTATCCAAAACTACTCATATTTATCACTGAAATAGTATGACCTAAAATTGCCAAGCACAGGGACTCCTACAGTACTTGTAAAACACATAGAAATTCATGAAAAGATGTACCTACTTTATCCCCTCTTTACTATCTATAAAAATATATATTATACCCAATATAACCATTATTATATTATATCTTAACTAAGAGCAGTGCTAGAGCTACATCTATCAACTTCGCTTTATTTACTAGCCTTCCCGTTATACTTCTACCACATTACATATAGTTAATTAAAATAGTATTATACACTTGAAAATACCAACCTTATTAGAATTCGGTTAGCTTATATATAATATATATAATACCCCTACAACTGTAAATAAGTGTATATTACTGGTAGAGAAAGAAGTAGGTTAGATATAGCTACTTGCGAAGTAAGTAAATCTTAATATCTAATCCCTTCCTGATGAGTTCTTAAGGCTGGCAGCGTCAAGCAGCGTGATCCTACGCAGGTTGTTTTGTACGACTCAGAGTTCAGTATTTAGGAACTTTTTGTCAGATCTGATGATACCTTACCATAAGTCTATGCCGCATGATCTTTCTATTTCCAGTTTACGAAATGCAATAAAATCACCCATTTCCTATTCCATCCTGCTGCAGAAACACCCGATTCGTCAAGCTCTCAGGAATCCAAGCTGCGAGCCAAGCTGCAGCATGCTAGCCAACACTGGTAGGGTAGCAGTGGGCTAGGTAGACCATTCCTAAAAGGCGTTGTTGGCACGAAGTATTAATACGTACCCTTTCCTCGTCTTGTTCAAGAAACGCTACTGATTTTGTGAGGTAGACCTCGTGTAGATACTAGGTCACGTTGGCAATACTCTTGTGCTACGATGTTCCCACCACCCCCTGAAAGCTCTGTAGGTAAGTCAGGTTTCCAGTTTTGTACCGTATACTGTTACAATTGGACGTCCCCATTAACTTGTGGCTTCATATGCAGCATGGGATACCCTTCGATTTGATGTATACGAAGGTAACCAACCTCTATCACTAACCAACCCTTACGGGGCAAGCTTGTCTGGATTAACGACGGGTACATAGTGAACGGTCACGTCGAGTCTCACTACAGCAGATCCAGTGGCCAATGGAGTGAGCCACAGTTCGTGGTGGATCCACTGCTACGAATTCACGGCATGACGCCAGCGTTGATGTATGGTGAGAGATCCCATTTAATATTTGCTAGTGATTATATCTTATTCCTAAACCGATTAATTATCTCTTCAGGTCAACAAGCCTTCGAGGGGCTCAAAGCATATCGCAATCCTTCTGGGGAAGTGCAGATATTCCGTCCGGCTATGAATGCTCAGAGGATGATGCGCTCTGTCACATACATATCTGTCCCGCCCGTGCCCGAGGACACATTCTTGAGCTGTGTGAATATGGCAGTGGCCAAGAACGCATCCTTCGTACCGCCTCATGGGGTTGACGCTGCGCTTTACATACGACCTTTTGTCTTCGGCACCTCCGCAACTCTCAGCATGGCCTCCCCTGACAAGTACTGCTTCTGCGTCTACGTGACACCTGTGAAGGTAGCATACGGCCTCAAGTCTGTGCGAGCCCTTATTTTAGAGGACTTCGATCGCGTGGCGCCTAAGGGAACAGGTCCTGCCAAGGTAGGTGGAAATTACTCTCCCCTCGTGTGTCATATCGAGGCAGCCAACGCCTCTGAATACGGGATTTTGCTACATATTGATAGCAAGACCCGGAGTGAGATTGATGAGTTCTCCATGGCCGGTTTCGTCGGGATCAAGGCAGACTTGGACCAAGCTGGCAGCTACATCATCGTGGTACCTCTGGGACTCCGGACAATCGAGAGCGTGACATCAGACTCTGTCTCTAAGATTGCACAAGATCTAGGTTGGAAGATGGAGAGGCGCACTGTAACATGTGACGAGCTTCCAGAATTCGATGAAGTCCTCGCAGCTGGGACAGCCAGTGGACTAGTCCCTATACGAAGTATTTCGAGAAAATCAACTGGCAAGGTTGTCACATATAACAGCGACTCTGAGGAGCCTGGGCCATGCTGTACCAAACTCCTGTCTGTCCTGAAATCTATTCAGCAGGGAGATGTGAAAGATCGGTTTGGATGGTGTTATAAAGTCACAGGAATGAGTTAAAACCCATTAAGCATAGATACTTAAGGAGCAAAGTAAATTCACAATCCCCGCAACATAATCCATCAGGGCACAGTTATTATAGTAGTGCATAGGTGCAGCGATAAGCGCAAAATCGCTAGGTATCACGGAACGAGTATATCGGAGTATAGTACATTATACCGTTGCGCTACCAAAAGGTAAACGACGTAATCAGGTCCGAAACCCTGCGTCTCTATACTCGACTATATAGTATTACTGTGACACTAGATGCTTGCATAGCACACGGGTTCGTGCGATTGCATGGTATTAAGATCTCCTATAATCTTACGCTCTTGACAGTAGCCAAGATCGTCTCATTTCGTATAACAAAAGGATTCCTAAAAAATAATCTTTGAAAAAACCCTTATTTCGGTGGCTACGAGAGATTTATAGGGGGCCTGCCACTAACAACACTAATTGTGACCGTTCATGACGATCATGAGGCCGTGTGGGTTGAGATCATTATTATAGTGTTGCTAATCACATACATCAATTACCCTGTTAGGCAATTGTTACTCTTAACAAATAGTTCAAGTCAATGCTATTGCGGCTCCCAAGATTTCACGTAGACGTTGATCTTCAATCAAAGTAATCATATAGTGTTAATCGCAGCTGCTTATGCGAAGCACCACCACAACTCAAAAAAAAAAAAAAACTTTGAAACCATCACAACAGCCCGTTTCTGAGTTGGGTAAGCATGTGTCGGCAAGTCCTACTTTGTAAAGTCAGGCTCTACAGAGAAGTTTAGAGACCCCCGCGCAAGAACAAGTGCCATAGATCTGCCTATACGCAGCCTGGTCTTAACGGTTGTACGAAGTACAACCACACCAGATCATTGGAACGGCCCCGCCAGCTTATCCCAACCTTTGCGTGGGTTTCCTCGAATCAGGTAGTTTGGTGATCAATATATGCACGTATACCAGGTTTTGTTGGACGTTTCGCGTAGCCATACTGCATTTGCGGAACGGTCGCGCCAGCTTACTTTGATCATCATACATATTAGGTTGGTTGGATGTGTTGTGTAACCACACCCGGTTCCTCGCATGGTCTTGCCGATTTATTCTGGCGTTCCCGGGGTTTTGTTGCCCGAATCATATACCTAGCCCGATGTACTAATATATTCATGCATACCACCTAGGTGTCTTGAATGTGTCGTGGAAATATTTGTGTTCTTGCAATAGTGTCGCACATTACCTAACACACAATAACGCTGGTACCGGTAGGTCGTTGTGATTTGGGCCATCAGGCTCTTGGGGTACCTAGAGGCAACCACGGTCGGAAGCTCGGTAACGCCTCATCATTGCTCATAGCCTGCTTACTGAGATGGGTGTGAATGTTGTTCTCTAAGAATTATATCTGGTGTGGTACTGTAATCTCAGCCTGTTATCTTACGGTAAGTATTAGCACATTTGGCATGATTAAGTGCTATTATGGCATTGATGACAGTTTGTACTTGGAGCTTGATGCACATGTTATGCCAAGCTAGAGATATTATCCAGAATTGTGACCCTGCTATAATGGTTGAGATACTCAAGCATATAACCAAATTCGCGATACCCATTTCACCCTTGACTGCAGCATGCTGTATACAGTAACAAAACGTACACTGCACGTTTAGTGTGGATATGGTTGCACATCTAGGGTTGCCCAATCAAATAGCCTTGTTCTTACTCTCCCACTCGTTATTGATGTCGGCATAATCCTCCGGCCCATACGGCTCCACCATCTCAGCGAACCAGCCCTTCTTTCGGTGAGATTTCAACCCCAGGTCATGCTGCAATAAGTCAAGGTAGGGAACAGCGTCAAAGACGAAGTTGGGGTTCTTGTTACCCCAGTCTGTTGGGTAGCGCCACCTACCCCAGCGGTTGTAAAGTACCGTTTCGTACTGGATCTTGGCTAAGGATGTACCGTCATCACCGGCGTCAAGCGTCTTGGCTGGGTCAACTTCCAACATTCCAGAAAAGTGCGCGCTGATCCACAAGCCAGTGATATGAGCTGTCGGGGCATTGCTGAGATTGGACATGATTCCAGCGAAGGCGATGTCGCGAGTGCGAAGGAAGCGGACAGATGCAGGTATGAGGAAGTGGTATAGCATGTATGGCGTGAGCGCTGGGGGCTCCTCGTCTCTGCTCTCGATCCCCTTTCCGTGCGTCAATGGCACGTAGTTTCGATTCCATACCGGTGGTGTTTTTAGCCGTGGGAAGCGCTGCAAGATATCTTGATCTGCTTGGAGCCCTAGTTTACCATATGGAGTTTCGTCATCAGTAAGTGGCTGATACGGAATCCCGAGATCCTTTTCGATCCCTTCCGGTAGGAATTTGATGGGCGGGATGTGTTTCCAGCCTGTATTGGCTACGAATACCTCAGATTCAAATTCAGTACCATCGACCAGGTGGACTCGTCGAGGACTCAGATGGCTAATCTCACCAACGTAAACGTCAACCTTGTTGCTTTTGACGAGCTCAAAGATATCCTGCTCATAGTTGAGGATACTGAAACTTGAGCCAGTAAACATAGCTTGAGTCCATGGTTTGAGCTTGGCGGTATCCGGGTGTGCATCGTAATTATTCAGCGTAAGCACATCGTTCCCTAGAATTTTCCAAAACGTGTTCACGATGGATCGGCCAAAGGCTGTACCGTGATAGAATGCACGTATACCAGAATACCCGTCTGCGTCACCCCATATACATGGGCTAAACCACGTCAAGAAGCGAGTATCTGTAACATACAGTCAGTTATTAAGCACACGACACCAAGGTTCAGCCGTCAGATGTATGGTACGTACTCGCCAGCTTCTCTAACCAGCGTTTCAAGGGCGTCACATAAGGGGGTGCGATCCAACATGGGCCGTGACCCTCGGCTATCATCAACAATATGATGTTAGTGATCGTGGCTCATAAGAGCAGTGACAGGCATAATTACATCTGATAACCCAGTTGACCTTGGCGCCCGCTGTAGCGTAAGCGTAAACCGTATCCCAAGAGAATTTGGATGCTCCGAAGACGGTCACAGTCTTGGCCGTTAGGGTATCGCGATTCTGTTGGAAATATTTCCCGTGGAAGAGTTTGCCGTCGAAGCTTTCCTGTCCCTTGAAACGTGGCATGAACGCGTCCGAGGTCAAGCCAGTAGCAATGATGAGGCGACGTGCAAAGATCTTCGACTGATTCTTAGCATTTTGAGGATCGTCAATCGTGAGAATCCAGCCTCCGTCAAGGGTCTCCTGATGTTCAGCGCTGAGTACCCTAGTCTCGAGACGGATTAAGTTCGCAATACCAAAATGAGCCGCGTATGCCTTCAAATAGGTATTGATGGCGTTTCCACTGATGTGTTTCCCAGACTTTACAGGGAATGAAGCACTGCTCATAGGAAAGTCTGGATACTCATATGTGCCCAGAAGGTTGTTGCTGTTTAGCCCGGGGTACAAACGCTCATCAGCCCACGTGCCACCCAAAGAAGATTGGCTGTCGAAAATGGCCAGCGACTTGGTTGGCTGCGTCACATGAAACTGCTTCGCAGCGGCTAAACCGTATAACCCTATCCGAATCGTGTCAGTGTATCAGGTAGGCTAGTCTAACACGGCCGATCCTCACCTGCCCCGACAACCACGCAGTCAAAGTTGTCCATGATGCGCAGCTTCTCCTTCGCAAGATAATGTTCAAAGAAGCAAGTGTTTTGACAAGTGTGAAGTTAATTGAAAAGCATGCAAGAGCCGAGCAGCGAAAACACCGGTCCGATTAGCCACCTTGGGGGTGGACTTCATAGAACAGAGAAAGTGATAGGGGCTGAATCACTGATGTGATGCAAGCCACGACAGACCTTTTTCATCTTACTGCATACAGGGAGGGTATCATCCAGGGAAATGATGTTTATCCGGTAGGCCGAATGAAGCAGGGCCTATCACGAGCTTTGTTTAAATCGTTACTCTCGTTTGTTGCATCCATCCCAGCCCCAACATGCAAATCACTGTGGTCTCCTGTCAGGTGAATGCTACACATCATTTTGCATTTGTTTGCGTCTCACCCCAGAAACGGATCCGATAGGTTGTGCCATTTCTAGCCCCCACACCGTTGGAGGCTCTGCAACGTTTCCCCTCCTTACCTTCCGAATACGCTCAATAGCCCAATTTTATCTAGGTAGTACAAAATCTAAGTCAAAATGTCGGAGTACGTGCAGAAGTAGGTGAGCAGGAGGCAGGGCAACTCCTTTACCAGAAGGCTTCCACCCTGTACACTACATATTCTTGATGCCGTGTCACCCCGCAAGTGGTGTTATATTGCGGTTGGTGATAGATCAAGGAGCTGTCAAAATCATTTTTTATAATTTAGTTCGCCAGAAGTGAAGACGCAACTAGGTCTGCAATGCCACTGCCATCGCTGGCACAAGGTCCAGTGCATGAGGTGTAACAAGACGGATTGAATTGGTATCTAGTATTGATCGCCAGCCTTGTTGATGTAATGTGGCAATGTCCAAAGATGAGATCGGCTCAGTGTATGTGAGAACTACAACCACCGGGTGTTATATTTATCTTTTTTTTTTTTTCATGAGGGCCTGTGAAACCTTCGTGAATAAGCTAGTATTATATACAGTGAGTCTTCTCGTCTGCGTATTCCGAAATCTGATACCATAGTCTCTAATTAATATCCAGTCTGCATGGCATTCAGCTACAAGATTCTCGCATAACAACATCGCCCCCGTGTTGGCCTCTCATCCCAAGGTATCTCATTATCATCTCAGAAGAGGTGATCGGCCAACAGTCCACTATGGACCCAAAAGCTGCAGCTGCCGCTGCCGCGCTGAAGCAGTTCGTAACCGAAGACTTCACCTTGTTTGCCATCGGCGTCTCCTTTACCGCATTGAGGACATATGCTAGAATACTCCAGGTTGGAGTTAGAGGATTTCAAGTTGATGATTATTTCATTTGGATTGCAATGGTTGGTGTGGCGGAGTCCTGATCTCCGTCTTTTTTCTCTTACTTCACATCTCAACCTCTTCATAGCCGCACAAGTCATTGAGATCCATCTATGGTACTGATATGATGAAAAAATCCTTTGTAGCTCTTCTATGCCGCGGAGACTGCCCTCGCATATTCAGTTGGCCACTATGCCCAAGGGCTGGCGAATAACGGCATGACGGACGAACAACGGCAGAACCTTGATCCGAGAAGCCATGAATACATGCTGAGGTACAACGCACTTGGAGCATGGCCGATACTCGATTTTGCTGACTTATCTCACTTTAGAGTCATTGGTTGCAAGATACAGCTGGCCGGGTGGTCAACCTATTCAGCTCTCCTATGGTCCCTGAAAGTGTCACTGCTAGTATTCTACATTCGTCTTACGGTAGTTCTCACTAGTCACCTGACTTGTCGAGTTGTTTATAACTTATAATTATAGCGTGGTCTGAACCGAAATTATTCTCTGCGGATATACATCGGATTTGTTCTCCTCTTCTGTAGCTGGCTTGCAGCTACCTTGAATCTCTTCTTGGGCTGCCGTCCCTTCAATCGAAACTGGCAAATCAACCCAAACCCTGGAAGTTAGTTACGTCTCCTTCTCCATACCCTGGCTTCTATCATGTAGAAACGTTAGCCTGACTGTCTCATACTCCAAAGATGTTTGTCAACCGGCCATCTCGACTAGGGTTGTCTGGGTCTACGGCACCTTGAACATAATTACAGACCTTTACCTTCTATCCATTCCTATCCCTATGCTCTGGAAATCGTCTCTCAGGCCCCTGAAAAAATTTGGATTGATTATCCTCTTCAGTGGAGGAGTCTTGGTTATTATTTTTGCCATCTTACGGGCCACATTCATCATCACGGTAAGTATGCAGTCTCTCCCAATGGAGCTATGCCGCACCAAACTCATAACCTCTGTGCCCCAAGGATCCCGTCAATGGTGCTCAGGTAGCCGGATCTTGGGCCGTCCGAGAAACGTTCGTATCCGTTATCACGACCAACCTCCCGATGGTCTTCCCACTTTTTAAGTCTCGGCTAACCTCCATATCCGACTCCATCGTCCGATACATAGGCTATTCAAGAGCAAAAAGCTCTAATGGGGCATTTAGAAGCTATATCAGAACGTGGGGCGGTGGGAACAAGCAAAGTTGGCGCGGCCGTGGTCCTCGCACTCCAAACCCAATTACGGGGCTCACTTACACCGAAAGCGAAGAGCAGATAATGAAAAGTCAGAATGTTAAGGAGAATTTACCAGTTCAACTGCAGGACCTCGAGACAACCGCAACTGTCGCGCATGCTGAGAATATTGACAATAACAATAACATCAGACAAGATCGGGAGGTTGTAGTGACTTCTGTACCCGATGACCGAGTTCCCCAGTCACAGCACACAGGCAATCTCTCTTTTGCGAACTCTGCACCTAGAACAAGTCATATCACCTACATCATGGCAGGGGGGCAGAGAGATGGCGCGAGTTGAATACTAAAGATGACGTCGATACACCCGGGGGTTTGTGTTTCGGCGCGCCGTTTCTTCAGACGAAGGCATGTGGGTGGCGATCTGTTGCGCCATTTCTAGAGCACATCTATACATCCCGCGTACAGGGGGCCTCTATTAATAACTCGCGATGGCCCGGGCAATGGCTTCTAGCTCTCCAATTTCAGGAGCAGAAGAGCTTAGGTATATTTAAAAGAGCATAGGACAGTCTTTTACCGGCTTCTCACAGCCTTAAAACGCTCGCTGATGCATCTCTTCGGCTTCCTTTAGCTTGCCTTACTTACTATGTAAAAGGTTTAGGTTGTTAACCATAAGGAGGGTTGATATATAGTTAGGTTCGAGGGCTGTTTTATATTGTACGGTTGTTGCGTTAAACAACTCCGTATCACGTCTCACTATCTCGGCCATCAATCACATGACGATTTCGTGCACCGCGTCACTACAGCACAGCAATGCTGTCTTACAGTGATCTCGTTAGACCAAGTGTCTGTCACGACGCACGGCACAAGCACCGAACTATGTATCAGCTCAACTTGTAAGACAAGAGAAACTGGATACTGCACCATCGAAGGATTGAGTAGACTTAGTTGGTAGGTGGTTTATAGATAAATATAATTACTCTAATGGTATGATGGGTATTGGGAAGCACAAAAGCCTATCAAATCCAATCGCTTTCGTTATCTAATTAAAGAGATCTCCGCTAGACGCTGACTAAATTGCAAGCTAATTTGCCGCTGTCTATTGTGTTACATCCAGCAGCAACGCATTAGTATCTTCATTTTCCCTCACCGACAGCCGCCCAGCAACGACGCTGGAGGTTTCACACGAGCTGTTGACGCTGTTACGCCTCACGAGCGGTTTCACGAATAGCTCCGATAGCTCCCTATTGACCGCGGGATATGTCCCAAACTGAGACGTCCGCGGTCTCTCAAAGTCCTCCAGTACCTCCATGATGTCCATCGCAGCCCATTTCGTTTCGAGAGCATCTACGAGGTTAGCGTGGACGAACCGGACTCGTTGGTCTCGGTCTTCAGACCATCGGATCAACTCCCGGAACCTCGATTCAAGATGGTCCAAGTATTCGTCGTGAGTTGTTTGGACTCCTTTCGAGGTCAAGAAATTGCGAATGCCTTTGTCGTTCAAATATCCGTCGAGAAAATCCGTCTTAGTGAAAACAATTAGGAAGTTGGATTTCTCAAAATGGTAAGTGTTCACGATGGATTCCCATAACATAAATTACTCGTGCATTCGGTCGCCGTTTCTATCTTCGCGCAAGCTCCTTCGAAAACCGGTCACTTCGACTGGGTAGATGATGGTCGATACGTCTTGGAAAGCGTGTATCCATTTCTTCCTCTCGCTCCTCTCGCCTCCAAAATCGTACAGAAGGTATTGAGTGTCTTTATACGTGAGAACCGTCTGGTGTATCCCGGTGGTCGTGACTTGCGTTCGAAGCACATCTTCATGAGTTGGCGCCGAGGAATGTTTCGCTTGCTCAACGAGGCGGTCAATATTTTTGATGAAATACTCGCTGTTATCGTGGAATTGATAGACTGTCCGCGACTTCATGGTGGTTTGGAATGCTTCGTTATCACGAAGTGATGTGATCGCAAGAGCAACGTCCTTGGCATGTTCTGGGTTCAGGGCTGGGTCCCGCTCGCAGTACGGGCAAGGGTCCAGTAAAAGCGCTCGGGCGCTGTCACGACGTTGCTGGGTTGGCCATACCCCCAATTCTTCCATTTCCCTTAATATAATCCTGACAGAATCTAATGCGTTGTGCCATACCAATGTACGATGGTCGCCGCCCTCATACTTGACATTCTCCGAGTCGATAAAGAGTTGTAAGGCATTGAGCAGCGTAGTCTTGCCGCTGCCGGAAGCCCCTAAGAGTAAAACTTTCGACTTATTAGGCTGAATGTTTTGTCCCTTCTGTTTGGTGTCATATGCGCTGGGTGTTCGCCGCTGGAACGCTCTCCGCCAATTGCTTAGGCCAGGCTGCGGTCGAGTTGAACCGGAATCACTTCTATCATGTAATGGCTGAATTGGTTCTCTGCTACAATTCACTAAGCCTTCTCGGGAAGGGCCATCTTGTGCCGTGCTGTCGGCTTCGGCGCTCTGAACAGTTATTTCGCGGTGAATATCAACTCTGATTTTATGCTGTTTTTCTAGCGCATCGCTTTCCTCAATTGGTTTGGTTAATTTCATCGTCCGAAATACCTGTCTGAGTCCAAAGGTGGCTGACCGTTGGCTAAAGTTATCTGTCGATACTGTGTCATTATTCTTCGTCCTCTTTGCTCGGATGGCCTGCCTGAGGTGTGATCTCTCCGCTGTTTGGTATAATACAGTGCTTCGAAGCACATCATCGAATTCGAAACAAGTGCTTATCGCCGCTGTACCTTCCGAGATGAAACTTGCGACGTCCTCAAGACCTAGGAGGGAAGAGGAGCAATCTTGCGCTAGTCGCAGGATCGATTGACTCTCCACTCGCGTCGTTATCTCGGATTGCTGAGTCCAAGTTGTGCTGGGCTAAACTTAGCGTCGATGCTGATGGTCTTCGTTTTTATTTAACGCCTTACCACTGTATAGCTTGCAATAGCAGGTTCAGGGCATTTACCTGTCGGTCGAGTAAGATTGAGAGATTCGTCATTTCTCTTTCGCCATTCAGGAATCCCATCCTGTTTCTTGCTGTCATCCAATCGGCCCCAGTGCCCTCGTAACGGTCTAGCTGTTGGCCCAAGGCCAATAGAATCGGACTGAAGCTATCGAGCGCATTGCCGATATGGGCAGCAAGTTGGTTATATCTTGGGTCGTGGGTGAATGCTGGCGAATTTAGAGCAGAGAGCTGGTCTTGCGCAATCTTGACCATGTGCAGTTGTCCGATCATAGACGTGACAATGATTGGCGCATCGTGAAACTGACAAGTCGTAGCATGAGTTGTGGTTCATAGCAAATAGCGGGGTCTATATGTATGTATGTACGTGTATATATAGAGAGAGAGAGAGAGACAGAGAGAGAGGGAGGAAGGGAGGGAGGAGGGGTTACGACTCGTTACCTGAGCCTTGAGTGCGCTTAACCGTGTGATGCACTTTATCACGACATCTCCCAGCGACACCACTGTTCCGACGATTTGGACGATTGTCGCCGGGTCCATTGCTGAGGCAATTCAACCCGGAAGCTGATTCTCCCGAATAGATGCGAAGAGGGGTAAAATCATTTCGAAGTGAACTGAGATGGCAAAACGATGCCTTACATGTGTGGTGGCCAACCTGGGTTTGCCTTGGGGTCCTTTGGGGCTGACAGGCGGGCGCAGCTAGAGGGCTGATCCGGTGTCGGTACTTTCATCTGCACTGGGCATCTACCTGATATCAAGTACCTCCTTCCTTCCTACCTTAGGTAGGCAGCACATCCAAATTGGGGTCCGGATTTCACACAACCTATGCCAAATTAGTCGGTGAAGAGGCACAGCCATGATCATAGCAGATATCATAGGTAGTCATTGATGCTATCGCCTGCGAACGCCTGGGGCTTGATAGCTTGACGGGATCGATAGCATGATAGCTCCGGAGGTTAGGTAACCTGATGAACACCGTCGCACATCAAAAGAGATAGTCATAGTCGCAAAGCCGCCTCGGTCGACATGGTGTTCCACGCCCCAAGCACTACCGATACTATCACAAGAGCCAACAGGCTGTAGGGTTGTGGAAAAGCAGGTCAGATAGATCGTTGGGTGGGATGCATCAAATGTGCGAAGAGTCATGTGTGCGGTAAGTTTAGGCGCAGGATGACCGCCAGCTTTGAAACAAGTTGACTTTCCTCATTACTTACCAATTCGCATCCGAAGACAAGTTCAACGGCCGCGTTTTCATGCCACACGCGATGCCCGGCAGCATCTTCAACGCCGTTGCTTAGGTAAAAGGTCTTGGCGCCTTTCAAGTGAGATTCGCACGAGGTGCTGGGAGTTATCACCATAATTTGGCCTTATGTGAACTGCATCTATTGCCAAATTCGTGTTTGGAGGGCTGCCTGAAACACCTCTTTTACTAAGATACGATTGGCTCATCAGGTGCTCAGGCATCTTGATGCTCCGCCACGGCGCCACCACAGAACAAACTGTCTGCGGAACCAATCGGAACAGCGCGTTTCATCAATTAGCCCTCATAAAGGGAAGTGAACTCACGAACAGCTTGCTCAAGTGTTCATGCACCCATACCATATTGGTGATAACTTCATCAGGTTTTAGTCGAATTCTCGACACGTGATCGGGTAATCACGTCTCCTGGTCTGGGCGAGGCCCTCACCCGATGTCTTCGCGCTTCGGGTTACTAGTATCACATAACTACTACCTGCATCACCTGAAATGTTTCCGGCCCGACTCCCGTCTACTCACTTCGTATGTGACCCTAAATGCTTGGCGAAATGGCCAACAACTCGCCTACGTGTCGGGCGCGGGCATGCTAGGCTATCGCATCCCACTTCGCTTCGTGGGTGAGAAAATCCGGGGTTGATCTGTGGCGATCAATGAGAGTCAACAACAAACGCCCGCTCAAAGCTTTCCTCGAGAATCGTACAAATAGTAATTACCCGCAATCAACTGTAAAAATCATAGAACAGCTCGTGATAAACTTTCTTCCGTCGAAAGCGTGAAAGCTCGGATGCATTGGACTCCGAATGGTGTCCTGAATGAATGAAACTATTCATAGTTTGGTTCTGGTCCGAGCTGCGAGACTTCGTCCAATGTCTAAAACGAGGAAACGAGGATGTTTCCCCTGACGGTGATGTGTCTGGCCACCCCTAGCCTTGATTTCTTCTCAACAAAACGGTTACCGGCACTGATCAAGGGTATCGCCATGATCGTGAAGTCTACTTGGGGATTGTTTGCTGCGCCCTCTTGCGGTATGAAGTGAGACGATGGAACTAGCATTCGTAGTCACGATCTTCTATAAAGTCAGGCAGTTCTGCCCTCGTTCATAGAGTCTAATTCATCATCATCATCACATCTCAACTCATATCAGCTTCCAGCAAGCACCCTTCTGTCTCTTCTTGTTCCTTCTCGTTGCCTACTGCTGCGCAGTCTTAATTTTACATTTACTACTTAATCAGTTATCATCACCATGTCTTCTGTCAAAGTCATTCTGGGTCTTGGACTCGTGAGCTTCGCGCACCTAGTTGCAGGTCACGGTGCCATCATCGATGCAGTTGGCGACGCGGGTGGCTCAGGCAGTAAGTTCATTTGTTTTCCAATAAACAAGTCATAACTCCATGCTAATCCAGTTCCTGCTCAGTGGCCCTGGGTGTTGACAGCAGCACCCCTCGCGACGGAACTCGCCGTAGGCCATTCCAGCAAGATTCCACCCGATTCCGTGGCGACCAGGAGGATACGATCGGCGAGACCCTCGGAGGCGGCGACAACAACATTGAGCAAGGCACGAAGGCAATCATGGCCGAGACGGGGGACCAGTTGCCTCAGATCAGCCAGGGCGGCGAACTCACCATGACGCTCCACCAGGTCAACGCTGACGGCGGTGGCCCGTACACCTGCGAAATCAACGCTGACGGCACGGGCGAGAACTGGACACCCTTGACCGTTACCACCACCCCTCCTGGCCGAAACTCCCGCAATCGCGAGGGCGCCGCTACGGACTTCCCCCTCGTCGCTGCGATTCCTGACAACCAGGAATGCACTGGAACTGTTGCCGGTCAGGATAACGCTTGCCTCGTACGATGCATGAACGCTGCTCGGGCCGGGCCATTTGGCGGTGTCGTGCCTGTTCAAAGTAAGCCCGCCCAGCGTTGAAACAATCTCTCCATTATGATAGCAGATCGCTGACATTGAGCATTAGTCGCTGGAGGTAGTGCCGCCGCGGCGCGCCGTGCACTCGCTACTGCCATCAAGCGGGATACTATCAACGCTCAGCAACTCGACAAGCGACAGTGGGACTACAAGTACGAGGACGACGAAGACGAAGACTGCGAGTAATCGAATCACGGATCGGGTGGTTAATCATTCTGTTTCGAAAGGCAATTGGTATATTCTCTGGTAGGATGCAACTCGAACAGACCCTCGGAGTAGCTAGATGGGCGACCTCCTGGTTGAGGCGGAGAGCAGAAGGGATATGCACGCTATATAATAGTATTAGATAAGGGGAATGGACTCTAGGCCAAGCTGACTACCATCTATGGTGTTATATAGTCAAGGCTAACATAATGCATATAACAATTTCACTGCTATTGTCACCTTCAATAGCATACGATGTTCGTTTCTAGGTCATGGATTATAGGCGACTCTTCTCAGGTCGCCATATTTCGTTGAGTAACCGACTAGCATTGACGCGCTCGGGTTGCGCCTCATCTAGATCTTTGATTCCAACGAGTCTCATCCCGGTGACGAGCTCATCCGCAAAAACTAAGACTGACTTAGTATATCGGGGCTCAAAAAGAAAGAAAGTAGGAGGGAAAAGCAGAGAAACTGAAAGGACAAGACTCACTATCCAAGCAACGCTCAACACCCTTCTCTCCATAGGCAGCGAGCGCGTAAAAGAACGGCCGACCAACGCCCACGGCCTTTGCCCCGAGCGCCACAGCCTTAAGCACATCCGCACCATCGCGACACCCGCCATCGACAAAGATTTCCAGCCGATCCACAAGACCGGGATAATACGTGCGGATCTCAAGCAGTGTCGTCAGCGCATCCGGGGCATCATGCATCTGACGACCACCATGATTACTCAAGAGCACCCCGTCGACGCCGAGTTCCGCCGCGTGCGCCGCATCCTCGGCTGTCTGCACGCCCTTGAGCACCACGGGGCCGCCCCATTCCCGCTTCATCCACTTCAGATCCTCCCAGGTAAGCGAGGCATTGAGCTGCGCACCTCCGGCATGTGCCAGCGCCCCGAAGCCCGCGCGCTCTGCATGTGCCGCGAGTTCAGGGGAAGCAGCTAGTGCCTCGGCGGCTTGCAATTTGCGGTCCGCGGTCCGCTTTCCTAGAACCGCGGTGTCGACAGTGACCCAAAGACTATGGAACACGCCCGTCGCGCGCACGCGCCTGATGCGCTGGATGGCGATCTCGCGGTCGGCGGGGATGTACAGCTGGAAGTGCAGCCGTGCTTCTGGCTTGTTCTTGGCGGCGGCAGTGGCTTTGACTTTCTTCTTCTCCTCGAGAAACGCAGCAGCGATCTCCTCCATCTTCACCGTGGATTCCGTGGATATGACGCCGTGTGCGCCGCGACGCGCCAGAGCCCGTACCAGTCCGATCTCGGCGGCCGGGTGTCCGCGCCCTAATTGGCCCATGGCGGACACGTAGAATGGGAACGCGGAGGCGGACCCGAGGATGCGGCACTGCGGCGTCACTGTCCGCACGTCGGCGAAGATGCGAGGGCGGAAGCGCACGGCTTGCCACGAGGTGAGGTTACCTCGGAATGCGGAGCCGTCGTGCGAGTAGGATGAGACGTAAGTCCAGGATTTCAGCGGCATGGAGATTTTAGCGGCCGCTTCAAAATCATTAGGCGCCACGATGCTGGAAATGTGTGGTACTTTATTCGCGCCGTCTTCTGTGCCTGACTCTTCAGTCAAGTCCGCGTTGACAGTGCTGATAGGCAGCGCGGCCTGCGCGGCCGCGTCAATGGCACCCAGACAAGCATCCTCCGGCAGATATTTGAGGACATCTGGCGAATGGATCTTGCGAAACTCGGCTGTCGCGTCCTTGTGACATGTGAGCAATCGGGTTGTCAATTCTGCTCGAGACAATGAGCTCGATTCGCGCTAGCCTCGGCATTTAAGTGCATTCGAAGAAGCGAAGCAAGAATTGACTTGTCATTCAGCAGATAGGCCGCCATTTTCCGAGACATGGAATAAGGAGGGAGATCTACTTACAGTTCCACCTTGCTTCAGCAATACCGCAGCGCCTCCCGGGTGCTCGTCGAGGTATCCCGTCACGTCGTACGCCTTGCCATCCACGACGATCCAACACGACGACGTAGAACGGTGACTCGCGATCTCCTGCGCGCTCAGCACGACCCCATTTTTCTTCGACTCCATTGGGGGCTCCTCCGCCGTGTGTGTTCACGATCTGCACAATTGAAAATAATAGAAATGAAAAGCATAAAACAAAACAGAAAAGAACAGAAATTAAAACTGAAACAGAAAATCGAATCGAACAGGAGCTTGGGACAAATACAACAATAGAGTCAGCTTCCCAGCCGCCCGCCTGGATGTCTGGCATTCCAGCTACGGTGTGCTACCGTAATCGGAAGTCATCCTACTGGACGAGTCCCCCAAATCTGGGGTATCGTACGGGGCTTGGCGTAGCCGGGGTAGTGGCGGGTCCGAAGCTCGGTTAGGTAACACGGCAAGCACATGTTCGTTCAGAAACCGTGACACGCAGAAAAGACCGTACATGCAAGCGGCCTGACAAAAGCCTCCCTAATAAGACATGTAGTTACCTAGTATTGAAAGCGAAGTTATAGAAACCCCGCTTGCGGAAATCCATCACGCCCAGCGAACTCCATTCCGTGATGTCCAAAGTAGAAGAGGCCCCCGTTACATGAGACCCATACCGCTACCACAAGAACCAGAACAGGTCTGGGATCTTTAGAGTATCAAGCCACTGAATGTAGAAGAGGCGTAGAGACCAAGTATATAGTCAAATCCAGTCTCCGTCTATGTAAAGCAGGACTTGATTCTATAATGTTAGGCTTTTACGATTTCGCTGCCACACACCTAACCCAGCCTCGCTCCTGAGGCCAAAATATATGAAATAAATCAAGAACTAATAAAAGGCTTGGCATTGAAGCTTTTCAGAACACAATAACCTGCTAGGTCTGCTCAGGTCCTTGGCTACTATATTTATTTCTGGTCCCGGTGGCTGAGCTGGATACTGTATAGAACTGTACGGTCTTTGCTATTCTTCCAAACCCCGAGATGTCTCATTGTTAGAGAAGTTTGCGCGACCTCACTTTCAGATATAAGGCTGTATGTCTTGTAAATTGGTCTTTCAAAAGGAATGTTCCAGTAGTCGTAAGGCGGACTGTAAATTTAACGGTGTGTGCGTGTAGCAGGGAACGACAAAGGAAGATATCGGGATATAAAGTTGATATGGTCAAGAGTAAGAGCTTAATAGGAGTTATTAGCAACACCATAAGCTTCCAAGGTCCATTCGGATACCGTCCTAGATCACATGCAGCCCATACAGTTACACTCGACTTTACTAATTCGGAGGTCCACGGGTATAATTTACACTTGAAATTCTCCAGGCACCTTGGGCAATGCATATAGAAGGTCATTAGTGGTAAACGTATACTACAAAGTCAATGTATGATAAAATGCACCACATCTCGATCCGATGTTGGGTTTGCTGTTATTGTGGCTGGAGTTACATAGGGTAGCAAATCTAGTCCCTTTTAGCCCACAGTCATGTCATAATAATACAAAAGAGAAAAGAAATACCCATTCAGTTTACAGTCAGCGGGCTTAGATGAAAAGTGGATTTGGAGAAATACATATCAAATATGCACGGGAGTTTTCACACTTGAATAGATTAATGTATAGCTCTGAAAGTAGGAAATCGGATGGCTTTTTCAAGAGATAGGCAAATCTATTAGAACCCCATAACGCATCGCCAAAGCCAACTGCATGCTTTTTGTATCGATATCAGAAATCTCAGTCCGTGTGTGACTTGAATCATCAGAAAGCCTCATCTATCGTTATCACTAGTCCTTACAAAGAGGAGAGAGAGGCTCCTAGGGTATGTTTCTCTCTCCTAAACCGCTACCCGCAATCACTTAGCGAGCTGCAACACCCTTCTGGTTTGGTGCATCAGGCATGTTGTCGTCCACCTCCATGGCATCATCACCACCCGCCACATCGCCTTGAGCACCAGCCTCGCCTTCTACATCCTCCTCCAATTCATCGTCACTTTCATTCTCGAGATCGACGCTTCCATCCTCGGACATCTCATCTTCTCCGCCAATCTCTCCAGCCTCCTCGGCGCCGCCCATCTCAGCGTCACCATCAGCAGCGACAGCACTGCTCTCGCCAGCCTTATCCGCAACGCCATCGGCCTCATCCTCGACGTCTTCATCGAGCTCTTCAGCTCCATACTCTTCCTCGTCAGCTTGAAGATCAGCTTCGGGTTGCTCCGGTGGAAACTCGGCGGGGGCAGAAGCTTCGGAATCCCTATGAGAAATAAGTAAGAGACTAGTGCATGGAGATACAGGCATGTGCAAATGTGACCGCACCATTTGATGGCAAAACGTGTGACTCTCGGTTTTTCAGCAAGAACGTTACGTCTGATCTTCTCGATGATAGGCTTGGCGGGAGGGTCTGCGTTGAGCTCATCGGAATCGTATTCGTTGTTTACGTAGTAGCCGACGCGAACGAATTCGCGGCCGTCGTAGGAGCAAGTCAGCAAGATGACAGTAACACCGAGTATGTCTGCATCCGGAATGCGCGTCGTTTTCGGGGCATCTGCTTCGAAGACAAACTTGTTGACGCCAACAGGGATAGGCCCAACGAGGAGCGAGTCGAGCTCTTGGTCATATTGATCGCTAATTCAGGTTGCATTAGGTTGCGCCGGCGCATATATGTGGAAAACGCTAAAAGAGCAATGACTTACGAGGTAGCAGAGCCAACATAGGTCAGCTTCCATTCAAGATCTAAGTGAGGTTGGTTACTGTCGGTCTCATTCACATCATACTGCGCCGGGCAAAGGTTGAAGTGGGAAGTATTTTGCAAGAGGCGTACCCTTTTCTAACTGCTCGAGACACTCGAAAGTAATCTCCAATTCATAGTTGTCGGTAAACTTGGCAGGGTTGTTGAGGATGTTCACCCCAAGGAGTGAAACGACCGACATCTTATGCGGTTCTGGGATGCAGGGCAAAGGCAACAAGGTTCGAAGCTGTACCAGTGACAGTTATGCAGGTGTGACTTCAGTAATATCGAGCCGAATGATGAGGAAGGGTATTTGGTTGTGTGTACTGTCGCAATGAGAGCTACGCCGAGATATTGTTGGTACCTAGAGATTGGAGATTTGTTTTGTTGCGATCGGCCTTGGCAAGAGGACGGACGGGGGTTTGATAGCGGTGGTTCAGCGACAGGACGCGAGGAAACCGCGTCCAAGCTGCCAAACTACCCCTCGACCGCGTTCAGTGGTTGCAGCTGCCACATTCGACAATCTCCAGTCAGGTACAAAGCGGGGTAGATAGCTATATTGAGGCTGTGCTTGAACTTTAGCAGTGTGGCTGGTGCAGGCGTTCAGTAGGTACCTAGGTATTTAGTACGCCAGACAGATTGGGAGTCTTTCAAAGCAGGCAGGCTAGGTAGGTAGCACATTAGGCCGAGCAATCGATAGAGTAGATAAGATGGGATCGGACAAAGTTCCGTAAAATCCAGATCAGATATGTGTACAACTTACCCCGGCTACAGGGTACGTGTATCATCGAAAATTGAGAGGCGATTACATACCTAGGTAAGTACCTTATGTACCTACCTAGGTATGCACTTAGTAATGAAGAAACATCCGTCGATTATCTCTCTCTGTGTTCCAGGGCAACTTTGCGAACTCGATTGCGAGGCATGAAATAAGTAAGCGGGTGCATTGCCTTAGGTACGGCAGGCAGGTACCCCCAGCATTCTGAAAATTCATACCTATCCTAATTCCTGGTGATTCGCATACAGAGGTAGCTAACCGTTCGTCCGTGGTGTTCGGCTTGGGAATTTGAGCTGTACTTCTTTTTGTAGTTCGCGTACCTAAGTACAATTGAATGCGAAATATGGGTCGGCTATTCGTGCTAATATACGATAGTTAGCGTGCGCTTTGATACCGTTGGTATGGAGGATTCTAGCTGATTTGTATACTTACACAAGAACATTGGCGCTTCCTCTCCCGTTCTTCCGATGTCCCCTTTTTGTCAGCCTGAGCAGTATTTGTATGTTCCTTAGATCTTACATACTTAGGAGGCATCAGGTAAGCCCCTGTCACCACCTGTTCTATGGGTGCGAGGGCGCCGGCCGAACACTAAACTGCCCGTTGCCAGGGCTTGCCAGGGCTTGCCAGCCCGGCCACAGCCTAGCAAGCACCAAAGTCACGATCGCCGCCTAATTATAGGAGCCCACTTCAGCCCCAACCCTCAACCCTCAACCTCAACCACCCCAAGCTACGCGTAGTACTACATGTAGGTATCGAGCTTCAGAGTGCTCGATGCATGTACTATGATAAACTTAGCATTCTTAGTACGCAAACAGTCTACACTATTTCCAGTTTCCGGCACTAACCATAAGAATACTGCCGGCACTCTAGTATGTAAGCACTTGACCAGACTGATTTACTTCGTACTTATGATGGGCCTGCAGGTCACCATTAGCACAGTACCAGAAGCCTCCGCCTTTTTAAATGCTTTCTTAGCACTTCAGAACTACATTACCTCAGCGAGTTTACTTGAAACGAGATCGACTTGATCGCCGAGCCAGCCACTTCTGACAGCTCCCATAGGATTTGCTAATCTTATCAGACGAAAAGATCCCTTCCGCTGCCCTACTGGAGATAGCCGGTAAGGAATATATACCTAACCTGCATAGCTATAGTATATACTAATATTACCATAGTTGGATCAAAGCCCTGCCATTAGCTTGTGGGCGGGCTAGTTTATGCTAAGCCTACTTAGGTAGGTGTAGAAAACATAGGCGAGTAGATATCCATAGGAGGCCAATAGCTATCATACTTAGACGGCATATCTCGAATCTAAGTAATCGGAAACGAGTTCAGCTTGGTGGCATTTCCCGGATATCTGCTTGCATCCGACTGAATTCTTCGCCACTTAATGCGCGGACGGTTGGTAACCCGCCTCAAAGTAGCATCAGCCAGTACCGTGGAGGCGCCACCTGAAGATCCTTACTTGTTCCTGGGCTACCGGTAGTTCGCTTACTTCGTAGATATGCGAAATATGAACTTCAACCACTAGGTATGTGTATACGGAACCTCGAATTATCTCGAAATGTTACAAATAAAGAGCTGGCTACATAGCATCGAACGTAGTAACCACTCTAGGGTTATTGATACTTAAATTTCTTAATCTTCGCAAGCGCAGATACGCACTTGGTATTGTGTATGGCTAGAAGCGGGGAGATCAGGGATCGTTTCGTCTTGACAGGTATGGCTAGTCGTTCAATTAAGACTTTGGGGTGATGGGTGAGATGGGCCATGTCTGGTCAAGAGCTAAAAGTTCTAGGTAGCTTTAGGTTAGGCATTACACTACTAATATATACGATAGGCTGCAAGATTGTATGTGCGCTTTGTCATTGATACCTTCATCATTAAGCAAGCCTGCCGCGTGCTGGTCTATGCATCGCATATTATTACGCGGCTCGCTCGGATGAATAACGTCTTCCTGTTCTTGCTATACTCCCTAGGAGGCTACACAAGTACACCCGGTGGACGAATCTTGATCGTTGTATCAATATAGATACCAATAATCACTGCTATGGAGTAGTAACTCTAATTAGGTAGATTTTTTTCAACACATAACACAGTAAACAGACCGTTTCTACAGAACTTGAAATGGCAACGACCATCATGTAGTTAGGTCCCTCCTCCACCATCTGAAGGGTTCCTCCTAGCTTAGCCGCCACCCGTCACTCTAAGAATCTTGAACTGACTAGTGTATTCGTAGTGCTGCAGTAGTAGGTATGATGTACATAGTTATCACCACGAAAAATTTCTATGGTCGGGGTTGTCATGATGTGATGATAGGCAAAGGGCATACGAAGGTGGCACACATGACATTCTTACTTGATTACCTCGCATATTCTTTACATGCCGGCAGGTCTAGTCGCCCGACCTTGCTAGGAACAGAACATCGACGCAACATCTTAGGCATGAAAGCGGCACAGACTTGCTTACCTCGTCTACGCCGTTCTAGATTTCTTCATTGCTCGCTTAGACTTCATCCGGTCATGAGACGTTATCCTTCAATGTTACATGGGAGTCATGAGCAGTGTTGGCGCGGATGGCGAACGATACCAAGCAAAAGCTTGTCATGATGGCTACGTTACCTACCTAGCTCACCGAGCTAGCTTGGGTAGGTATTCAACAAAGGGCCGTCCGTAAGTTAAGCCGCGCCTATGAGAAGCCTCATATTACACTTGCTCTCGTCTCCAGGAGGTATCCCAACCGCTCTGGACAGTTTCTGCATCATACATCATGTTATCCAGCATGTAAGCTCAATCTTCTTATTGAATATGTTCTTACTAAGCCTTTCAGCCTAAGAAAAATCCAAGGTGGTGGTAAATCTTCACAGAGAACCTCAAAATTCAGGTACGTGTAGGTGTTGCTGTAAGCTTATCTCTGCAAGATCTCGGCAGAAGTTCCAGCACGACATTGCGGCAACAATGCCGCACCCGTTACCGTTGCTCGCACCCCGAATGCCAAACGCCGCGGCATGTAAGTAAGCAGCCACACAGAAGCTAATGCAAGGGAAGCAAGTATCAGTCCATATGTCGTCGAATTCCCCGTTTCAAGAATATTAGCGCGCGATTTTCTTAAGAAACCTCTGATGTAAGACGTGACTCACTGACAATTGTTCGCCATGTTAATCAACCAAACATGGAATCAGTGCAAATATTCGTCTCTTCTACTTTAACTCAAGGTCGTTTGAACTACCTGGATTTGTTCTAACAGCCGCACAAATATTTTTAGAAGAACACCACCAGTAACCTGGTACTATATGCCCCATACTTCGGTAGTGTGAGCTTGGAATAGCTAAAAGGAATGTCCAAATCATCGCTGATTGGATGGATCTACGAAACCCCCTGGTAAGACTTCATTTGACGAGAGCTTATTCTTGTGCAGGGGTTGTGAGGTGGGGTGCGGCACAGCACGCCGAGTCAGAAACGTTTAGACATCGGAGGCCACCTCTCTTAGCCGCTATGCCCAATGCCCTAGGATAGTGTAGGTTGGCCAAATTTGGAATACCGACGGTGTGTATAAACAACTTCTTGTCGAGCTGTATTGACCGCTTTTCTTGCCTGAAGGGTGGGTGAAAGTGGGTAAAAAGATGCCGGAAGGATTATACGGGAGGACCCTCCACACTATCGGTCCCGATTATGTACGCTACTCGGTATCGCGTCTCCGAATGCATCGAATAGCCACATTACATGGTACCGCAGACGAGGCTTGATCGATAAGGCTGTTAGTTGCTAGGCTAAGGGAACGTGGATGGAGTGTCTACGTTTGCCAAGACTTATACGAAGCATCCTCAGTGTGCAATGGGGATTTCAAATTCCATCAGGCACTCAAATTATCACTATGCTGTATTGTCGTTGCTAGAGTAGATGCACGTATTGCTAGCATTGATCGATGAGTAAGAATAACTATGTATGTAATGGGAAGCCTAGGCGGTCCACGATGATCCACGAGAGAAGTCGACCTGGGTTGAACGAGTATATTATAACCCATTGATCGCCTACTCTGTCCAGGTTTTTGGTCCGCTCATCATCCACCAACAGGCTCAGACTCCTGTGATTGGTAGACATTTTTACCATCTCTAATTTACGGACACAGTCTCTTGGGCGACAATGATCAAGTCAATCCTAACAAGTTTGTTGCTTGCCACGGCGGCTGTTCAAGCCTCTCCCGCCCTTACAGAGCGCCACCTCGAAAATGCTCGCAGCAATGACGCTTACAGTCTGCCGAAATCGGATCGTAACCCTCGAGCTAGAGCCGCTGCCATAGAAGTGAAGCGAAAGGGCTGGCAGTACTCGGAATACCCCATGGGTGTTGCCTACTACCCCACTGGAACGCTAGCCAACAAGACGATAGCTAAGGACCAAGAGACATGGCTACCTCCTATCTTGAAGATCTCAGAAGCTACTGAGAGAGAAAGCCCAATCGCTCTTGAGGCCATCAAAGCGGTAAGTTCCATAGATCATGCCTTAATCATAATAAACACCAGACTCTAAACTTCTATGCAGAAAGGTGGTTTCAAGACATTGGCTGATTATGCCAACCTGTACGACGGTCAATGGGAGGAGGCTTTACCCGGAGGTCCCTTCGAGGGCATGCTGACAAACTTTACTGACGACCGGATGTTCTCCATGATGAGACTGTCTGCCAGCCCCTACAGACTCAAGAGAGTAAAGCCCAGCGACAAGCTGCCCTTCCCTGTTGACAATGCCGCCGACATCACTGGTCTTTCCCTTAACAAGCTGAAAGCTCAAGGCCGTCTCTTCCTCGAAGACTTCAGTGAGATGAAGGAGCTCGACCCAACAGATAAGTTTGGTGCTGGTTGCCAAGCATACTTCTACATTGATCCTAAGTCTGGTGATTTCCTCCCGCTAGCCGTCCGACCTCTCGTCAAGGGCCGAGAGAACTCAGCTCTTGTCTACACGCCCAAGGATACCGAGAACGACTGGATGCTTGCAAAGATGCTCATGAACCAGAACGACGGATGGCACACAACCTGGGCCCACATCACCCAGTCGCATTCAGCTGCGGAGGCTCCGTACCTCGCCGCCATCCGCACTTTGAGTGACAACCATCCCGTTCTTGCCATGATCAACCGAAGTACGCTTCTCCCCCTTTCGAAGTAACTTCCTATAGCAGTTAGCTAACTCTTCAACAACAGTTGAGAAGACTCCTTGGAACATCCGACCTCTTCTCGAAGACGGTGTTCAGTCTGGAGCTGGTCCAGATGCCGGTCCTCAGTACTACGCCTGGACAAGTTTGGCTGGCCGCCAATGGGCGAACCAGGTTTACTCCTCCGGCGAGACAGCTAACTTCCAGGCCAACTACTATCGCACATTTCTCGAGAACAACGGTCTCATCAACTGCCGCTATGGACCTGCGCTCAAGTCATTCCCCTTCTACGAAGATGCTTCCGTCATCGTCGAGGCAATCCGCGATGTCATGACCACTTTCGTCAACTCCTACTACCCTAACGACAAAGCTGTGGCCAAGGACTCCGAGCTGCAAGCCTGGCAACGTGAGACGGATGTTGCCAAGGTCTACGACTTCCCCAAATCCATCAAGTCCCGCCGCACCCTTATCGACATCCTCACCCACCAGGCTTACCTTGGAGGCATCGTTCACGGTGTCATGAGCACTAACGGAGCCATTGGCGACACCACATCTCTCCCCTTTGCCCCCGCTGGTTTCCGCCAGCCGATCCCCACCAAGAAAGGCGTCAAGGACCTTATGGCCTTCATGCCCACTCCCGAGGGCGCCGTCTGGCAAGTCGTTACCTACGCCGCTGCCAACCGTGCCATGTGGCGTGACACCAACGAGACCATCTCGTACATGTTCGAGGATGAGGCGATGTTGGACAAGATGAACCCGGCCACGTACAAGGCCGCCAAGAGCTTCAAGGCTAAGATGGATGCCTTCAGCACGGAGATCCGCGCCCGCACCTTCGACAAGGACGGCCTCAGCCGTGGCATGCCCTTCATCTGGAACGTACTCGACCCCAACTGGGCTCCTTACTGGAGTGTAGTCTAAATGCGAGTCTTTCATTTCTGGATATCTTATTAGAAGGTTTAGTATGGGAACTGGTGTTCATAGAATGCATGATACTTATGGATTGACGAATTTTTTTCTCTCTCTTTCTCTCAAATCCACGATCCATAGGCACTTGGATATATCACATGTGCAGGGTTGGATTGAAGATAGCGCTTTTTTTTATAGAATAGATGCCAGACAGCTAGGCATATCTACCGGCGCATAAATATGAATAGATGCCATACATTGACCTTCCAACAAAGACACGGTTTCGGAATTGTGAATTTTAGGATCGAGGAGAGGATTATAGTATTTGCAGGTGTAAGCATGCAGCGTGAAGCCAATGCCCCTTGATTACCAAAATACCCTCTGTTGATCTGGCTCTCTCATCCCGTCTGAATAGGGCCTTGATAGGGCTGAATAAGCAGAAGTGTTGAACGCTAACTTGTAGGTAGATCAGTCCATCATCCATCAATGGTAGACCTACCTTTCCTTAAACGCGCTAATCTCGTAGCTTGGACACTGGCAGTTGTCCCTACGAATATGTTATTAAGTTACAGTTCAAACCATCTTTCCAGAAGAATCTAAATTTAAACCTTATATAGAGCCAATACCGACAGCACTAGCTATCTCTGGCACTTGAGATGAAGCAATATGTACTTGCCTTTTAGGGGACAAAGGTGCTGATTCCAACCAATCAGATGCACTCACTATGTTGTTTACAGGGCCATCCAACGCAGCACAAGTACAAATCTCGCGGAGCTTATTGAAGGAGAAATGTATAACGATAAATTATTAATTGCCCGAGTTCAACTATTCACGTGAGAGATACATGCCAGCATCGCCCTCCCATTCCTATTTCGAGGCTGCTGATTGTCCCTGTCCCAATGCATTACACATTCTATGTAAGTAGGTTACATCTACCTTAGGTAACATGTAAGTACATAAGTACATATGCAGTACCTGGGTACCTACATGTATACACGAAAACAGAAGAAGCTACTGTGGGGATTGCTCGGCGATAAGCTGATAGGCCCTTCCTTCTCAGCCGCGCCATGCCTATTCCAGATTAGCCCCGGCTTCGCCCTGTCCTTTGATCGAGTCCATCCAAGCAGACCAAAGCAAAGCAAATGCCTAGGTAGCCTGACTTTTTTCCCGGCCGTCGTTGATCCTGCAAAATCGCCATTCTCACGCCTTCAACCTTTTCCATTGTCCACTTCACACCGACCGCACCTTGACGATTTCAAAAAACGTGCAATTTCGCTGTTGCGCAATCTTCTCTCTTCGCACCCGCCACATTCGTTCCCACCGTCATGAACAGGGATGACCATCTGGCGCCAGTTGTGATTAAGCTTCCTCAGCTTCATAGCTGTTCGTGACCTCGCCTACCTAGTTCGAATATTCGTCGCGCCGCCTTGTTTCCACGTCCTTTGTCATTCACGACTTTCTCATATCATCGGCGAACGCGCCTCATTATTCTATCGCTAGAGATTCTCGCTCCGCCGCGCGTCTAGCCTTACTAAACGAACCGGCTACAGGCTGCTGGTCCACAGAAACCCTCGCTTGGTGACACTTCAACGCGTCGCCATCAACGCACTACCTCGTCAAGCGACACGATGGCAGCTGAAAGTGTAGATACTGCTGATCCCCAGATAAGTGGTGATGCTTCATGGGACGATGCTGGATGGTCAGGCAACCCGGAGCCCAATGATCTAGGGATGGAAGCTGGCGAAGAAGAAGAAGAAGAAGAGGAGGGCCCTGATGCAGATCAAGCCGGCCCAACTTCTGACGGCTCTGACGATGCTGCCGACATGGATGAAGAGTACGACCCCGAATCCGTCGAGATTACAACTGCGTACAACCCCGAATCTGTTCCAACACCCGCCCCTCCTGTTGACGAAGAGCATCGCGCTTCCGCTGCGCCAATTCGTCAAAAGCCGAAGACTGCTGGAGGTTTCATAGTTGGATCATCCGATGACGAAGATGAAGACCCTACTCCTCCCCCAAACCCTCCCAAGACTGCCCAGACTACCGGACAGTCCCATGCCTATGCCAACTCCCCATTACAGCAAACAACAACCACTCACGAGATAACGCCACAAACCGCTCAGACCTGTGTCGCTACTGTTTCTGCGACGGACCGCCCTGTAGGCAATAACAACGCGAAATCGAGACTTCCAACAGACGTGGTTGGCATGCTCGAAGATCGCATTAAAGAAGACCCAAAGGGCGATATCGAAGCGTGGCTTGCTCTTATCGAAGAACAAAAACGACGGCACAGGATTGAGGAAACCAGACATACTTATGAGCGCTTCCTTGAGATTTTTCCAAAGGCTGTAAGTGATTGGGACTATCCTCTCAATGTACCAACACTAACTTCTTTTAGGCCGAGGTTTGGGTTGCATACGTGGAATTGGAGATGAGTCTGGACAATTTCCAACAGGCAGAAAGTATCTTCAACCGCACTCTTTTCGCCATGCCCCACGTGCAACTCTGGACGGCGTACTTGAACTATATCCGTCGGAAAAACGACCTGAACGACCCCACTGGTGTGGCTCGTCAAACAGTTAGCCAGGCCTACGAGTTTGTGCTTAATAAAATTGGGCAGGATAGAGACGCAGGAACAATATGGCAAGACTACATCGCCTTCATCAAGAGCGGTCCTGGTCAGCTAGGTGGCACCGGCTGGCAAGACCAGCAAAAAATGGATCTTCTCCGCAAAGCGTATCAACGTGCCATTTGCATACCTATGGCCAATTTGAATATCTTTTGGAAGGAGTATGATCAATTTGAGCTAGGCTTAAACAAGATGACTGTTAGTGCTGTCTTTCATCATTGATTCTATTAATTACTAATGCTGTGTAGGGTCGCAAATATCTCCAAGAGCGCTCCCCCGCATATATGACGGCTCGCAGCGCAAATACAGCCCTGGAGAACATTACGCGCGGACTGAAGAGGACAACTATCCCTCGTTTACCTCCTGTGCCTGGTTTTGAGGGCGATCAGGAATTTCTTGAACAGGTCAAGCTTTGGAAGGCTTGGGTTGCTTGGGAAAAGGATGACCCGCTAGTCCTTCGATCTGAGGATCCGGCATCCTACCAACAACGTATCCTACATGTTTATAAGCACGCTCTTATGGCCTTGCGGTTTTGGCCCGAGATGTGGGTTGATGCAACGGAGTGGTGCTTCGAGAACAAGATTGTCGATGACAATAATAATGACATGGGACTTTCATTTCTTGTTGATGGTGCTACTGCGAATCCCGAAAGTGCTCTGATAGCACTCAAACATGCTGACCACATTGAGCTGACCCAACGTGCTGGCGAAGATGAGCACGCTAAGGCTGCTTTAGCCCAGGCTGTGAGGGCTCCATATGACAAAGTTCTCGACACATTATACGAAATGATAAAGAAGCTAAAAGAAAAAGAATCCTCAGCTGTAGCTAAGATTAATGAGGATACTGCAACAGAAAAGGCCACAAATGAAACCGCTGGAAATGACGAGGACGATGATGAAGGCGAAATCAAGGAAAACTCCACGTCGACCATATCCAAACAGGACCGGATCAAAGCAGTACAAGATGGGTTTGCGGTTCAAATCCAAATGCTATCACAGCAGATATCATACCTTTGGATTGCCCTCGCACGCGCCTTCAGACGATTTCAAGGGCAGGGCAAAAGCTCGCCAGCTACTGGTCTGCGAGGAATTTTCACCGAGGCCCGTGGAAAAGGACGTCTTACTAGTGAAGTTTACATCGCAATAGCACACATCGAGTGGGATGTCTATCAAGATTCCGTTGCAACCAAGATTTTTGAACGGGGATCACGGCTTTTCCCAGAGTCGGAGCACTTCTTTGTTGAGTATCTCAAGCACCTGCATGCCAGACGTGACTTTACAAGTGAGTTGCGAGCCTTGTATGCTATGCATAGTTACTAATTCTCCATCCAGACGCTCGAGTTGTTTTCTCTCAAACGGTCAAAAGATTCAAAGAAAAGCCTGAGTTAACCCCCAAACTGAAACCGCTCTACGCGTATTTCCACGCTTATGAAGCCAGGTATGGTGAACTTGCTCAAGTACAAGAGCTTGAGAAACAGATGGCCGAGCTGTTTCCCGACGAGTCCAGCATGTCGCCTTTCGCTGCAAGATTTGCAACTGATAGATTCAATCCTATTACTGCTCGTGTCATCGTTTCACCCACACAACAAATGCGTCCCAAGGCCGCCATTCTCCAATCCGTCGAAGATGCTTCACCTTCTATCCGGGCTACTCCGCAGCCTGTAGCGCAGATCGAACGGAGTCCACGGCCACAGTTTATGCCAGTCAACCCAGTTAACGTTAACTCGCCGAAGCGGCCTTTCCAAGTTGACGAGGCTGATGACTATAATCCACCCCGGAAGATCGCGAGAGGAGTTTCTCCACTTAAGGGTGCTGCTGGTCGCCGACTTGATCAACAACGCCGACAGGGGGGAATAACTGCCTCGGGGGCCACGATCCCAATTCCACGCGATATAACCTTCTTGCTTGGACTTATTCCTCCCGCTGACACGTTCAACGCCCCTCGGTTCAAGCCTGAGCGTGTAGTGCAGCTAGTTCGCGACACCGACGTTCCAACTTTCTCCGAATGGAGAGCGCAGAACGAGCAGTCATCGCGTGCTCATACTCGCCCAGCATCGTCAGATTACACACCCTATCAGTACTCAGGGCGAGATTCACCTGGTGTCACTGCCCGACCGGCTAGTCCATATGGTGGCACTACTCGTTCAGTAGCCCAGGCCTCTGCACCTTACCGAAACTCGCCCCTTCGCCCAGGCTCTAGTGGGTCATACGAGCCTCCCCCGGCGACATACCAAGCTCCCGGCCCAAGTCCCTTCAATCCCATTGCTCAGCATCAAGGAGTTCCAGTTAACCCTTATCCTAGCTGGCCGACTAATTATGCTGAGCTAGCATCTCAATTTTCGGCGTCTCACGCCGCTCCACCTCAGTCCTACCCGGGATCTTATTACTAATCCACCGCCTACCAAGATCCATAAACAATGAATCGCAGGACAGCCGTGAATATTGTAGGGAGTTAAGAAATACGTCACGATGGCACGCTGGAGCGAGCTAATCTGCCAATGACTATGTCAGTGGAATATGGCCAACTAATTCCTCATTTCCGTAGTGGCTGATTCTGACTACCCATCCCGACATCCGGACATCTCCTAAGTGGCAGCTCCTTGACTGATTCGATCATGAAAAGGCGTAGTAGTCGATTGCATGTAATTCAAACTGTGCAGTCAACTGAGGTACGATTCACTTCATTCAAGCAGTACGGATCAAAGAGCACTCGCAACAGTGTGTAAATAGTAGAAAACGGCAACTCGGATAACAGGGTTGTTTTCGGTAGTTCAACAGCATATTGCAGACGGTGGTCTCTTCTGCATTGGTTTGGCGTTTTGTGGAAAATAGCAGTTGAAGTAATGGCCTCGGGCCGGATTTGCTTCGTGTACCAATCTTATGTAGGAGTATGCCCTTGGAGAGTTTTTGCGATCTTGCCTTGGCCAGAAATTTAGGCCGTGGGTAGATAAAAATTAAATCATCTTCATGTTTTGCGGGATATTACCTATCTGATTATTTGTGAGATTATATAACTAGCCTTTCTTGGTGCATGCTAACACTTGGTGGCGAGCTACATCCATGACCTTGGTGAGTTGTAAGGAATATGAAATACGTGAGAGGTTTTTTTGGTTCGTATTTAATCACTGTCATAGATTACTTTTAAGGGCTTCTCAGTTCGTTCATGGGTCCTCGTATGAGATATTAGAACCTTTGGTGAACCGCGCGCGAATCGATAAGCCGCTCCTTATTAGCCTGTTTGCCGTACATAAGACGAATATACAACATGCTGTGAAGTTTCTCTTTCAAAATAGTCATCATTGCCCCTTTTTAGTTCGCAAACACCTGTTCGACCCATCGGAATGAGCTGACTTATCACGTTGGTCTAATTTCCAACATATATGAGAATAGCTTAACTATCTCCTTACAATGGCTTCACAGCGCCCCAGTTTGATATGTCGGAAACTGTATAAATCACTATTTTCAACCATGTCATTCATTAGTAGTTACAATTAGAGAACAGCACTCTCATATAATCATGCCCTTAGCATAAGAGCAAAAAGCTTCAGAATCTTGGTGTAACAAGTAATATCATACAGTATGCATATAATTAGTCGCATTTATAATGCCATTAGACCCCGTTTGATGAGAGTGTGTGTCGCATTGCCCGTTTCATCCTCCTAGAAAGCGTTCATCTTGACTGAGTTTTGGAGTGCAGCTGGTTGACCAGAGGGTGTCAGTCGGACATGAGAAGCTAGCCGCAGCGGGTGTGTCCTACTTACTTTTCATCAGCTTAGCCTCAACCTCACTCTGTGTCTCTTTATTGGTCACGTGTTGAGACTGAGAAGTATGGGACGAAGCCGATGTGAGAGGCTGAAGGCTCTCTGTGTCTTTTGAGGTACTGCCGGTTTTCTGGGTTCGAATGGCTCGTCCCTTGACTTTGTTCAGAAGATTAGGCATTGAGAGAGTAAGTATAACTAATCAGTCGAGTAATAGATTGTATGAGACTGAAAGTCGCTAAGAAACCTCCTTGGCCAGCTCGGACGATGCTGGATACCTCTGGTATAGGAAGACTAGTCAAGACCACCGCCTCCTTATCAACGCCTTAGTAGTTCGCTCATGTATTCGCCTACTCTCAGGCCATGGTGTAATGTTAGATGGTTACGACCTTTCGTATCTACAGTAGGGTCGCGTCAATACTAAGTGATCTGATTCGTCGAAGCGGAATTCCGGGTGATCAATGAATTCGTGGTTACACGACAGTATAGGTCATACGATGCCTCGCGTAGTATGCTGTAAGTAAGACGGTAAAGTTCCACGCATGGTTTAGGTAGGCTCTCGGGGATAGGTCATATCTAGGATCCTGGATATACCGTACTGCAGAGCTTGCATCGTGCTTGGCTATGGCCATGCGCGCACAAGGTGGGGGCGTCAGTGTAACGATATGGCCATCCTGTAGGCAGTATCGAAGTGCTAGAGAGTTTTTTGTCTTGGACAAATGAGGACTGAGCCACCTGCCTGCGGTCAGTTGATTTAATCTACACTGGTGTCTTCTCTATCATCAATACACTAACTACCCTTAGTTGTGTGTACTACATTACATATTTTCTGGTTACCTTTTTCTAGCTTCTTAGCTCCTAATTGACAAAAAGATTCACTCTGCTGAGTACTATCCAAATCCGATAGTGGGGGTGACGGAGAGTGAAGCGCCATAAGTTTGCTCTTATACTATCAGAACCTACGACTTTGGTGAGACTTTAGCGCTAAGGGGTTCGCGCAGGGTTCAGTAAATTAGTTAATATCAAAATGATTGATACTCTAGTATCTTAGCCAGTAACAAAACTAAAGGATGTGAAGTGCGCCATAGGAATCGAGGATGTCTTAAGTCTGATGTTCTCGGAGACTCGGACCGTGCCTGACCAATAGCCACTACTTCATCTCAGACTAGGCTGTTCTATGACAGGTAACTTGAAGATGCCACGTTGATAAGGGGTTGAGTAGCCGTCCACACACCGACTGATGAAGGGGAGGTTGGTTGACAGCCATGGCTTGTTACACGAATATCAGTGTCCAGATTCAACCTCTTTCAGTGTTGATATAGCTACAGTTAATAAGCTGCGCAGAAGAACGTTGTACTAGGTACAGGAGAAGGTACATGTTTTCTGCTTGTCTAAATCTAGGCTACCGGCCTATTCTTTAGTTTTACCTACACGGACGTATCCGCGCTCGGCTGCCGCGAATTATAGAACTTGTGACATTCTATACAAGTAGGCTCTGACTACACCTCTTTGACCGGGCCTCTAAAGTGTCGGTGCGCTCGGGCCCAGTACCAGGTGACACTGAACAGTAATGTAGCTCCAAAGACCAAAACACTCCAGTTGAAGCGCCCCGGACTCGGGTTCGGGCTCTGGGGCCAAAAGGACCAAAACAAGAGCAGAGTAGCATACATGCAGGCAATAATGTTATTTATAGTGCCGAAGGGCTCCAGTATCCTCCATGGCCCCCATTGCATTCCCTCGTCTCTGCTAATTCCACGACCACTGGTGCTTGTGCAACGTCGCCACAGGAGCAGACTGCATGAAAGAAGATAGGACGAGAAGAGAGCCGCGATTACAAGGGACAATAGGGCGGCGAGCGCCACGCTTGACGCCAGCACGATCAGAGAGAGGATGATGGTGGTTCCAGTTGTCGCGATGATGGCATTGGTGGGTAACGCATTCTTATTAAGCTAGACAAACTTGCAGTTAGTCATTGATCCAACTATGGCTCAAATAGACACGTGTAAATGGGGAATGTCTCGCCTTCACCAGATGCTGGCTTAGGGGTACACCCCTATCACGCGCAAATGACCAAAGCATCCGCGAAGCAGTCGCATAAGATCCGATCGTGCTTGCGACTGCTAAGACAAAGATGATGCTGGCCATTGCGGCAGCCCCTGCTGTTGACTTGACGGCAGATCGGAAGACATGAAGAAAGGGGTAGAACATAGTGGACGAGGACTTAACAGCCGCTTCTAGATCCGAGATGCTGAACAGAAAGCCTATTAGAAGTGCGAAAGCCAGGGTTCCATTCAGAAGGAGCGTGTAAATTAGAGCTTTGGGGACAACGGTAGACGCCGACTGAATCTCTTCAGACATGTGAACAGCACAGTCGGCACCTATAAGCGCAGACGCGACCGTCGGTAGCCCCACGAGGAAAGCTACACCCTGAGACGGCCACCCGTGGTCATTTCTTATGGTTTCGAATACAAAAGAGGCAGTGTTGTGTGGTGCGAAATATACCAAGGGAACCAAGATCCCAAAGAAGCCAGCTAGGTGTAAGATAAGTATTAGCCCTTCGATCTTGGCTAGCGTTCGGCTTGTTGTAAAATTGATCGCGACCGTGAAGAAAGTCACGGCATAGATGATAAGGATCGTATGCCATTGGCGTGCCACATAAGAAGGGGTTGTTAAGACGATGATGCCTTGAAGTATAGTAGCTGTCGTGTAGTTCGATGTCAACGCCGCGGCCTGCCAAGCTAAAGTTGTGAGCCAGGCCGTGAGGTACGTCAGAAAGGCAGCGCAAGATTCTGGAGCTATCATAGCAACCCAGTAGTCTGACTTTGCAATTAGTTCCCGGTCAGTCTAAAGAGGGGGGTGAGAAGCTTGCATTGCCCCCCAGCAGTTGGCGCAGCCGACGCAAGCTCTGCCATGGTCGCGGTAACCGACATGGTACCAATCCAGCTAACGACAAAAGCCCAAAGAACTCCAGCGGGCCCAGCAATGAGAAGTGCAGGAGGCGTCGTCCCCAGTGTTCCCTCCCACGAGCTCAAGGCCGAGCAAGACAGTCCGAGGATAGACATGAATCCAAAACTCCGAGTGAGCAACGGACGCTTTCCGAGCCGTCTTAGGGTGAGATCATCCTGGATTCGTGCCTGTTCGTCTGTTTTATCCTCAGAGCTATGCTCGAAGCGAATGCCCCGAGAATTTAGCTCCATGCTCTCGGTTGCCATCATTATTGAGTACGAATGTGGTCTCGTAGATGCCGAACTGCAGTATGGTGGCGGAGACTCAAGGAGCGACGAAGAATGAGAAGCTGCTTGGATAAGATCATAGGAGGCAATGCTTGATTTGAAGATAGCGACGGAGAGTAAGGTGCGAGAGGTTGTAATGCTTGCTCTTCGAATGATCAAGCCGCAACAGCAAGTAAAGGGGGCATGCCATAAGCAAAAACTGCCACTTCAGCCCCTAAGTGTCAACACGACAGGTGACAGTGGAAAACCAAAAGCACGTTTGGCTTGTCTCTGCTCGTGTAACAGTCGGTTCACATGTCCACGTACTTAGTCCTATGTGCTGTCTGTGGGAGCGTCGACACTCAGTAGGATTCGGGTGCAGACGCAAAGCATGGTCCGAATAGCTACACGGTTATACAACGCGCCGACCTGACGGATATAGAGCTATTTTAGGAATTACTTGGTATTAGAATGCATTTGACCGTCAGGAGAGTACCTATGTACTTAAAATACAGTTCTACCTTACCAGTCCGATCGACCAGGGATTTGGACAGCATTGTGAGGCCCCCTGTTCCGGTATTACTCGCCGTTCGACCCCCTAGACAACGTAGCTGAATGCTATTGAGCCTTGTTTGAGCTTAGAGACAAGGGTAATGAAGAAGTCCCCTTACCCCAGGCTTGACCCCTCCGCACGCGAATAAGACTCAATTATGCCATCCTTGATTACAAGTCACAGCTCCAACTTTCCAGGGTCCCATATTCTTGAATTAACATCCCGCAGATTGACATTTTTGCTCTATTGGAATCGAGCTTGTCTTAATCACTTATCCCAATGACGCAGACGGCAGTAGATTTCAGCCCGACTTTGCAAGTCGTCACCTGGCTTTTGCTAGCTCTCCTCTCACTTGTACTGTTCTTTCGACTTTTGACGAGATTTTTCATCAAATCTGACCGGTATATTGGGTACGATGGCCTTTTCATTCTGTTTGCTTTCGTAAGTCTCCCCCTGCCCCTAGGCTTGAGCGTCGCTGGATCTTTGACAGGTGTTCGCGGTCGGAGAGTCAGTAACAGAGATCATACCCCCTGGCGCAATCTATGGACGCGATATTGGCTCGATTTCACCGACACAACTTCAGAGCGGCATCAAGGTCAGTTATGCTCACGAATATTGTAAAAGAGTTCTCCGTTATTGACATCTTGTTGAGGACGGCTATGCGCGGGACATCTTATTCTTGCTCTCATTGGGGTTTGCCAAGCTTTCTGTAACGTCCGGCTTGATGATTCTCTCTCCAAGACGACCAACCCAGCTTGTCATCAAGACCACAACACTTACAATAGCCGTGTGGACTGTATCTTCGGTCCTCATTGCTGCTCTACAGTGTGGAGCCCAGGGGCCATGGGCTTCTAAGGCTAAGCAGTGCATCGATATAGTAACCAAGCTTGCAGTATCCCTTTTTGGACCAAATTCTAAGTCATTCTAGGTCGCATTTTGGGAGTCCGTATCTATCATCAGCCTACTTCTCGATATCACTCTCGTGGCAATACCCGCTTTTATCGTATTTCCGCTGCACATGTCACTTAAGATGCGCCTAGTGGTTATCTGCTTTTATTCTGCCCGGCTTCTGTATGTCATGTCGTCCTCCATTCTAGGGCTTCAGATGTTTAACAACCTGCTAGGTGTATCGTGCCGACTATCTTCCAGCTCATATACACTCCTCGGCTGGCGGACGACAACTTCATTTGGAGTGGATTTGCCTTCTACCTGTCTATGCAGCTTGTGCAGTTTACTAACATCTCTACGGCGTGCATCATTTACTTTTGGCCATTCCTGCGGTCTTTACAGACCGGCTTGATCTTTCACAATAAGGATGGCCTTAAGCTACAGTATAGCCTGACCAAGATGCGTAAGTTGGGCTCAAAGGACAGTGGGAATTCTGCGTTGGCGCTGAATCAAGCAGCACGTGACAGAAATGATTATGTCGAGATCACGACTGAAATATCCGCTGCCTAGAAAAGAGATTATATCAATGCTCCTCTACAACATACCGATGGAAATTACAGTTGTGTAACTCGCATAGACATTGCAGAAATAACCCGTACCCGTTAGCTCCCTTTTCAATACCTGAGCGACTTTTTGATAATCTAATATCTTTGACATGCTAGGCATTTTCCTGCGTGGTAGGACTAGCATCTCGTCTGACGCGCCCTTCGTAAGTTCGAGATCCTATAGCACAGAGATAGTCCCATGAGAAGAATCGAGTTATTGATCAACCGATTTGTTCATGAATTCCTATTCCTCCCTTTTCTCTCTCTTCCTGACTTCATCTTGAAGTGAGCTATTGACAAACCAAATACAAGTCTTACCTCCCCTGAAAGTTCTTGGCAAATTTGTATCGAGGGGATGGAAGCAACGTTACTCGCTCATTTGCCGTAACGTCCCTCTCCGAATCATGGTCAGCCAGTCTGTTAATCTCGGCTGTCAGCATCATTGTACGGGTAGCACTCTGGGAGGTGGCGTTTGCGCTTCCTGTCAGGATTCAAACCTACCAGGCACTCTCCGAGCTCAAAGCTAGAGAAGGAGGGGAAGATAAAGTAGGAATAGGGTAGCTACATACGGTGGTCTCGTCGCATACGGCTACATTGCCACCAATCATGGGTTATGTGTAACAAACATCTGCAGGCCAGAAACCAGGATCACACATCAGGCTGCAGGCAGCCGGGAAGATAATTACTAAGTACCTGCCGAGGGTCCAGAACGTTCGAGGGATGTAGCGCAAGGTGGGAGAAACATCACCTGTCATCCACCTTAGTCCTCGCCATGCGATCACTCGACAACTGAGTACTTGGATGAATCATTACTCACATGACGTGCTAGCTAATGTCAAAAGCCCCTGCAGTAATCCCAACTATCACACACATTGAGTATTCTCATCTACGGACCTCATTGATACACGGCGCAGATGCCGATACTTTAGATGCCAACGTGACATCAAGGCAGAGTCTATAGCTTTAGCTGCTCTTTATGTCAACCCAGATACTCGTATTAGTAGCCTCGCTTCGGTCAATACTCCCATGATTATGCATGTCTGCTTGGCGAGATATGAGAAAGTGGTACGGGTTCCGTATATGTTACTCCCAATGGCTTTGTCGTATAACACTCAATGTTGTGTAATACAATCACATCACTGCTTTACTAGCCCCGCCATTAGGGCGAAGCACTGAGCAGAACTCGGAGTTTCTTACCAGCTTGGGCATTCCCTATCTTCGATCTACTGAATCGAGGTTCAATTTGATGGAGCTCTATATCACAGCGTATTATGTTCACGGTTTAGGAGCAGGCTGTATGGATGCGATTTCATGGTTGGTCTAGAAACGCAAGACCACGAGATGAGGGAGAGGATGCCCACCTAGAATCGTATCAACTTACGAATCAATCCGACAAAGGGCAGGAGAAGCAGTCCACATTAGAGGAAATCAATTCTTCACATACTCGACTTAGAACACAGCCTTGATTAGGTAGATATGCGCAAAATTAGCTCGCTCGCTTAGGTCCCGGCATCAGTGCCCTTCGCTTCAGTGCGTGCTGCGCTCCAACCTCTCAGTACGCAAGTTAACTAGCTGTAGCTGCGTACAAATGTCTGCTTCGAGGTCTCAACTCCAGTTCTATCAATATCATGCTGCTTCATCTGCCTCAGCTACAACTTTCTCTTTTGGAATGATTTTCTGGTAAATCGGGTTCCCATCAGATGGCTCAGGGGCCTCTATGGCTTGTAGTTAGCATCCCACGAGACACTCAAAGGCAACGACACTCTAGCGAGTCCAACTTACCGACAGGAAGCGAGGTAACAATGGAAAACAGCCCAACAAGGAGCACGAGGAATATCTTCTGAAGCATCTTGATTTGTATGTGACTGTTGTATTTTTTGCCTGACGGGCTCAGTTTAGTAGGGTAGAGAAGGTATTGTTATTCTCTCGTATGACGAATGGATCTCGGCACTCATTAGATAGACACTTCGAAGGTGTACGAGCTCCTCTTATACTTTTTCAATCAGGGATTGGCGTCCCTTGTAATAGCCCACAACTCATGGCTGCCACGATCGAATAGATAAGCCGAAGCCAGCTGCATCTATATCGTCATTCTTGAGCAGAGAAAGTCGAAAGGTCTGCATTCCATAGTCTATGACCCCAATCTGCAACCACACTAGCAAGTATCCAACTCGTGCGTATCCTGCGATGCAGCCAAGGCGCGGGGAGAGCCCGTGATACTCTATGATTCGTGTCCCGGTTCTGGACTATCCCAAATTATTTCGTTCTAATGTCCTAACAAGACTACCATCAGCATTCATGTCAGCCTTCCAACTTTCCATTCTGACACCGACTTCCACTTGTTAAAACTGTATAGCGTCTTGTAAGAAGCTGGGCCTCATACACTCAACCATGGGCAAAGATAGTGGTGATTTCGATACTCCTCTTCTCGAAAGCATTTGGAGTGATGAGCAATCAACTCGCCGGCCTTCTCTTCCCCGGCGGGAGTCATTCTTAAAGACAAGCTTATTCTTTCTCGTGCATCTCATTCACTTCGCTCTACTATCTTATATTGCTGTACTGGGTACTTTGTATATTCGCCAGCCCCTTTGCACACCTATTTCGGATCCCCCAAGCTCGGTAGCAAGTGAGTATGCAAGTGAGTTCCGGCCCCAGGTCTTTGTGGTCAATGATAATTCTGATAAGTTCAAGAGCTGTTACAGATGCCACTGGAGTTTGAAGAGAGAAGCGCTTGGCTGCCTCTTCAAGCACCATGGGATCAAGAGCCATCTCCTGCCCTAGACCAGGCTTGGGCTGACCTGATGTTTGGTTTGTTGAAGCTTGCCGTACTATTTCGTCATAAGAGGCATACTGATGTTCTTCGGAAAGGTCTTAATGTGAGAGTCACAACAGATGAGGTGGAATCACTCGGGTTTAATAGAACAAACCGACTTCGTGTCAACGGAGGGGACTACTTCGGCGTGGTGGGCGTGTATCACCAAATTCATTGTCTGAATTCCATTCGTATGATGCTCCATTGGGACTACTACAAAATCCAATTTGCGAATTTCCCAGAGTCTGATGAGTTGTTCACCCTTGCGCACACGGGTATGTCCCGAACCTTTGGAAATCTTGGAGCTCAACTGCTGATAGCGCCACAGTCCATTGTATTGACACTCTACGTCAGTGGTTGATGTGTCACGGCGGCGTCGAGATTCACTTAGTCAACTGGGTGGACAGTCCTGCGGAGAGGCAGCTCGATGGAGCGACTTCAACAACGTGTTTGAAATGGGACAGCTTAGCGGCCTGGACTAGGCCGAGGACTCTCGTTCCAGGGACTTACACCTACCGACCTGGGCCGCTCCAGGAGAGCAGGCAAACATGAGAGGGGGAGAACGCTGTGCCAAAAGAGATTGAACTTTGGACTTAAGAACACCGATCCTAGCGAAGCAAAGTTTTTCTAATAGTAAATAATAACGTATTCAAGGCTGATCATGTATTGAGTTCATTCCCATGGTAAACTTGTACCACTAATTACAGGATCTTGTCTCGAATCTAGCTCCCCTTTCTGCTGAGTGCAGAAGTTTGACCCTTCACACACAAATACGCTAAGCTGTGTTGCGGATGGCCCTACCCAGAGTGTGGGCCGATAAATGCACGAAGACAAACAGTCGGAATTCGGGGTCTTATCGCGGCCGGAATAAGTGGTTGCGACGTCGCTGTAATCTCGGATACGAGAGCACAAGTGAAGCCTTTTCTTGCCATTTAGGTACAGCCAATAAGTTCGGGTGCCCATCCTATCTATGTAATGAGCAGGCTGGTCTGCGGACTGCCTGTCCGGATTGGAGAGTCAACTATAGATACCACCCATCAGACGTAAAGTCGCAGTTGCTCGGGAAGCAATAGTAGTCCGATGTAGCATCGCAGGGTCATAAGCTGTTATCCATGTCTACACCGCCAGTCTTAAAGCTCCTTCATTCAGCCTGCAACAGCCAAAATCTGATTCCCGTTGGCAAGCTTGCATGCCTGCTCTCTTGTTAGACGCAACGTGTGCGGCTATAGTAGGGTTGGCCACACACATGCACGGTTGCACTCCTACAACAACGCCTCAGTGCTGCAGGCTGCGTGCCGGCCATGTTTGTTTGTCAAGGACATGGTAATTTCATAGGCCAAACCGGGTCCTAGCTGAACAGGTCACAGGATGCTGTAGTGGAACGACACTCGTTTGATAAGGACCTTTCCGTCCCATGCGGTTCCCCCCAAGCCCTCGGTTGGCAAACCAATAATTTCGCCTTGGTCTTTGCCTGGAAGCAGAGCATTGGAGTGTTTGTCACTCATCTCTAGCACACCACTTCTCCTCTCACCTAGGTACTTTGGCTTTCTTGGCCGTAAGATTTCTCACTCACATCACCATCTGAACATGGATGACAACACGATCACAGGCGAGGTTGCCTTTGACGCACCCGGCGCCGGCAAGCCATGCAAGACTTGGTATAAGGTCCTTGGCAACATCGGCGCCTCACAGACCCCGCTGGTCGCGCTCCACGGAGGCCCGGGCGCCGGACATGATTACCTAGCCGCTCTATGTGACCTGCACGAGAAGCACGGCATACCCATCGTCTTTTACGATCAAATCGGATGCGGCCGCTCAACCCATCTGAGAGAAAAGATGGGCGACACTTCGTTTTGGACATTCGACCTCTTCGTCCGGGAGCTTGACAATCTCATCAACCACCTGCATCTCAGAGGAGGCTTCTATCTCTACGGCTCCAGCTGGGGGGGCATGCTGGCGAGCTACTATGCCAGCACGTCTCCCCCAGGTCTGAAGAAACTCATCCTACTTAGCGCTCCGGCGAGTGTCCCACTCTATGTCGAGGGCTGCAAGGGACTGCTGGCGGGGCTACCCGAAGACGTCCGCCGTACCTTGGAGGAATGCGATCGCAAAGGCGACCATGAGAGCGACGAGTTCAAGACTGCTGCGCAGATATTCATGAAGAAGCACGTCTGCCGAGTCGATCCCATGCCTGAGGCCGTCCAGCGATCCTTGGACAACCTCAAGGATGACCCGACGGCGTATCTGACCATGTAAGTTGAATCAGCCTACAGCTCGAGTATAGTATAGCTGTTCAACCTACGGAACACTGACGTATCACCAACGATGATAATACAGGCAGGGCCCTTCTGAGTTCATCATAATCGGGAAAGCTTTCAAGGACTGGGAGGGCTTTAGATTCGGCCACAAGATTGCCGTCCCCACGCTGCTCATCAATGGGCAGTACGATGAGGTGCAGGATACGAGCTTCGAGCCTTGGTTCCACACAATTCCCAAAGTAAGATGGGTGACTTTAGAGGGCGCTAGTCATATGTCTCCTTGGGAGGCACACGACAAGTTCACCCAAATTGCTGGGTCATTTTTGACATCTAACATAGCTGTTTGAGAGAGTCTATTGATGTCGCCTTCTGGCTTCTCTCCTCTGGGCTTTTCCTGCAAACTACATGCTACGATGTTATTCGCGGATGGATTATGGGAATTTCGCAGGTATTCTGTATTTCATTCGTAGATCAAGCCATCAGGCAGCAGAGTTGCCTCTTACCTTGCCGCATCTGTTGGCCATTGTGCTATTAGTTAAATGATGGCCTGCCAAGTGGGTGGTACTGAATTCAGAAGAATGTGATCGTTGCATTGAGCTGGAATTTGCCGTGATTGAGGTGGGAAAACCTCCTGATATACATTTACAGGTCCTTCTCGTCTTTCGTCCGCCTTGATTCGTACATCACATGAGGTGACTCCTTGGCTACCTACAATTGCTGAGCTGCTATGTGTCAGGGATAATAGTCATATAGGCCCCTTGGGGTGGCTATACTGGACCTTTTGGCTATATAAAGGGGTCTCAGGACCCCCTTAAAGGGTTGAGCGGTTCAGGAATCAATGACTATTGAGCCCTTCTACATACCTTCTGCGTCACTACTTGACTGTCTATTCACTCCGGGACACTCACCTCTGAAACTATGCCGCCATGATTATTCAACAAGCTCCTTCGTACCAGGTGGGTCATATGACGTTTTTGTGACAACTCTGTCACAGTACAGTACTATATAGTGAGTGCAGAGACGTCAAGCCTTCGACTTGATAACTCGTCGTTACCTTTTGGTGGCGTAGTGGCATAGTACTGCACTCCTTATGTCGTTCCGTGACAAACTCCATTGTGCCATCGCCGACCTACGGATGTCAATAACAGGATTGAAAGGCGAATTGGGGTCTCAGCCGGCAGGCAAGCATAGAACCTGCATTGATGTCAGAAACTGACGGGATATGGGAGATGAAGTTAGTTATTGTTTGGCTTGCTGCTGGCCACGATGTTGGAAGCAGTTGAAGACGTGGTGTGACGCGAAAGGGAGAGTTTCGTTACTAAAGTGTGTCCTTGTAAAATTAGTTAGATCTGCCATTCAGCAATCAGACTGTCGTCATATTTTGTTCCCTTGGGTGTACGATCTCGCGTCACTGCATTGTTGACATTTGACCCTTTGCGAATCGTAAATGCTGGAACCGAGAGCAGATCTCCCCGAAGGGGGATTTTTGACTTAGGTATACGAAGGAATTTGTGTATATAGGACGGCCAGTTCAACTCATCCCTACCTGCTTCAATAGTTTAGAGGTTATTGTCACTATGACGACTGTGTTTTCCTTGTTAATACATGTTGACGGGAAAGCGCTTATCAATATACACCTGCCTGTTCTCAACGTGAATTACTAGGTAACGAGGCTAGCAATAAGTGTTGGAATACAATTTATGAATCAGATCGGATAGGTCTCCTTTAATGCGCTGAGAAGACCATCTCCTCACTTCGTCTCGCCTTCACGGTCCGACCACAAGGTCCTCATACCAAACCAGGTAAGCTTGATCTTGCGAGGTTCATTAATTTGTGTTTGCGAAGAAGTCATTAAATGTGTCAGGCTTCCAACCATTTCCATTTCAAGCGTTGATCTTGCCCTGATGATATCTAGATTGGCTAGGAGCCTAAAAAAAGGCGGACATTGGGAAGAAGCGGTTACGCCTCAGCTCCTAGCGTCTTTCTTCGTGCTCCAAGTGACTAAGAGAATATGATATTATTGCTCCAGATGACATAGCTTACCGATTTGCATGCTGGATGGAACGATGTGCCTCAGCATACCTTTATATCCTAGATTTTCCACTGGAATTTTTATGCTACTGTCTCGACCATTTCGTGTTATCAACTGCCCCAAGTGCCATCGATTTTGATAAACGTCAAGTGATTTTCTATTATTACCCCTAGATCCGTATGCGCTCATACTAGTGATATTGGAAAAATTGGAAAGACCTTGACAATTGGCATTGTGTACAACTAATATCATCCGCCTGGCTCAGATAATTAAAAATATTAGCACAGCTGTATGGAATGCGATTAAATTCACAACAGCTTGAGGCACCTCTACACCCATCACGAGACTGGCCACCTAAGAATCTACCAGTGATAATGTATAAACAGAGAATGGTAATAAAATATCTCTACGCTCTAAACGAGTGCACACATGATATATCACCGAAATGCGTGAATATTCACCGTACTACATTGAAAACCTCCTAGATTACCTGCCGAATCTAATTCACTGAAACACTAGTACGCGCTTCCATGAGACCGAAACTTAATCAATGCGTAGACGAGTACTGTGTCATTTATCATTAGCTCATTGCATTCCGGACAGCTTAAAATCCATTACTGTTTGTCAAGCGCTCCCACCCCCTGGCAAGCTTAGAACCGCACAGACAAACGCCATCTATGGAACCACACCAGACTACAAACTTTTCTGGTACTAGTATTGCAGTATCCTATAACTAGTATATTCCAGAATCAACCGATTTGTATTTCTTCCTATTCTCTATTTATCCATTCCCCTTCCAATCCTCTTCCTTCTACATATGACTACACACTTCCCACTACCATTGGTTGCGCCTCCTGAATCGGACAATAGTGAAAATAACAACGTCTACTGTCACCGGGGCAAAGAAACGGCGAGTCTTCGTGGATTGAGCCGATGAAGCACAGAAGAAGTGTGACATCCTCGCTCTTTGAAACCTCGGCCGCTTCTCTGGACCAATCCCCCGACCTTGAACATTGCACATATCACCAAGGAGCCCTTTCCCCTCTCCACGCCTAGTCACACATCTATAGCCATCCCACCCGGTCACTGTACTAGCCCTCCTTATACCTAGGTGGTATTTCTCATTGTGGTACTTAAACTTTCACTTGGTGGTACCCCACAGTTTGACTGTCTGGTCTGAGCATTTCTCTTGTTCAAACGCACATAGGTAGGGCAATCGTGGCAACTATCCGCGGCAACACAGGCATAAACATCCTCTGAAGGGGATTCTCGTACCACGCTTTATGCTACCGACATCTTGTATTCCGAACAGCTATCACCTGCGACCATAGTTGCATTAACATTGCACGGCTAACTAGTAAGCTTTCTAGCTGTATTCAGACTGCTTTCCCTCAACCATACCAGCACCTCAACCATCTATTCCATACGTTCTTGACCTCAAGCTTTCCTTTTTTCCTCGAGTCGCCATTGCAGCTATCAGAGACGTAGCAGGCATTCAAGGTATGAATTTCTCTTTTTTTTTTTTTTTTTCACTATCTACCTAATCTACCTCAGACCGTTTCACTGCCTAGGCATGTAGGTAGGTACCTCAATGTGTAGTGGACATATAGGAGGCGGTAAGTACTACTGAGGTAGTACACAATGTACCAATCAATACAATACCTATTGTACACACATACACCTTACACAAGCAGTACCTGCCTTCCACCTACCTTCTACAAAAACACAGATTCACACAAACTGAGAGGGAAGGCACCTCGCCATTTGCTACAGGCTATCGCACCTTCTGCTCTCAAGACTGTGTGGTCACCTATTGCCCCACACTCTCTGCTTTAACCATCCCCATCCACCACCTGACACTTTCACTCTTCTCTCTTCAACATACCATCTTTAACCTCGCCTTCACCCACCCATCTACATCCAATCCCTCCCTCCCACAGCAACATCTTCCACTCAATTGACCCGACTCTCTCCCACAGATCTTCAGCACTACCAACCTCCGCTTGAGCTTCTGTCTCCTCACAACAAACGCGTAAGTAGAGTGGTGAGAATTTCCAAGCAGGAGCGTGTCGCCTCCAACCAACGCCCAGCACCTCTTCCGCATCTCTACACCTGGACACAAGCTATTCTTCTTACATACCATCTTTGACAATCGTCAAGCCCCAGAACACCTTTTCCACTATTGACCGCTCTCTCTGTCTGTCCTGCAGATTCTCCAGTGGTCAGTGCTTCGATCGCACATAGCTTTGTCGCCGTCGTATCACTCCAATCTCCTTGCTCTCATCCACATATCACCATCTCCCTTTCTTACCTTCCATTCCGTACCCAGTTCCCAAGATCCTTGCTAACATCTATCAAGTAAAGCAAACAGCAGCACAACATCAGACCACATCTTCTCATTCGGTAAGCATCTTCTGTCTTCTACGTTTGTTGACATCTATTCTGTAAAAGCCGAGCTTCTTCAAGTTCTTTACCTCACGCACATTTACATTGCTCTCTTAGCTCGCATTTGATTGGCTCCAGGCCACACAGAGACCAGCTCTATGACAGTGCTTATTAATTCGCTCCTTGTCCCGTTACTTCTATCCGTGTTCGGCCACGCAAAGCTTCCTGGAAGCGTGGCTTGTTCGTTTGATATCTGCTTCATCCGATAATCCCATCTTCCCATAGCTTAGCAGCCGCCATAGTTAGCATTTGGGCAACATACTAACTAGGAGTCATAGAACCTACATCGATACCCAGAGCTACCAAGCTAAGCAACAGGTAAGCATATCTCGCGACCACAATCAAACCGGTTTCCTAAACCTCGACGCCTTCTGCGAATCCGAGACCGGACTATCTTCTATGTGCTTTAGTGTTTCATTGGCCAATGTACCTTCCATAAAACGCATCATTGACGAGGTTGTCTATGCTCATGTCTTTGAAACGGTATTGCGATCGACCATTTTCCATCTCGAATTCCTTTACCTTGGCATTGATTTCACTGCGTTTCCCCATTGTTTCTTACCTTTCATCGCACAATTAGTATTTGTTGTTTTATCTTATCTGCCCAGCTTTCCACTAGCTTGCTTGGATTGACCTGGTACTAACTGGCTGTCCATCGTACCTAGTTTACATCATGTCTGGTTCCCAGAATCCTCGCCCGGATACTCTTCGTAATCCGACTCTTGACAGAGTGGCTGGTATAAACCTTGATGGAGCTTCAGACGTACCTCGTGGCTCAGTTGCTGGCTCGCATAGGGGCTCAGTTGCCGGTTCTCATAGGGGATCTGTTGCTGGCTCTCGAGCTGGCTCACCTCCCCGGCGTGGAACTCCGGCAGCGGCTGGTGGCGCTAAGCCTCTCGGATATGACCCCGGACGAATTGATCAGCCGCGAGACGTGGACATCATTGGCAAGCGGGTTGACTTGCCTGCTGATGCATACTTGGACGTGAGTAGCTGATTTCATGGCCATTGTAGCTTGTTTGTTTACTTTGCCTTACTAATACACTCACAGAGTGAGAGTAAAGGACGGTTCACAGTCCGCCCAGGTTTCAACACTTCAGGCAAGCCAATTCAAGTACAACTCAACGTATTCCCTGTCAATGAGTTCAAAGACAATAAAGTATATCAGTACGATGTAGGTGGATCTGAACCTTCATATTCATGGATCATCATACTCACTTTCTCTATATAGGTCTCGATCAGCCCTGAACCTCAAAAGGCAAGTTCAGGACTGATCAAGAAAGTTTGGAACTCCCGGCCCATTCAAGAGGCGTTGACCAAAGCTGGCGGTAAATGGCTTTATGATGGCAAAAAGCTAGCCTGGTATGAGTCTACTTCCAATGACCCTGATCGCTATAAATTAATAGATTATTAGGTCATCCAGACAGATTGAGCGAAATGAGTTGCGAGCATCTGTTGATCTGGATGCGGACAAACCGAACAAGGTTGGGAGTAGGGGAGTTTATTACATTCGTATCAAGCAAACCCAAGTCATCAACCTATCATATCTAGCACACTACCTTCAAGGCAAGGTTGCGTGGGATGTCCATGTACTGGAAGGTCTAAGTACGACTGTTGAGCACTATTTTTACATACCAAATTAGCTAACTCCGTTAGACTTCTTTGACCATTGCATGCGACAAACTCCATCAGAAAAAATGATCGCGATCCGCCGAAACTTCTACCCCACGGATACAAAAAGCTTTTCTCTCGGCTCCGTTGTGGAAGCACGCAAAGGGTATTATTCAGCAATTCGATTGGGAGAGGTAAGTTGCCAACATTCGCACTGCATCCTGTAATGGGAAATATCTAATGCGATATCACAGGCCAAAAGGCTAATGATCAACGTTGACACCGCGAACACGGCTTTTTGGCAAACTCGAACAATTGCCGAAATAGCATTGCGCTTACACCAGGCTACGAATTCCCGTTGGGCCAATGGTAATATAATTCTAGGTATATCTATTCTTAGATAGCAGTCGTACTAACTGGTATCTTAGATGATTATGGTCAATTCGCTGAGCGCCTGAAGCCTGTGAAGCGCGACGGGGAGGGGGGAACCACGTACACGCCATCGGAAGCTTTTACCGTCATGCGAAAACTCATAAAGCTCAAATTCGTCGTGAAACATCGCGGCAAGTTGAACGATGAGAAGATGTACACAATTAAGCAAATCAGATTCGAGCCGAATGATGGTGCGGAGGGTAGCACCGCCACAAACACCATATTCAACAAAAAGATGCCGGACGGTACCATCAGACATATCAGTGTTTACGACCACTACAAGGAGAAATATGACGTTCGCCTTCAGCATTCAAGGTTGCCAGTTATCGAAACTACACGTGGAGGCATGTTCCCAATGGAACTATGCAATGTCGCCGATTATCAGCGATACCCATTCAAACTGGATCCCGACCAGGTAAGCTATAATTCAATTGCGTCGATTCACAGAGTAACACACACTAACAGTGACTTAGACCTCACTAATGATCAAATTCGCGGTCACTCGTCCTGCTCAGCGAAAAGCAGACATTGCCGAAGGCTTCAATAGACTGAACTATGCCGACGACCCGTACCTGAAAGAGTTCGGCATTACTGTGTCAAAGAACATGCAAGTAACCAACGCGCGACTACTAAGAAATCCAGAGATCTCTTTCGCTGGAAACGCCAAGCTCAATCCGAGTGTCTCTGGTCGCTGGGATTTGCGTGGCAAGAGATTTCTCGAACCGAATTCGAAACCAATAACTTCATGGGGTTTAGTAGTGTGTGGCAATTCTTGCTTCAAACAAGATGCAGAAGCATTTGCTTCAAAGTTTACGCAAACTTACAGGAATCACGGTGCGAATATCAAGACACCACTTCACGTGATTCAGGTTCCGTTCAGCGTTGGTGACTATGGCGAAATCGTCAAAACGGCTTGGACTGAGATCGGCAACAAGAACAAAGCCTTCCCAGAAATGTTGTTTTTCGTCGTCCCGAACAAGAATTCGCTTGTTTACGAACGTATCAAGAAGAGTATGGACTGCAGGTGGTGTTGTCCATCTCAGGTACTGCAAGCTGGTCACGTCAAAAAGGCCAATGCCCAATACATGAGTAACGTAGCGATGAAGGTCAACGCAAAGCTAGGCGGTGTCACTTGCAAGGTAGCCAGCCCAGGCCCGACCAGCCCATTCTTCAAATGCCCTACAATGATTATTGGAGTGGATGTTTCTCACGCTGCTCCTGGCAGTCGATCTCCATCCATGGCAGCGATGACTGTTTCAATGGACAAGAACGCTACTCGTTACGCCGGGTCCTGTGAAGTCAACGGTTGGCGCGTAGAACTTTTGCAGTCTACTACATGTCAGGGAATGTTTCCCCGTCTTCTAAAACATTGGATCAGTATTCACCGAACACCGCCCCAACATGTTTACTATTTCCGCGATGGCGTTGCTGAGGGCTCATTCCAAGGTGTTATTGAGTCTGAATTGAGCGAGATACGCCGGGCTTTCCGAGAGATGAACGCGGGCAACCCTAAGTTCACCGTCATAATCGCCACAAAGAGACATCATATTAGGTTCTTCCCCAAGCCAGGTGATCAAGGAAGTGCTGATCGGAATTCGAACCCACTTCCGGGTACTTTGGTCGAGCGTGACGCTACGCACCCCCGCCATTTCGACTTTTATCTGTGCTCGCATGTAGCAATCCAAGGAACGGCTCGTCCGGTTCACTATCAAGTTATCTATGACGACGCAAATGTTAAGCCGGATGATCTACAGATGATGCTGTATCAGCAGTGCTATCAGTATGTGCGCTCTACAACACCCGTGTCACTGCATCCGGCGATTTACTATGCCCACTTGGCTTCAAACCGCGCCAGATCCCATGAGAATATTCATGCCAGTCAAAAGGAGTACGCTGGAGGAAAAGAAGGGAACCCAACAGCAAAACACTCTTCTGAGGTCTATACCGAGCAAAGTGATCTGAGCGAACCACCTGCCCTGCTACCCATGCATAATCCTACTGTAGGACAGGAACGCATTATTTTCATGAATACTACTATGTGGTATATCTAACTTTGCAGTTCTGCTGATCCACCTCTGCCTCGTTTATCTGCCGGTTTAGGCTCTCTGGTCAACACTCTTCGGTATCCGCAAATAACGGTCGTTATTAAACATTTCGACACACTTCTTTCTAAGACGCGCTGGTTTCCTTGTTTCCCCTTCATCCGCATGATGCTTTTTAGTTTCCGACCCGTTTCCGATCTCCCATAGCGATTAGTCGAGCTCGTAAAACAGCTCTCTCAGGGATGCACTTAGTAGCCTCCTCCGTGCCCCGGATAATTGTGCTGAATAGCGGCTGAGAAATATTTTGATTTGCCCGGTACGCCACCTTCTACCCTTGATTTAGTTGCAATTGCTTCGACTAACAAAGTGTGACATTTAGCAGGTCTACCAATTCTATATCGTCATCAATTCTATTTCCTTGCACCGAATTCACAATAAAATAGCATAGTCCGGCGATACCCTCCATTTCTTGCCAGTCACTGGCCCGATTGAGATGGGAAGTCTTGCATGAAGTCACGATGTTCTACTAAAGGCGTTTCCATAGGCTATCAAAAGACAAGGCCAAGTAATACCGTGTTCCTCTCTCATGTCTCTTGCCCATTCTCGCGGGCAAGGTAACGCGCAGAGTATATTGTTGACTGTCGTCAAGCTTCCCATGCCATGATTTATTCTGCTATTAAATCTTCATGGGTTTTCTTCAACCTTTCTATTTGATTTACTCGACAGACTTCGTCTCCGTTCTATTCTTCTCTGGGCCGTCAGAAATTACTATTCAGCTTCTTTGACTTTCGAGGGAGGGGAACAAGGAATATGGGCCTCAAAATCAGGTCTCAATTCACTAACCCCCCATCAATCTGAGATAGACGGGTAGCTAGATAGATAATGGAAACCCCCACTGTATTAATACTTTCGTTCTTGTGACCTATGTGATGCGCCAAACCTCCCTGTCAAGTAACTCGCTACAGCTGTGCCAATTCTCGCTGGTCAGAAGATAACAATGTCGCGGAAAGTATCTTTATTCCCCTCGCCCCTTAACTACGCCTTCGTGAAACTTACATTCGATCACTACAATGCGATACCGACGTAGGCGACTATATTGGCTTACCCAGCGGCCCTATGTCCGTGCTGCGACAAGCTAGAGTGCGCATATCACATAAGACGAGAGGCAAGGGTTATCTAGAGCCTGTAGCACATATTGGATTGCGCACGACTAGCGGGCATTGGTGTCGAGATCTTTACATCTCCACGTATAAGTGATTGAACCACTCTCGAGACCGTATGCTAGGTTCCCTGGGGGTGTTTCGATGAGAAAAGGTTCAGATAAATGAATAGAAGGCGGCGGGTGAGATAGGCGAAACCTCGCCGAACGTTGAGAGGATTGCCAAGACTAATGGTTACATTTGTGTCAGAACGGATAGATATTGGGATTGTGAGAATTATAGAGCGGGTATTCCAAGAAGTGGGAGAATGATTGCGGCATGAGTTGGTGTTGGGAGAAGTGGTGTAATAGGGTCGTTTCATCTAGTGGGTTTAATGTGCGAGAGGGGGGTGGATTGGAATATGTGCCAGGTATTGCGAGATTTACAGCCTAGGTAGGTCAATTGGTGTTTGAGTGAGGGGAAGATATGGATTAGCTATGCTTGGAGGATAAGGACTATTATGGATGGTGGTATGGTTGGTTACAGCTGTGATCATATCGAGGCATTTGTGCTTCGTCTCTCTCTACGTTGAGTCTATCCGGCCCTGGAGTGTTGGGGTTGTGTACTGTTGTGCAAGTGATGGGAATCTGTGGTCTTGTGCGAGCTGACCACTGAGCGGCTCGGCTATGCGAACTGAATTTGGTATGTTAGGTTGTGCTACGGGTTGAATCACTAATTAGGTGGTACCAACTTTCATCATCAGAGTGAGCACCAAGAGATGTTGCACGGGTATCGTGATGCAGAATAGCTAGTACTACGTATCTGCAAGACACTTCATACATACACGTCACACACATTCAGAGCAGGACCGCCCTCGCTATAGACTGGTAGGTTTGTAGAGGATAGGTAAGGTTGCTGTTTTCCATCGCGTTACATCGTTCAGCTGTATGACAATCAGTGTAGCTCGAACTATTTCACGACTATCAGGCCATACTGCGAGACATCAGCTGTCTCTGCGTGCTGCAAAGAGTCGGACAAACAGAGACCGGTATTGCGGCCTTGTAGATCAGATACACCATGTCCCTTGCTATCTTGCATAGGGGATTGACCGAGACAGGCGCTAGCTGTTGAAGCTGGCCGATACGATGCATCTTATGATGCGCTGGACTACATTTTAAACGTCCTTAGAGCGTCTGTGATGGGTGATGACAGCACATTGTAGCCTGGCGTGATAGTTGTCAGACAAGTGTATACTCGGCTTTGAACCGGCACCCTCCAAACGGTTACACTGCGCAAAGCGAACAAATGGGGCGAAAACTTTGCTCGTTGATGTGTTCGCTTGAATAACTCACGCCTGATATTTGACGGCTGTCCTAGCATGAGAGATTGGAGCATCACGAGACGCTTACAAGTTTGTTGGGTGCTGATCTTACTTACAACGTGCTCAGAGGAAAGAAAGGGCGGGAAACCATGGTGCGTTGTGAGACGTCGTCGCTTCGTTCATCTCGAATCGATTGGTCTCTAAGACGATATTCAACCTGGTACTGGGGGCTGAGAGTACCTAATGGACTTCTCTGTTATTCACTGCTGGCCAAGAATTGAGATTGAATGCGAAATTGAATCAAACGGAATGCTCTACACATTGATACCTATGTGATGCAATGAAATTGCGGTCATCCTACAGCGGCAGATGGCGTCCTTCAGGCCGTAGTGCCGCGTTCATGATGCCCAACAATACCTCCCGTACCGCTCATACGCTCAACTACATAGGTACCTACCTAAGTATGTACTTACCTAGGTAGACCTTCCGAGGCTCAATGTCGCCAAATGGAAAGATCGAATGAATTACTGCAAGGGGTTTAGTTTTATAAGAGGTACCTACCTACTTACTTATGCGATATGGGTGCACGGATACTGAGATTAGCAGGGCTACGGTACCAAGGTATTCCCAGGCTGTCTGATTGCTCCAATGACCTGTTTGTAGATCTTGATGTTCAGGCTTCATGATCTAATCCATGCAGTCTCCTCGTTTGTCTTTCCGACCTAACCGACAAACAGACACGCTACTTGCTACCTCTAAGCAGGTATGGGATTAATTCCTCCTGACATTCTCACTTCGAAAACCGTGCTCGGAAGATTCCCTCTTTCATGTCATATTCCCATCTTCTTCTCCTCACTCACAATCACTTTCTGTCAAAGGTGGCAATAGATATCTGATACTCAATTCACTCAATCGTCATGGCATTATTCGCGGACATCCCGTTTGGCCTTGCCGCCGAGAGTGGATGCCCAGTCTGCTACTCAAAACTGAAGCCGCAGACGCAACTTCTTCTCCTATGTGGCGGCTGCAAAGTAGTCCAATATTGTGGTACTGCCCACCAGAAGCAACATCGTCCAGAGCACAAAGCAGCATGTGCTTCGATCGTCAAGAGTCGGGAGAAGCTTGAGAAGGAGGAAGCCACACTTCGGGCGCAGCCAGGCGACATCTTAATGCCGAGTGATGTTTTCGAAACCGGTGTGGGCGGGTTCTGGGGTATACTTGGGACCCGCGCTTACATGAGGGCTCGATTCGCAGCTGCCGATGCGCTACTTCAGATCAACTCAATCAAAGCCGTCGAGAAGGCTTTGGCACATTACCAGGACATGCTGCGACTCTGTCGATCAGATAACCTAGGCGCCCGAGACATTGTCCCCGGCCTCTTACTTCGCCTGGGGCGAGAGCAGGAATGCTATGATTTTCTCAAGTGGTGGGGTGTTGTCGACCCTGATGGGCGCCATGACTGGGGCGATACAAGTCTGCCATATCTCAACATCCGTGGAGCCGACGTGTTCGAAGAAGTGGACACTTTTGCGAGCCGCTTGAGTCTCAGCCAACTTGTGATTCTTACGCTCCTGAAGGTGCGTCTACATCTCGACATTGAGCCTTATGACCCGCAATACATGGATTTTGGGTCCCCATGGGGCTCTTGGCCCCCTCCTCCCACTGAGCACATGCGGCCGATTGGCGAAATCGTCCAGAAGAAAGTCAGAACAATCACAAGCTCGGATGTATCAGAAATCTCCCAGTCACTGAAGGATCAATATAAGGCTTTGTTCAGAATGGTGCATAGGGAGAATCCACATTTGTGGGAAGCCTTGGTGGACGCGTCGGAAGACACTCCGCCCGTGCCTTCAATGTATAGTCCCGGTTCCGCGGAGGAGGCTATTCTGGGCGTCCATCAGTGCAAGAAGGCCTGGGAAGAAAGCTATGATGCCATCACGATGATTGAAACGGAGGTTGGCGCCTTGGCTGAGGTATACGAAGGCCCAGCTGCCACACCAGATGGCGTGAATGCCGGAGAGGTTGTAGCAACCTCAGAGAGACGAAAAGGCTCCGGCAAAGCATTCCCATCCAAGTTCATTGCATCTACAACGAACACGCGCCCAGAAGACTTGTTCCCGCCTTCACCAATTGGCCCAGATCAAACCTATCATTTCGTCCATCGCAAAAACCAGAGAAAGGCTCTCGCGTACGCTAACGGAGCATGTTCAAACAACGGACAACAAAACCCACAGGCAGCCTGGGCAGTGGTATTTCGCCCATCCATTGGTGACAATAGCCACCCATGCATGGTATCAGGTCGACTAGAGCTCAAGGGTCCCTTTGGGGACGAGAGTGTAGCAACTAGTAACAGAGCCGAGCTTCGTGCAGCGATAGCTGTCTTGCGTCGCAACGACTGGCGAGCTGATGGGTTCATCGGTGTGGTCATCGCGACAGATTCATCTTATCTTGTCGATGGCGCCACCGAGTGGGCGAGAGGCTGGATTCGCAAAGATTGGACGACGCGAGGCGGTGATCCCGTCAAGAATCGAGACTTGTGGGAACTTTTCCTTGGAGAGGTAGAAAAGTGTAAAGAGGCGGGGCTGGAAGTTGAGCTTTGGAAGATCCCCAGAGAGATGAATTCTTTTGCCGCCGCCGTGGCGAAAGAGACAATCAACAAAGGGGCGGCCCCTATCAACTTCGAAAACGTGCAACTTGGTTCTCCAGCGGTCAGTACTAGAACCCCGGGAGAGCTTCGTGTCGTTTGCCTATGCTTAGAGTACGAGGGCATATTCAACGATTGCTATGCAGGCCTCATCTCGAAAATCAACGCCAAAGCTAAAATGGAGCGAGCCACCACTCAAAAGGCGGCCTTGGACATGCTCACTGAGAACCCTCCGCCGTCGCTGATCTTGGTCACTGATGCAGGCGCTGCGCACATCATGAAGGTTTGGGAGCGCGTGATTGACTGTCTTCGCGGAGGATCAACGGTGGTACTTGCCGCGAGCTTCAGCTCGTTTCTAAACGAGGGCCAGTTCACTCGTTGCTTTGCCAAGATGGGCCTGCCTTGGAAGAGAGGAGGTTATTATCGAACAGATGTCAGCCTACGACCCGGCGTTGTCAATGATCGCCTGAAGAAACAGCTCCTTCCTACCTATAGCCAGAAGGCTCTCTATGTTGAGGGAGTGGCTAGATCAGATGTGTGGTACGTCAGTGCGCGGGGTGAGACAGCTGTGGCTTTTACGAAAGTTGGGAACGGCATGCTCGGTTATTTAGGGGACGTGAACCCAGAAAAAGGATCTGAATTAGTGGTCCTCGCTATGCTTGGGCTTTTGAACTGAGCGAGCATGGATTGGAAGTTATTTGCATTTGGTTTGGCGGAACTGAGGGTACATTTATTACCACTCTCCTGCAAAAAGGCTACATCTCGTCCATGACGAACCCGGCTTCTCCAGTGGCATCATCATCACCTTCTGTATGCATATTGCTAGTTCTAGGTACCCTTGAGGTACCTAGGCTTAGCTAAATTTCAACTAGTTGTACTCCGTAGGCCCTTGGAGAATGTCATAAATGCTGACACTAATTACCCGAATACCTAACTTTATCTTGTTGCCGTGAGAAATACTAGGGGCATATTCGGTAGAGGATTGCTAGGAATAGCATGATTGGAAGTCTTCCCTACGCCTCACAAGCCACTTCCAGCTCCTCCCCGGGCGATTACTTGGTGCGGACGGGATAGCTAGCCATAGGTACCTACGGTAATTTAGGGCTGAAGATAAGCCGATCGGCCGAGCTCATCTCAGTCGAGCAGTATCATTTGACAACTTGCATGTCTTCTAAATATTAGCTAATTTCGCAAAAAGACTTACTCACATCCTTTCGACATACCTACCTATTCTATCTAACCCCAACAGTTACTATATTTGTCCCGACCGCTACTCGACTCATCTGGCGAGCAACCAAGAGAGAGACGCTTGTGGATTCTGAAAGCGGTCTGAAATCCCTGTGGAGACTGGACGCGTCGAGCGAATCGGAATTTGGGGGCCAAATGGCCACCAAGCGATTCTATATTTAGGATACCATTTTGGCACGAGTAAGTAAGGACATATCTAGATGATAGGTATCGATTATAGTCTGCGGTCCTAGTGCAATTTACAGCCGGAACTATCATCTAGCTGCGCGTGCCGGCAACTGTTCAAATTTTTTCACCTTTTCACTCTATGTGTAGAGTTGGTGTGGTATGAAGAAGAGGATGCAAAGACGTTCTGGAAGGGGTAAAAAAAAAAAAAAACATTGCAACTATTCAGTCCACGGAGATACTACCTTGAGGCTTTAACTGACTGCGCCGAGCCCTCGGCTCACGTCAAATGCAACATGGCTACAGACTTACCCCACGGTGACTGCAGGTTGATGTACCGATATGACCTGACAGATCGGCATCAGCGGCTCTGCTCCGTGTCGTGATGCTCTTATTGTTACCCACGTCAATCCTACCTGCTTCGCTGTGCAGGTTGACATGGGTGGAGTGATGGTGTATCGCGCCATACAAGACGGCATTTGAGTCAAGATATCCCCGCTGCTTATGAACCCCTTCCTTACATTGCCGGATATGCATATTCAGCGCGACTTGTTTGATGAGGTTTGTTTGGGGGAATAATTGAATGATGGACACTTGTTTCATCCATAGAAGACATCCCTCCAAGCAATTATCGGCCGGCGCTGGAGTCTGAAACAAGCAGCGATCAACAAGGTCCCAAGGGTTTGGGCGGACAAAGGGCGGCGTATGCCTAGGTACACGCTAGCTAATGGTCCGAATCCGCCGTCAAGGAAATTCAACGACGGCTCATTCTAGTTAAGTACTAAGTAGTAAGTATCTTGATTTTCATTTTCTATACTTTTGTTGGGCTCTTGTTCTTCCATTGTCAATCTTCTGCTGTAACCATACCCCTCACGATGCCTTCACGATTGCCGCTTTTGGCATACCTACCTACCTACCTACCTATTTGTAGTGTAGAAGTCCACATATGACAGCGAATGATGATCGCGCACCAAGTGATATTTCAGCCCACTCATAGACTCAGCCTCAACCGGTAAGCTGAGAGTCCTCGGAGCCCACTAGTCCTTACCCAGCTTAGAATAGGACCCCTTGCATCGGCCAAAAGGCCAACTACACAAGTCTCCTCTCCCCTCATTTCACTAGCGAGTAGGTACATCAACAGCCCGAGCGAAATAGATTTCACCATGCAGCCAGACCATACTATGTAGTAGCTGCTAACTGCTAGCTGCTCTAGCTGATAACTAATCAATAGATCGATCATAAGTATGTTCCCTGAGTTCATGTTGGGCTGACACCAGGGCAGACACCCATCTTGGCATGAATTGGATCGAGTAAGGACATAATGTGCGTACCGGGTTGGCCTTCTAGTGTGTATGCTTACATGCATGAGGTAGGGACTTTCGTCTGCTTAATTTCGCAAATTGTCTCAACCAACGAATGTCTCATTACCCAGACATGTGGTCCCATACGCTACGTATGCCTACATGTAATGCAAAGGATTAGGCATGTCCACATCACAGCATCTGGATGGAGCGGTAACGGCCGCCTTAGCGGGAGGCTATGCAGCTGAGTCTGCTCCGAGCTCATAGCTAGCGCACGATCCGACGCCTCCCAGCCTCGAAATGGTGTCAGGTCTTAGCTCGACCGGTCTGCTGGCGCTACTATTGTTTGCCAGGCGAGCCAGGCCACTTATATAGGATCAGCTCAGCCGCCGCGTCTGTGTGCCGTGACTCTCGCGTGCTGGTTTCATGGACGAACAGGCTCATCAGCAAACCTTGCTTACGCACCACAACCTTCGACCGGAGTGCATCATGATTTTATGACGAGAGCTATGCTATGACGGATGATATACACGACTATAAAAGCATTTGAAGAACAGGGCATAGGGATTCGGGTTCATCGACCTGTTGATTGCTAGGGTCCATTACATTTATCCCATTCTCACGACTTTTCTTGCGGCGTCTGAATCGGCTCGGAATACGTGAACTATATTGAAGGCCTCGGAGATTTGACGAATCAGTCCAAATTCGAAAAGAAGATGTTGGGGTCACATCGTGACAATGCCAACTTCAATCGGGCTGGTTGGAGGAAGCGAGTGATGTTGCCGTGCTGGATCATTCAGATCCTCATTCTGTTGAGCGTACTGGGCTTGTTTTCATATCGCCTATCACACACGGTGTCTACATGGAAAGAGGAGGACGACAAGGGAAACGTCCCTGTGGTTGAGTTTGTGTAAGTCTTCACTGCTTTGTTCGAATGCCCTTGGCAGACAAATTTCTAGCTTGGGTATCTATAGGCATGGAATTTAGAGCTGACACTCCTTAGATGGGCGGCTGCAAACATTGCATTTTCACTTGTCTCACTACTGGTCACGTTCATCTCGATAGCGAGGTTCATCGCTGAAGTCCTAACACCTTTACCGTTATTATTCGGCTGCATCCTCAACATGATCTTGTCCGCCGTGGTTCTAGCGTTGGACATCGTCATTTACGTTCAGCGGAGAGATAGACATTACTCACTCGCAGGGTTGGGTCTTGATGCTGCACTCATGTGAGTATACATACTGCTTCACCCCTCCATTCTGCCCACTGCCAGAGCAGTCACTTTGATTCTAACACGTTCTCCAGAATCTTCACCATAATACCACTGATCTACGCGATCATCATCTACCGTCGCCTTCTGAACTATGACGACTACCATCTACCCTACAATCACAAGGCCTTTGGATTCGCGGGCATTGAGGAGGGTGTCGATGACCACCGGTTATCGAGGGTATCAACAAACCTCAGCCCACCGACCCCTTACGACCCGACAAACCCAGGCCTAGGCACCATAACAACAATCACGGGCGGCGAGCCCCAAAACCGCGGTCGTTCTGTCTCTATAGGCAGCCGACGCATCTCGCTCTCCTTCAGCCGCAACGGGAGCGTCTCACCGCATCCCTCACCACCACCGTCCGACGCATCACCAATGGAGCGTCGCACAAGCTACGACCACAGACGGGACACGCAGTTCGAAGACTACGTCGCGCGCCGCGCCAGCCAGCGCCTGAGCGGACACTCGCTCCAAGACGACGTCAACCGCGCTTTGGGCGACGAATTCGGATTCACGGAGCACCCCTCGGAATCCAAGGGCGAGACAGTGACATCCGGCGCCGTGCACGCAGGCCACGCCTCGCGGCCGCGGGTTAGTTCCATCGGCAGGCAGACGAGCTACGAGGCGCTCGTGGGGGGCACCAACGGCATCTCGGTCACGATCACCACGCCGCCCGAGGAGACGATCCAGCGCGGACACAGTCTGAATAGCGTGCCCGAGGCGCACGAGGAAGAAGACCACCGCCACGAAGGCGGTCGACAGCGGAAACGCGCCGTGAGCGAGAGCCAGCGGGCATTGCTTGGCGATGACGACGGAGAGGGCAGACGCAGGATGGAGCGCGTCGCGGGGCTGGAGGATGTAGAGCTCGAGATGAAGACGCGGAAGGCGTGAGATTGAGATTGATATAGTGATACCCAAATGATGAATTTTTTTCTTCAGATTTTCCGCATTTTGACGCTGAGGTTTGAGGCCTCTCTTATACCTCCATCTCTGATATAGTGCTTCTTTCATTTCGGGGCGTCTGGGAATTCGGCTTAGATGTGGCCTACTGTGATGGCCGTGTATGCATTAGAGCCTAAGTAGTAGTAAGTAGTAGTAAGTAGTATTGGTAGGGCAATAATAGGCATATCATGAGGCCGTTGGTACAATTACGCAGACTTGGGACAAAAAAAACACACTCTAGCTCACTTTCATATTCGTATGGTACGCTGCGTCAACTGGTCGTGGTGAAATTCTATTAATTATCTCGATATCTGGTCTATGCCTAGAGGTTGACCCCTGTCATGCCTCCTATTATCCAGTGACAGCTATTTTCTATCTGTGATGGTGGTAATGGCGAGCCATCGAGCAAGTTTTGTCAGAGTCCCGATATTCCTAATGGAGCTCAACATCTTGGTTGACTGGCTCGTGCATACGGTACATGTTCTGGGCCGAGTTTGAATGATGGGCCCGGTTGAAGCGGATTGATGCTTTATTGGCTTGCGGCCTTGTAAACGTTCTCGGAGTCAAATGGGATGACATCTCCGTTTGCATTGGTCATGGCGGCGCCTTGGACCTCGACACCACCGTCCTGTCGGCTGGAGATCTTGCCATTTGCTCGGGGTACCTTGACTGTAGATGTTGTCAGAAACGATACGATCACCTGATCACGTTATCATGTGTGGGCACATACCGAACTGGCCCATGGCGACGGTGAAGAGAGCAAAGATAACGACGGCGGACTTCATTTTGACGGTTGGTTTTGTTTTAATGCTTCGAAGCTGAAGGAGAGATATAGGTCGGCCGGCGACGAGCAAGTTGAAAATATGTTCACAGCGAAGGGAAAGGCTTGGTCTAAAGGAAAAGACAGGAGATGCTTTAGCAGAACAGATGAACGTGAAGAGACGGGCTGTTTTACTTGCGCCATCAAACAGGATACTACATCTTTTATATGATTATGCAGAATACTACGAGCTGAGGATATGGCAGATCAGCCAAGGACTTAGCGCTCGTCAATGATAGGACGAAGACGGCTGTGCCATTGCTCGGCGCTCTGCCAGACTGATCTTCGACATTGACGAGCGCCCCTGAGACGGATCCGAGAGTCGTCTGAAAGGTGCACGAAGATTACAGCCGGAGATCCTGCATATTGCCCAAAACGGGAATGACTGGGAGCCTTGTACTGGCGTGGCTGAATACTTCAGTGAGTGTTAGTACACAGAGGGCCTTGCGCTCCACTGAATAAGCATACAACGACCAGATAATGGGCGGGCTTCTGATTGGAGGCCAAGCTTGTAGAGATGATTACCGAAGGAACGAAACGAAGCGACGAGATCCCTTTGGGGGTGGGTTTCATGGAGAGGAGCCGCGTCGGGAGGGGCGGGAGCCGGGGGTCCGCCGGGGTCTGAGACGACAGCTGTAACCGCATGCCTGCCGCCATCTTGGCCCAAAGCGGCCATGGACGCGCGGAGACGAACGAATCTCGCTGATCGCCTCTACTTTCCGAGATTCAGGAGGGGGCGAGGCCTGGACTCCGTCTCCGGCTCGCACTGATCCCGCGTTACAGATGCTTGGCAAGCGTCATTCGCTCCTCTACTCCCCATTCCACCCTTGATGATCATGGATGACTGTGATGATGAGCCCTGTACGTGTCTGTTTATGGGGTTGAAACATGCGACAAACAGTTTTGATGGGTTTGAGACCGCCTTGTTGTAAGATCACTCCTAAGGTATAAGCAATTAATAGCTTCATAGAGAGGTTGGTAGGAATGGGAGGCGTCAAGACGCGACTGGAATTGCTGGGTAGCTGACTGTTAAGAACTACATTGCGCTCGCTCCCTACGCCTTTCAAACTCAACGCTTGGCTGGAAAGTTAGCACAGACAAGTGTATTAGATATCACAGTAGAACATCTATCTGTTGGCTTAGTCCTGTCCTGTTGTCCTGACCTACCTACAGTAGGTATATACATAAGCAGGGGTAGGCAGGTAAGTTTGATGAATCTTGATCTCCTCTTGGCAGTGTGGACACAGCTGCCCACAGCTGGGTATCCACTACCACGCGCATGGGTAAGGAGACTGCGGCTGGTTGAGTACCTGGAACTTGGAATTGGCGCTCCGGGCCCTTCTCCATGAAAATATCTCATTTCTTAGGTAGCGAGACTTACCTTTTGTTTTCTTGCACTGTCTACAGGATTGCAGCGCTTCAGATGTCAGCGTTGAACTGACCTCAGCATTCAGAGAGATCCAGGTAGGCTTCAGGCTAGGTCTGGATGTGTATCTATGACTACGATACAAGCACTGAGGGTCCCAATACCTACCTAATGTCACATGAGTCACCAAAGCTTACTCGTGGTATTAGGTAATATCAGCCAACCAGTTATCTTAACCTCTAGCATTTATTTTCCAAGCGGAAAGACTTCGCCTTGATTTGGCGGGTTTCACGCTCCCTTCAACATGTCGACAATCGACCTGGGTCCTGCTGGAACTCTCACGAATTCGCGGTACTCGCTTACTCTGTCAAATCACAAGCGGCTCATCCTGTTTCGCTTGCCTCGGATAAGCCAATCACACCCCCCGGCCGGTCTTGGGTGCCATGACTGGATTTACTATGCCATGGAGGCTGAGTGCCCGCATGCCGGCGGGCCAATGGCCGATGCTCATATAGACATTGAGGATTCTTCCTATGTCGCATCTTGCCCCTGGCATGCCTACGACTTCAACCTTGATACCGGCGAGTCTAGCTATGGCGTCAAAGCATGCACTTATCCCGTTCGCCTGCAAGATGGCCGGTTGCAGTTGCAGCTTGTTGAAGCCGAAGGCGTGCGGCTGTCTACAATCCAGCCTGTCAGTGAAAAGGTCAAGTTCAAGCACGGCCCGAGGCAGCAGCTACACGGGCCGCCCACATATCTCAATGATAATGCTACACTGTGTGACTGGTGTGTCCATGTCCTGAATACTTCCGACCCCGAGCACAAAATTGAGCTCACCACCCACCTCTTCTCTGTATTCGCTACACGGGAACAGTCCACGACTCCGATGGAGCTCGGCGCTGGCACTGTGGTAGCCCCTGAGGAGCCTCCACGACACGATCTTCGACAGGTGAAACCTGGCCAGATGCCTAAGGCTGGCAAAGGAGGAAGCCTGAAGAGTAGGATTGCAATGCTGCATGCTCTTGCCAACATTGAACTCTGGGCGATCGATCTCGCCATCGATATCTGCGTGAGGTTTGCCACATTCCAAACTACAGCGACCGCCGACTCGGTCTCTCAGAACTTGCCACGAACATTCTATTACGACTGGCTCAAAGTAGCTAATGATGAGGCCAAGCATTTCTCATTGCTTCGCGCTCGGTTGGAGGAGCTGGGAAGTTTCTTTGGGGCCCTCCCTGTTCACCACGGTCTATGGGAGTCTGCTACCGTGACCGCGCACGATCTCAGGGCGAGGATTAGTGTCATCGCTCTCGTCCATGAGGCGCGAGGCTTAGATATCAATCCCCTGACCATCGAAAAATTCCGTGTTGCAGGAGACACGGACAGTGTTGATGTTATGACAATTATCCACAATGACGAGATCACGCATGTAACGACAGGCCATAGATGGCTCACGTGGATTTGTCAGCAAGAAAATACAGATCCGGTTCAGGTCTTCCGCACCAATGTGCAGAGGCATTTCAGGGGTAATGTCAAGGGCCCTTTCAACGCGGAAGCAAGACAGCAAGCTGGCATGGACAAGCATTACTACGAAAACCTAACTGGACTACCAGGTGGGAAAGGGGAAATCATTGCCGGGGGCTGAATAAGGAAGACACAGCTGTGTAAAGGCCCAAGGGGATTCGCACAGGAAAAAGCTTGGCTTTGCGAGAAAAGTCTTATACCTATATATATATATCTAGCCGCTTGGTATCCATTCCCTGGGTTACGTGAAAGAGAATGGATCTTTCTCTCGAATCGCAGAGAATACGACATGGAAACAGTACTTTCTTACAAGGGTGGCAACGATCATTCATACCCGAGTCAGCGCATTTGGCTTGCCACATGAAAGAAGAGATTTGATGTCTCTAGAATGATGCTGGCGAGCTCTAATAACTCGGATACACTGGGCCACTCCTTAGTAGTACCTACCTAGTTAGAAGGCCGTCTCCCATAGGCGGGGCCTGATAGCGGGGCAGGTAAGGCTAAGCACGCTAATGCCGGCTGCTGTAGCGGCGGGGGTGTCCTGGGCAGGGCTGGACCCGAAGACCTCCCCTCGCTACCCATATCAACGCCTATCATAAGCCACTGCGGGTATTCTCGCGTTCCATGGCCTTCATCAGAGCGGGGTCGTCATCATGGGAATTGGGCTCTTCCATCTTTCTCAACATTCCTAGCTGAGTTCCAAACTTCCTCTCTGCACATGCTTCGATCTCCCCTGGGTCCCTCAAGTCTCGCCCAACGTCCTATTTTCCTAGTCTCTTTCGTCACTCGCTTCGCACCTCGTCTCCTCCCTCGTTTACTCCGCCCACTTCCACCCATCATTCGCAACAAGGAAGTATGGCGACAGTCTCGCATTGTCTCTACTGTTTCGAGACCCTCGCTTCTTACCTGGGCACCAAGAAGTCGATGACCCTTGAAGAGGTGGAACAGGCATGGCAGAAGTATTGTAAAGATGCCGATATAGCGGCAAAGAAGCCGTCTCCGGCGCTCCGACGTATCGCCAACAGCTCGGGTTCCACGAGCAGTACTTCGTCACCTGCCTCTGGCTCAACACTCTCGTTGGACAATGACACTCCCGCGACGTCCACTGCCTCCCTGCCTTTGGAGCACCCACCCATTACCGAATCGCCACTCTTCATTACCTGGAATACGGTCGCGCCAACAGGTTATTCTTCACTACGAGGATGTATCGGGACATTCGAGGCTCAGGAGTTAAGCGAGGGCATATCTTCCTACGCCATAACGTCTGCCATCCACGACACGCGGTTCGACCCGATTACCAAGCGTGAACTGCCGACGCTCGAAGTCGCCGTTACTCTTCTCACTGACTTTGAAGATTGTGATGACGCTATGGACTGGGAGCTCGGAACGCACGGTATACGGATCAGCTTCGTTGACCGTGGGCGGCGATACGGTGCTACCTACCTCCCAGATGTAGCATCGGAGCAGGGTTGGACTAAGGAAGAGACGTTGATCAGCCTTATGCGGAAGGCAGGCTGGGTTGCCCGAAAAGACTTATGGAAAGACATCAATCTCAAGGTGGTCCGTTACCAAGGCAAGAAAGAATCATTGCGATATTCCGAATACAAGCACTGGCGTGACTGGGTCGAGACAAATACTGGTGCATGATAGATGTGATTACACGTACACAAAAGTGCCACGTTCAGCGGCTTAAGCCATGGCGTTATTGAGGGGTTTTGATTCAGATTTTCGACACAACACAGTCGCGGCGTTCTTGGCAGATAGGTTGGGCTAAGAGAGGTCAAGAGGAGAAGCAAATATTTCGTTGAATTATTCGATACAGGTAGATGGTTCCTCTACTATGGACTTTCTAGTAATCTCAAGCACCAATCCAAACAAACTCAATTCAGATGGAACTCAATTCAAACCAAACTTTTGATGATTTTTTAGAGGGATAAAAGATAAGGAGGAAATGACATTCCACAACCACTTCCCTATTTATTCAAGGGCCTTGGCGTAATATCATCGTCTCCCTGTCTACTTGCTCACCCAAGAGGCTATCCCAACAAATTGGGTGTACTACGTTCTTGTCCCAGAGCCTCTAGTACTAGCTTGGTGAGACACAAGAATGACATAGAAAACTTGGTAAAAACATCTAACCTTTTAGTACTCAATGGCATGAGCGCCATACCACTACAGACCATCTCCCACACCCCTTTAGATCCGATGTCTCAAAAACAAGAGCTGAACTACCTCTCCTTCATTCCTGTATGCTTCGTCCCTGCCGATCGGCTGCTCGTTTTCCATTCCGCGGGTATCACGTGCTTCATCATGCTGGTGCTTTCGAGGTATCAATATCTCGTGATCTGTCCTTACTTCTTATCGTCCGCTTCTTGTTCTGCTCTGCCCTATAGGTTTGTACAACCTTTGCCTCTTCGATTAGTGACTTATTTTGGAGGCTTCGAGGCTTTCTATTATTTTTTATTGTTCTTTTTGCCTCGCCCGATGTCCCTATCCCCGATCTATCATGTCGTCGCTCCTTGTACGACATTCGAACTCGATAATGTGGCGCGTGACTACCATGTTGGCAGTGCTATTCGCCGTCATCGTCCCTCAGGTCGTGGCGGCGGCTCAGAATAGCAGTAGCATGCGAGTCACTGAGACGGTAGGCGTTGACCTCACGTCTTTCGAGAGACATGAGACCGGACAGCCCCTTGCGGTACCCCTCAAGCGTATTGATCATAGGGGCGTCGCGACGCCGAGCTTAGGACGGCGATTCTTCAAGACTGATGTGTTAGGAGTGTTTGGAGCCGCTTATCTAGCTGAGTGTATGGACCATATCTCTTTCTTACTCTCCGTTCATCAATGCTACCTCGTGTTATCACTCATGAGGCTCTACCATGATCCACCTACTCTTCTAATCCTTGCTTGAATGCACGAGTTGAAACAGAGACAATATCCACTTGAGTGAAGAGGAAGTGAAAAGCCGTGCATTATACAATGGAAGCTAACACGTCAACCAACAGTAACGATAGGTACAAGCAAAGATGGGAAGAAACAGGTCATAGATCTCCTCATAGACACGGGCTCGTTCGAGATGTGGGTTAATCCCACCTGCTCGAAGGCAAATGTACCGGAATTCTGTGAGGCCTTCGGCCATTATGACCCCAGGCGATCGTCGACAAGCCAAAGGCTTAACGGGAGATTTATGATCAAATATGGGTCGGGCCAAGTAGCTGGGGATTACTATAAGGATGATATCTACATTTCTGGTATGTTAAAACAGTCTTACTATGTCTGGCGTAAAGGATAAGTGGCTTTTAGATTGTGTTTTTCTTTCCTTGCGTCGCAGGAAATATGGGAAAAGCAAAACGTAAATTGAAAATAATCGTTGTGGGATTTTTGACTGACGCGATTACATGGTAATAGGGGCGAAGATTGAAAATCAACAGTTCGGCGTGGCCAATTCGTCCGAGCTTGTCTGGTTCGGAATCCTGGGCCTAGCCCACGGTCAGGGGAATGGATTCATCAATTACCCCGTGCTGATAGATTCCATCACTGCTAAAGGACTCGCAAAGACAAAGATGTTCAGTATGGACCTCGGCAACCAAATTAGTCCCGGAGGTGAGTGAGCCCCTACCTAACATTATACCAGCCATTTCATTACCCCCTCGGTATACAGCGTACCTAACAACTCGTCAGGCGCCGTTGTGGGCGAATTGGTATTTGGTGGTGTCGACACAAACAAATACTCAGGTCTCCTGAAGAAAGTCCGCACAGACCCAGGTGATCCGTAAGTCGGCTGCCATTCATAATGATCTCAGTCAATAGGCAGTTCTCCTCTGACAACCACAGACACTATCGCGTGACCCTAAACTCACTCGCCCATCGCCCCCCTGGATCCACGAAGTCAACGCCGTTCATCGACTCCAACCTCCCTGTGTCTGTCATCATCGATTCCGGCACGACACTCTCTTTGCTTCCCGAGCCAGTAGTCGAGAAAATTGCGGCGCAATTCCCAGGCGCTCAACCTGACGGAGCAGGCGGATATAAAATCGATTGCTCGTATCAGAGTCTAGATGGTAGCGTTGACTTTAGCTTCTTCTCTGAATCAGGGCCCGTCACGATTAATGTCGTATATCGCGATTTCATCTGGAACAGCGGTGGAGATTGCTTCCTTGGGGTCTGGTCTAGTAATGAGCTTGGGCTTTGGATTTTGGGAGATACGTTCCTTAGGGGTGCTTACAGTTCGTCTCCCCCTCCCCCTTTTCAGATCTATATTTATCTGTCTTTCGTGCTTGTCTTTCTGAGGTATTCTTCGGCCGAACCACCATTATCAACATGTACCCCGCCGTTCCCTATCTCATAGCAACTTGCGCAAAACTAACATATTGATAATTCTACGCAGTCGCATTTGACCAGACGAATAATGCGCTATTCATGTCCAACTATGTATCTTGCGGCGATGGACAGTCAAATCTCGTGACTGTCCCCGCCGGCCCAAACGAAGCGGCGAAAATCCCGGGCGCATGTAACGTAGCTGCCTCCTCACCGTCAGCCAGTACATCGACGTCGTCAGCAACATATCCAAGCGGAACGGTCTCCAGCGCCGTAATCCCAACGGCCGCCTCTTCTCTCGGCGGCACCGTGAATCCCGTGAGCCCTCCCGTCGTCACAGAGGCACCTACTTCAGGCCTTTCGCCTAGCGACGGCCCTGACGCAGCAGCGGTGCGAAAGCCAGAGGGCGTGACGGTCACGGAAACCATCACCCGCGCCGTCGTGTACACGGTAGCAGGTTGTCCGGAGACCGTAGTGCACTGTCCGTACCGCGACCAAGTCTCGACGCGCTTCGAGACGGCCGTCACGACGTATTGTCCAGGCCACGGGGATTCAGCAATCACCCTCACGGAAGCGAGCGTGCCAGCGAAGACGCTGGTAATAGACATGGGAAGCGGAAACTCGGGATCGGACGAGCAACAGCAAGGTCTCGAGCAAGACCTAGTAACGACAACGACGTACATCCCCACGACGACGATTTACAAGGTTCTGTCCTGCGCCGACGGCGCCTGCACAGCGGGCAAGACGACGACGCGCGTCATCACCGTCGCGAAGACGGTCGTCGTGCACCCCGTGCCCACGGCGGCGGCGGAGATCGTCCCGACAGGCTGGAACGACACGAGTATCAAGAACGGATCGATTTCGCCGTCGTGGCACAGCGGCGACACTAACATCGTCGTGTCCGCCGCGGCGCCCCTCGACGACGCCAAGGTCGACAGGCGGTTCCTCGGGGCCGTGTTCGGGTTTGTCTGGGGCGCCATGGTGTTATTGTGATTGGGATACGCACGCGTTATACACTATATTGACAGAATCTGCGGACAAGAATAGAAGCGACAAACGCGCGGAAAAGAAGGGGGGAGTTGAGCCAGATGAGGAAAATATGATGAAGGCTACTTATAGATTGTTACGATTATGCCTGGGTTTAATTGCATCATACACGGGCTACGCTTGGGGAATGCACAACGCGGAGTTCAGTTCAACATTTAAGAGGAAATTAGTTACGGTGATTGCATCACTTTGATGTTGGTGGATTAGATAGATACACAGGATTTCAGTCAGCTTGGCCAACATTTAGGCAATAATACGAATAATATTCATGCATTGTTTACCAGTTGTTTCCCCCCAGCTATCTGAGCTTCTCCGATAGAAATTCCTCGAGCACATGATCAACTTCATGCCATTCTTTCAAATATCGCGATGATAGTATAAGTCCGTAAACTTCATGAATATGATGATGAAAAAAAAAGAAAAGGAAAAGTTCGAAAGCAAGAAATGTCGCTTCTTCCAACGCTAAGATATCAAGACATGAACAAGACCAGAAATAACAAGCATAAAGACAAAGCCCCCACGCTACTACACTTCCTTAGATCATCCCCACCTGAACGCCAATGTACATAACACCCCAGGATATAATTTGCTGAAAGACCAACCACGTATCAACAGAGTACAGCGAAATACCAAAACCCCGTTTTCGCACCTGCGATTCTCCGTTTCCCTAGGTAGGCTTCTTGGAATTCTACCAACACCTTAAGCTCTTCCAGAAGCTATCGCCGCCCTTCCTTCCAAAAGACCCGTCGAATCTCGGCCCGCGGACACCGACCCCCCTTTTCTCATCGGGGCCATCGTCCCGCTCGGAGGGGAGGGGTGTCAGCGGCTTGGTGACGCCACGACGGTCTGTGACAGGCTCTTCGGTAACGACGCCCATCTCGGCGCGCCGACGGGCCTCGACGACGCGGCGCACGATGAGCGCGAATGTCTCTTCGATGTTGACCTCTAGGCGGGCGCTCGTCTCCATGAAGCCGCAGCCGCGCCGTCGCGCCCATTCCAGCCCTTGCGCAGCTGATACCTGCCGGGACTCCTGTAGGTCACACTTGTTGCCAGCGACGATCTTGACTGGCGGAACCATGCGCCCACCGCCGCCGCGATCGTATGCGCTTCCGCTCGTAGCACTAATGCCTAGTCCGGCGCGGCGCGCACGCGCTGCGTTGTCGAGCCGTGTCTCCGCCTCCATGTCGATCAGTTCGTTGAAGTATCCCAATGCGTCGAGACTATCGGCGGAAGTGATGTCGTAGACGAGCAGGAAGGCGTCGGCGCCGAGGTTCGACGACGCCCACATCCCCCGATACTCCTCCTGGCCGGCGGTATCCGTAAGCCCGAGGTGGTATGTTGTCCCGTCGATGCGCCGTGTAATGCTGTAGCTGTCCTCGATCGTGGGGTCGTATTCGGACGTCCATTGTGAGCGCACGAGACGTAGCGTGATGGAGGATTTACCGCAGCCGCCGTCGCCGCATATTGTGATCGAAATAGGCACTGGGGGTTGGCCATTGGCCGCGGAGGGTTGGATAGGCATATTATTCTCGTTCAAGTCTTCCCGTTATATGCTTCGTTGTATTATGAGTTTTGAATTATTCTAAGACCGAGCTCGCTTCGTAGTTGGGGACGAGGCCAAGGTTGAACTCAATGCGGCTTTTAACCTCGAAGGTTAGAATCAATGTTGGCGCTGAAGGAGCTAGTACCTGCTGACTGAGAAAAAGGGCAACTGGATGTAACACTTGTGTAATCAATCGCGGAGACGAGAGAGCGAAGAAAAAGCACGGTCTTCGTATTTGATGACCGGAATCGGTGTCGAATGCAATCTGTATCGTGATTTTCCAGCTTCTCTTGTAAATTACGTCTTAGCTTTCTCGCGCATACTTTCCCCGTTGAGTCGACGCTTGCGAGCTTGCGACAGACGAGTCAATGACCTCAGTCGATTTGGATGGGCTAGTTGGGCTAGTGAACGGTGACTTGTAAGTAAGTGGCTAGGACTACTCATGGATAAGTGGCCCGTCGAGCAGGTTTAAAGGTCTAGATTTTGGTGACGGCAGGCACACGGCAGAACCCGGGAACCGCCCAATTTGGGTGGATCGCAGGATGAATTGACGAGCTAGTAAGGTAGTCCAGTTCCTCTAAAACTGGAGACAGAAGGGAAGAACCGAAGGGCGGCGTGAAATTGGAATTGGCGGCCAATGAGCGAATCAATCAATCAATCAATCCATCAATCAGACTGTACTCCGTTAGGTAACAGAGGCCCAGAGTCGTGAATCCGTCTTGGATGGGCGTCTAAGCGTGGCGACAAGACGTCAAGGCGCAGTAGATAGGTCAAGTCGGTGACAGGTCGTGCAAGGACAGGCAGATATGCGAGCACTAAGAGTTAGGTATGTGATGTATGCAATGTCTGCCCACGCTACTGTACGTAGTAAACTGTTGAAGGAGTGGAGGGTGGATGTTGCTGAGACAGGGCTGGAATGCTTGGAGAACACAGCACAATCCACAAGACCCAAAATGACGCAGCGCCGTCGGGAGAAAGTAACGCGGATTAAAAAAAATGTACTACCGACAGGGTCGAATCACGATGATGGCCACAACAATGAATAACAACAACACGAAGAAAGAGAAAGAGACGCGAAAGGAGAATGACAGTGAAGAATAGCAGTTGGTAGAAAAGGGGAAATAGCAGAGGAAGTACGTCCGGGGTTAGGCCTTGACCCGGGCGAAGTCACAGGCGGTCATAGCAGAAACCGTGGTAGCGTTGCAACACCAACTTTCGTCACCGCACGTACACTCTACCTACCTAGCTAAGTACTATTGTAGGCACGCCACAGCCATGGACCGTGATACTACCAGACAGATACCTAGATGATGGATAGTGGGCAGTGAAGTGCCACGGGTAATGAGGGTGCCGAGACGGGTAGGTAGTACATCAATATACCTAAGAAGAAGAGGCTGGTGTGCGTACGTGACGCTACGCTGCATCACGACATATCTTTCCTACCTACCTCCCTACCTACCTATGTCCTTACACACCTATGTAGGTGGTATGCTCCCTCCGGGGTATCATAAGTAAGTAAGTAGGGTAGCAGTGTACCTACCAGTAGTATAAGTAGAGGACAAGGATTCGGAATTGCTTGGGTAGGATTTGTATCCCCAGGACTTTTGTCAGTTGGAGAAGCACCGCTACAGATGAACGGGATGGGATGCTCTCTGGTATCTTGGCAGTACATAGGTAGGTATCGACAAACGGTTTTTGAATACCGGGTCCAGCCTGTACTGTACCAGTTCTTCAAATCCCGTGTTGGAGGGCATATGCATCTAGGAACCGCGCACTTTTAACTGGTAGACGAGTCGTGGATCGCGATATGAATTGTCCAGTAAAAGGAGACTTTATCAAGCCGTGCGTACAGTACCTAGACTACCTCCTTACTGTACATAGGTAGGTAGGTAACTTGCAGTGGGTAGGTACATATCCTAGGTCTGCTACCGTAGGTATTCTGTAGGTACACTGACCTACATACGCTAGAGAGAGAAGTAGCGTGGTAAAGCCACGCGATCGTTATCAAGGTTATCAGGGGATCAGGGGAGCAGAGCGGGGCGCGGGGCTGGCATGTACCTACCTACGAAGTAAGGTACAGAAAACCCTCCTTCAGGTTCCAACCTTGTGTGATCAATACAGCCATCTATCTACCTTGGAGTTATGTATCTACATGGAGATTTTACATACGGTTTGCATTCGTAACACTGCCTAATGGCTTTGTAATCCTAAACGATACATGATGCTATTACGGAAGAGGGCATCTTGAACGTGATCCAAGTTTCTGCTCATCTATCTGCCCCAGAAATGCTGTCATCATGGTACCTAGAGTAGCGCGTACCTTGGACAGGCATGTTCTGGTAGCTGTAGGTACATACAGCATGTGTATACTTACAGGTGGAGATCTAGGTACCTATCTTTGTGTGCTATTACTGAGAGGTACGAAGTAAGTACCTACAGTAAGTAAACTACCTACGTGTAGGTAGTACCAGGTGCACGTAAAGACTGTAGGTAGGTACTATATGGCAAAAATATGGCCGTCGGCCGAGATGGTGTGTAATTCATGAGAAGCATGTCAGGCATTCGGCCACGATCGACGATTCGCCAGTTGTGATAAATTGTAGGAGGCATCCTCCTCTACAACTCATACCTACACCTGCATATGTTGTACTCCCACCTCCTCCTCCTCCTCTCCAAAATGCCCGCTCCCCTGCATCGTATAGACAGACATATTAATTCCTCACACGTGTTGAAGTGCCGCCGGCTATAATAAGTCGTGCATTCGAGCTAGGTACACTACATGGCGCCCCTTGCGGTGCGGTTGTGTCTCACATTGGGATGCACTCTCCGGCCTGGTGGGCTCGGTGGTATGCTGTCGACATTACATTGCCCACTGGAGCGTATACATCCTGCCATCCATCTGCTTGTTTAAGGGGCTGTGTGCTTGGGGTCGACGACCGAGCTGATGCCGCTGCGACCTATCACGGCCCGGACCCTTGCGTCGTCGAGAGATCGGGCGAGTGACTGCAATATACGGTGAAGCCCTCGGCTTGATCCCTTCGCATCCTTGTCACACTTCTAGGCATCCGTACGTGACCTTAGCGTTGCTGCATTTCTGGTTTAGCTCGTGGACGATGCTACGCAGAGTCTCAGTGCCGTCCGAGTCACCCGGGACGTAGCCGGTGTCGGCCGAATTGCCCTCCAGTTCCCACAGTTTGGTCTCGAACCGCTGTCCCGTCCTGACCTCCATCATGGGAAACCCCAGGCTGCTGCTCCGAGTGCACGCATTACGTTGCCACGATTGGGAGTCGGCGACCTCCCGCGACAGTAAGATGTAGATCTCATCCAGATCCCGGGTAAGCTCCAAAATCCGTAGAATAGAAATGACATCATAATTCCCGCGGAGACCGAAAGGCCCTATGGCCAGTCGGCGGATGCGAGCTAACCATGGCGTGCCGTTGAGCCCCAGCATCATCTTCGCTATGTCGGGGTCGATGCGAAACACATCGGACGCGACATCGACGAGGCAGGGCTGGCTGATGTTGAGCGTCGAGTTGTCGAGCCAGAGGTCGACGACCTCGTAGCGCTTACAGCAGGCCCGGGCCGCGTCTAACGCTTCGTGGTTGATCAGTGGTTGCAATCCCGGCCAGGTCAGTACGACGCCGTCGTGTGCCGAGTAGATTCTACCCGAAACGGGCGAGAGATCACGTATCACAGTTTTCCATTGTAAGATCGGCACGTCTCGCATGTGCCAGTCGTAGCGATCCGCCAAGCTCCTGTCTATGGTGTAAGTACCATAATCACAGGCCAAAACCGAGTCTCTGGTCGGCAAAAGAAAAGATACCCCATCAATGTGAATAAAACATTCAGCTCGAAGGCTGGTCCTCAGAGATGTGCACTCTCCATGACTTACTTCAATAGACGTCCCCTGCTAGTAATTGAACGTAAAGACGACAGTGGCTCCAATTGACCGGTGTCCCACGAGAGGAACCCCCCGTTGAAAGTATGAACCTGGGGCGACTTGAAGTAAGAATTGAAGTGCTGCTGCCAGATAAGAAGTCGAATCTCAGTTGGGAGCTCGCTGAAGCGACTAAACGACGAGACGCTTGACATTTAGCTTGTCTATTTATCCTCTTAACTCATCTAAATGGGAACAAATCAAGTAAAACGGCAGGTTAAACCGATCAGCTTTGATATCTCCTTGTTGAGAGTTGTAATTAACGTGTTTGCGGCCCTTGAAACACAAAATTCTGGATGAGATAAGGACGTGGGGAGCGGCACGGTCTTTTGCTCCCCCCGGACTATCTAGATCCAAGCATGTTTGGGGGGTGCGGGGCCCCTGCCGTCAGCACTCTATCATGTTTACCTAAAGGACCAACCAGCATCACCAATGTGTACAGCAATTCCTGTTGATGACATGCATTGCGCGTCTTTAGGAACAAGTAGGGTCCGTTGCCCTAGGCTAGACGTGTGGGCTACCTACCACGATGCCTCCGTTCCATCGTCCAAATTCACATTATGGCAGATATCCCCAAACACATCCATCATATGCGCCAGTCGATCTTGAGTCCTCTTCACGGTCCCCGCCAGGTCTCTACCCAGCGGCAACATGATCTCGTTTCCCAGACCTTTCGCGAAACCCTCATTCATGACGACGTCGTAAATCGCTTGGCACGCTTTGACATGGTCCCCCGGCGCAGCGAAGTCCCCCTTGGACAGCATGTGGAACAACTTCTCCGTCTGCGTCCCCTCGTAATCAGAGGGCAGAGGCGTCGAGATAGGCTTCACGGAATACGGCATGTTTGTGTTAAACGTGCCTAAGTACACGAGGAGCACGCGCACATTGAATGGTTCCAGTTCTTTGTGTAGGACCTTGGACATGTCTAGGGTTTGTGGGTCAGCACTCTCACTTATTATTCCGCGCATTCGGCCAGGATCAAGGATTATTGATTGGTCTTGGTACACACCGTCCAATGCCGCTTTCGACGCCCCGTAGATACCGAGCGAGTGCATGGCTTCTAACCCGGCACCACTGCTGAAATTCACGATCATCCCGGATCTCCGCTTTCGCATGTACGGCGTGATCGCTCTGATTAGTCGGTATGGCCCGAAGAAGTTCGTGTCCATCTGCTTTCGTGCTTCGGCCTCTGTGAACGATTCGAGGGGCCCCGAGATACTCATCGCAGCGGTGTTGATCAGCACATCGATGTGTGCACCTTCTGCTTCCAGACCATGGATGATCTTGTCGCAGTCTAGGTCTTCTAATTCGAGCCGAAGCCAGAGGCCGCCGCGCCCGACGACCTCGTCTACCAGATCGGGGGTCCGATCTGGATTGCGCGACGTCGCGATCACTTTGTGGCCTTTCGCTTGTGCGAGACGGGTCAATGCTAGGCCGAACCCGGATGAGGAGCCCGTTATAAGCCAGGTGAGAGGCTTGCTTGTTTGGGTTGTGTCGCTCATGGCGAACTATGGGTGTCGCACAAGCTTTAGGAGGTAGAATAGTTTCGTTGCAATCAGGCACACCTGTGAGTAGATAATCAAAGATTTATTGTCTACTATGTCAATACAAAAAACCTCTATATATGCAGATATTGGTATGACCAAAGTTAACAATCCGTATGGTTTTGATCATCGTCTTCAATATGTTCACGTGGTTTAGGCTCCGAGGGATGTAGCGCAGACACGGAGATAATGCCGTTAAGTCCCAAATCCTACAAGCCTAGTTCAACGACCAAAACGGTCATAACGGATTTAACAAGGAATGATTTCTATCAAGTTTGACAAGACGCTTGCGAGACTTACGAGTTATACTGCCTCGAACTTACACTTTATGATGAAATAGAAAGATGATCTGATGTTAGAGGCTGTGTAAATTTTAACAAAAGAAATATTATCAACGGAGTTTCTGAAGAATGACTCTACATCACCATTATACAGTCCGCTACTTGGGCCCTCTAGTCTCTGCTGAATTCAAGAAAGTGGCGGCGTCGAGGAGCTCTCCTCGCTTCGACACTTTGGGCAGTTACACTCCACTTCTGAATCTGAATCTGAATCTTCGACTGCAATTGACACTTCAGCTTTTTCCGGCTCGGTGACTTCGTCTGGCTCAGCGACTTTCGCGCCAACACCTTTCAGCCACCACGGCGTTTCTTTTAGCCACCATGGTGTTCGCTGAGTTGCTGTATGTGCGGAGCATCGTGTTTGGCCATCTGCTACTGCTACCTCGTTGCAGGTAACTAGAGAGCATATGGCTCTATTCGAAGTCTTTTTGTTATTTGCAGACTTCCATGATGATTTGTCTACCATCATGATGTCCATATCGTTATCCGTCACTTGAGAAGATGGAAAATTTCTACTTCTAGCTGCCTCCGACGATTCTCTGTCCGAGAGCGTGATGCTTGGAGTGGGCGTGGTTTGAGATGATGGTGAAAGCTTCTTATTGTAAGCTGCCTCCCAAGATTTTCGATCGGAAATGATTATGTCGAGATCCATAACGATAATGGTATCCTTGGCGCGACTTTGAACTACGGTCGCAACAGGAAACAGAATATACTGAATAGAATTAATCCAAGAAGGGTGAGAGCCAGTAAAGAACTAACTGTTTTGCGCAATGTACCTTCTTCCTCGGTAGCTCGAGTAGTTTTTCTTAAAATGCAACTATTGCCTTTTCGCTAGAACACGAATATGTCAAGGTAGGGGTTCTTTTTATAGCAGTCCGGAGATATTCATTGTCTTTGGTCAAACGTCAAGTACATGAATTTACACTTTGTGAGTGAAGTACAAAGGCATTGTTCGAATAGTGGCTTGCAATAAAGAAGTCCTGCAATACACACAACGAAGAGCGAGAATTTATGCATGGATGGGTATCTTTTATGTAGATTAGCTAATAGTGTTCAGCTGCTATGCTATGCCATTGGATATGGACAGTGAACTGCATATTTTCTAACCTGCGTCTACCGATAATACTCCAGGTGTCACGGGTAGATTGAATCTCAAAGGTCAGGTACAATGTTATAAGTCTCTTCAGTCTTATAGTAGGTATTCAATAAGACTAAAGCTTGAAGAAGGGAAGAATCCCCTTCGAAGCGTGTATGGGATGGGTACGTGATATATGTGAGATATATGTACTCCAGGGGCCTTAGGATACCGTAGTACGACACCAGGCCTCACCATTCTCTGCCAAGCCCATTTAGACTTGGAAGGCCTCACCATGGACTCTGAGGTCCGCGCCATTCGCGACCGTCTCTCGCACGACTGGTCCACCACCATCTACAACGGTGAGTTCTCCATTTACGCTATCTGCCAAATCTGAACTCCCTGACCCGTGAATTAGCTATGTACTCACGCCCGAGCCTGAGTTTGTCGGGCGCGCCATAAAGTTCTCGCAACACCAGGTCGATGACAAGGTCGACCTCGCTGCCTACAAGGTCACATGAGTATATTATGCTAGCTCTCTGCTTTCTTTCTACTAGCCCAAACGTAGGCCAGAACGAGAAGCTCCAGCGACTAAAAGCGTAGCTGTTGGCCCTTAAGGGGTCAATTTGGATGAACTCTTCTCAGCCCCTGATACCCTCCATTGACTGGCTTGCTCATTTCTGACAATACCACACTCTAAGAGTCGTTCTATCTTGCAAACGACCTAAGTTATTATTCCTACAACCTTAACTTGTATTATCTTCGGTGATAACCTGTGACCTATTGCCGTAAGCTCTGCGTACATACATTAACGAGAGTGGTAGCAAAATTATGTTGCAGAAGATTTAACCCATTAAAGGAATCCACTGTGAGGGGTAACATAGCCGCCCCCGCAGGTGTTGGGTACCTATAGGCGCCCGCTAAGAACCCGGGGCCGCCCATTAAGAGTCCGTGGCCGCCGGCCAAGAACCCGGTGCTGCCCGTTAAGGAATTCGTCCAAGGATTTTACCACCTATTCGACAACACCAAAATTCAAGATTCATTGCGTAGGCTGGTAAATTACAAATATCACTATTTAGAAACTCGGGGGTTCTTGGCTAACTTGGGTTTCGGTATCCGCGGGGGCTTCAAGCCTGAACTTGGGCTCACGGGTTGATGGGGGGTCGTTGAACCCCTATTACTTGAGGCACATTCCACCATATATATTAAGAGGTTCTTGCGCCATATTATATGCCAACTTTAGATGACGCGGACGTAGTTAGTTGATCTAGAGCTCATATGAAGTGTCATACTTCATACTCGCCTACTTAGATCGAGATGCGTGCCGCCGTAACCTGTGGAATTCTGCAAGAGTGTCTCGCGCAGACAATCGCTCTCCCGCCGCCTACGGGAAAATACCATGTCGGCGTCTCAAAACATACAATTGAGAACTACAATCCGAACGATCCTCTAGCTCCTAACAATATCAGCACCGAGTTCCTGGCCACAATATACTATCCCACACTCCAGAAACCTGTCGGCCCGCCCCAGCCGTACCTCGAGCCTGAGTTAGCCGCGAGGTTAGAGCCGCTGTTGAATTACAATGCTAATTTTCTGTCAACCTTCACCTCAACTATCCAGCAAGACGCGCCTTTCCTGTACGATGTAAAGTCAACGCCAACCCTCCTGTTCGGCCCAGGCGGCAGCGCGCCTTCGGTCCTTAACACTATTGTAATTTCCGAGATGGTATCCCATGGATATACCGTCGTGGCGTTGGATCATCCGTTTGAGCAGCCGTTTATTCGCTACCCTAATAGGACGGGTGTTATGGGCGTTGACATCGATTTTGCCGCACCTGGGCTCATTGAAGCGCTTTACAATACCCGCCTGGTCGACAACGCAGCGTTCATGGAATATTTTCCAAAGCTAACGCATACTCTCGGAGCACCGTTCAATACAACGCATTTCGGCCTTTTTGGGTTTTCATTAGGAGGTGCCGCGGCGATCGGTTCCGCCCACAACGATCACGTCGTGTCGGTTCTTAACCTTGATGGCGCGGTATGGGGCGTGCCCGCACTGAATAACAGCCAGGCGTGAGCTATCCTTGAAGTCTATTTCTTCCATATTAGGTGATCGTAAAGGTCATATCTGCCTGCTAAAGGGATAAAATTGCCTCAGAGCAAATATAACTCTCTAGACCCGCCTCTGTTTTACTTGAGAGAGTAATCACTAATCCTCGCGAATTGTAGTGATGGAGCAAAGCCGGTCTTTTTGCTCGGAAATGAAAATCATACAACCGAGAATTATATGTACGATCCCTCCTGGCAGACTTTTCTGCCGTGGCAAACTGGGTATTCCAGGCTTTTCACTATCAAGGGCTCGATGCATCTTGATTTCAGTGACCTTACCTTCTGGAAGATATTCGGGCCTCCAAATCCACTCGCTGGCCGGATTGATGGGAACCTCCAGCTTAATATGGTAATTGCTTATGTTAAGGCATTTTTCGACTTTACCCTGCTTGGGCAGGATTCTCCGTTGCTGGATGGGCCTCCAACAACAGAATGGCCCGAGGTCATATTCCATGATCAAACGGCATGATAAAATATCTCACTTACTAGTCTGATGGAAATGTGGTTTAAGTGCCCGTTAGAGTAAGGTGGCTGGTATTCTCGACTTCACTACTGTCAGGGGCCGCAGCGCGGAGGAACAAAGAGATACATTGTATATACTCCGAGAAGTCTGAATTCTTTCAGACGTCTGACCTGTTAGACCTTGTGCCGCAATGAGAGCCTTACTGTATACCGTGTACAGCCCTTCTGACAACTACCATGTTGCTTTAAAGGGTTCTGTTATTGTTCTGTCTACCCTGGCTTGCATGGTCTGTATAACAAGAGAAGATATCTAGGCTTGGAACTCCATGCTATTCAGATTACAATGATCAACTAGGACTTCATGAGTCCTTACCCAACCAATTCCATCTTGGCCTTGGTGGCTTGACTTGACTTTATATACAACTGGTCTACCAGCCTAGGTCTTAAAGGTCTGTTTCAAGAAGCGAAGTCGATATAACCTCACTTTCCAATATTACTTGCAGGTCTCTGAATGAGCGTGAACAGCCTGAAATGGTCTTTCGTACAGCCGAAGGGCAAGGGGAACTGCATATTCAGCTAGTACAACTTCTGCAGCTTGTACGCGTGTAACAGTGCGTTAACGAAAGTTGACATCGATACCCTGTGGACCGCGGGAAAGCGGACTGGTGATCCTGTCAATACTAATACATGCTTGAGCCGACCTCCTACCTATTAATTAGTGACAGGCATGTGTCATTGTACCAGCATTCTCGGTCCTGGGCTAGGAGGCGGCCATGGCGCCTTGCAAGGATGATATGGCCTTATATCTGATCAATTTTTGCCTATGAACGTTGTTCTTAGCGATGGAACTATGATTACTGTCGATAAAAGCGAGCACTCTGACCTATGGGCACTCTGACCTATGGTGGGCTATGAGAGGGGCTGGACATAATTTCGGGATAGTGACATCTTTACCGTCCAGGATATATGATAAATCTAGAATCAGCCTATAGCGAGATTCATCTATACGGGCGGCAAGGTTACGGTTGTCTTCGACACTATTGACAAGTTATTCCCGAAGGGGACTCAGCCTGTTGAAATACTCACCTTAGTTCTTTTCGTGAACAATTATGAGATTGATCTAGAAAAGGTCGGAAGGTTTAAGATTTTATCACCCATCAGTCTCGACGCATAGAATAGGGGCACCATTGACATTGGATACAGCTGTTAGTCGCATTTTACATCTTGCAAGAAGGTGTGGACGCGGTCGACCCAGTCTATACAACTCCCCTTCAGAGTCTCGGTCGGCTCATGGAAGCTACTGGTAGTGGCCGTTACACCGACATACCAGCTTAGATTGGAGAGGACAACAACTCGCCCTCTTGCATGAAAGTCGAACTCGTCAATATCCGTTTCCCCGGGAAATTCAGTTTCTACGCCCCCATTGTAACCAAATAAGTCGTTGGCCCTCATTAGCAGACCTACCTACGTATCGCATCAGTAATTATTATATTGTTTTTATCGGGAGAGCTGTAGTTTACATGTTAATGCTTATCCAAGGCCCTCATCAGCTATCATGTCTGATGACTAAATCTCGACAAACTGCCTTAAAATACTATAGTCTTCAATAATGCATCTAGCCCAAGACCATTAATTCGGAGCCATGTCAACATTGATACGCCTGGAGGGCTTCAAGAACGAACCAAACCCCAACCAGGAGCCGCCAACAACGACGCCAGGATAATTCTCCCTTGACTTGAAACCTGTATTCTAAATACATCAATCGATACTCTTGATTGCCTGGAAGATTGCGACAAGATGCCACTTGGTACTCACGGCATATATCCCAGTCGTAATCGTCATAAAGTATCTCAACAGCGAATTGACACCCTTTCTCTAGAGCCTCTTCTTGCTGTAGCCTATTATGGCATATTATACCGATGATATGTGACGTGTGTTCTGCTATAGTATGGTGAACTGCTTATGTTTTGAGCAACTAATATATCGTATGTGACAGCGGATTTCGTGAAAGCGGCCAGGTAATTAAAAGACCACGACAATCGAAATCCGTCGCATATTAATCACTATCATTTTGATGATTTACATCACAACCCAAAATGATATTTGACCTTAACTCAGCAATCAGTATTTAACGCGAAATTCAGGCTCCAGCATTCGATCCCTAAATAGTGTGTTCCTCCGGTTCTTCCAAGAATAAAATCAGATAAATCTATCTCTTCTACCTTAGGTAGTTTAAGTCGCTAGGACGCTATAGCTATAAACCGGCTATGTGTATCAAGCCCGTCCAACGCGACATAGCACGGGGATGTCCATTGTTAAGTCGGGTGGAGGCAGGGCCTGAAAAGGGGTTCACTAGCCCTTAGCCACTAGCCACCAGCCACATTGTGGCTGATTAATATAACTACCTACTGACAGACGACATCTCCTTGTGTACTCGCGATGATACTACTTATACTATTCGTCATACATATTTGGGACAGATGCATTTGATTTTCTTTGATTATCCTCCTTCACTAAATTCGAGGCCTCACACAGAAGAATTGACTTCACCCCGACTTTCTAAACGTCCCCAATACCTATGCTCCCGCAATCAAGCTACCATCTTGCTGCGACGTGGTAAGATACAGGAACATCGATCTATCATAGTTTTGATCGCTTTGACCTATTCAGTATGAGCCAAAGAGTTTTTCTGGGGAAGCCATAGTATCTTTAATCGCTTCTGGAGCAGGACACCATCTCGTAGGTTAACACTATCAGAATGCAATCTAGCTAACTACAAAGGTTATACTCAAGAACTTAGTCTTTCTCTTCTACCAGCCACTGAATCTTAAGAGAGTTCGAGAACTCGTGAAACGTTGTTTTGTTATCCCTCGCAGAAAGAGTCATAGCCTGATCCTAAGGTGAAGCTTGGTCATCACGTGCCAGGAGGAAGCGGGAACTTGATAGGTGGGACAGGGGTTGCTGTGATATAAAAGGGTAGATGGTCCCCCTCCCCTTTCTTAATTTTTCACTCTCCTTCATCTATCTTCCTAGCCCGACTGAATATTCAAGCTGCACCTTTCATTACTAATCACCCCCCCAAAGATCATGGCTCGCGCTAAGCAGACTGCAAGAGTCTCGCGCAGTAATAGTAGCCCACTACTGATCGGTTGTTGGCACCCAATCGCGAAACGAAACAGCCCCTCCCAAGTATGCCGGTCATACCTCCCCCTTTCGAGTCTTCGAGCTCACACTATCATCACTGATGTGGTTTCACGTACTCGTCTCACGCAGTCATTCTCTAACATGACTGCTGACCACTTGGCAAATATGGTCTACTCGTTTCCAATTTATGATGGTGTTTCTGTTGTTTCCTTTACTGCTATTATTGGCGATGTTCAAATCCAAGGAATAGTCAAAGATAAGCAACAAGCCAACCTTGAGTTCAAGAAAGCTGTTGCTAAAGGCGAATCAGCTGCCCTGCTAGAGCAGTTACCTCAAGCCTCCGACGTCTTTACAACACATATTGGTAATGTCCCAGCAGGCAACAGTGTCACAGTCGAGTTGGTCTACATAGGAGAGCTTCGTCATGACGCTGAAGCTGACGGTTCACGTTTTACCATTCCCTTGTCTATTGCACCCCGTTATGGAAATACTCCCGACAATCTTCTTATTTCACCATCGCCTTCCTCAATCGTTCAAGACGCTATTCAGATCACCGTAGACGTCCAAAGTCCTAGCGGTTGCCCCATCCAGACGATTCAATCTCCCAGTCACCCTGTCGCTGTCTCTATGGGCCGTACTACAGACATGCATGATGAAGCCTTCGTACATCATCGCGCATCTGCAACGCTCTCGCTCAACTATCATAGTCTTGACAAAGACTTTGTCATCATAATCAACACCAAAAACGCGAATGTACCAAGGGCAATCCTTGAGACGCATCCCACAATTCCTCACCAACGCGCATTGCTTGTCAGCCTAGTGCCGACATTTCAACTGCAGTCAGGTCCTGTTGAAATTGTCTTCATAATTGACCGTTCTGGGAGCATGAAGGGTAAAATAGGCATGGTCATAGAAGCAATGAACACGATGCTCAAGTCTCTCAATGCCGGCGCCAAATTCAACATCTGCTCTTTCGGCAGTCGTTTTTCTTTTATGTGGCCACAGAGTAAACAATATAACGAACACAACCTCGATGAGGCCTTGCAGTACGTCGGCGCCCTACAGGCCGACTATGGCGGAACCGAAATGCTGGACGCAGTTCGAGCCACCATCTCCCAGCGCGATCATGATCTGGCACTTAACGCCATAATCTTGACAGATGGGCAGATATGGCGTCAAGAAGAATTGTTCAAAATAATTCGTGAATCTTCAGAACAAGACCAAAGCCGATTTTTCGCTCTTGGAATCGGCCATGAAGCTTCAACATCACTTGTGCAGGGTATAGCTACGGAAGGGAATGGGATGAGTCAATTCGTCGCTGATGGAGAATCAATGGACACCAAATTAGTTCGACTCTTAAAGTGTGCCTTGTCGCCATACCTGGGTCGCTATTCCCTTGACACAAAGTACAAGAGAGATGACGAAGATTACGAGATTATTGAATCTAAGGATGCATCCATGGTTACTACTACTTTACCAATGAGAGAAAAGCGAAAGTATGTCGAAACGGATACACCTGATATCACGAATAATGGCACGGGAGATGAAACAGATGCCATGTGTCTAGAGGAGACTAAGAGTGATAGATTTTCTCATCTTCCAAGAGTCTCGGCGCCCTCAGTCCTACAAGTGCCGTCTCAGGTTCCTCCTCTTTACCCCTTTTCACGGACAACGTTCTATCTTTTACTTGACCCGAGCACATATAGCCTTACGCCAGAGTCAGTCATTCTTCAAGCATCCTCCAAAGACGGCCAGATTAGCATGGAGATCGAAGTGGAAGATGTAGGAAAAGGAGAAACGATTCATCAACTTGCTGCTAAAAAGGCAGTCTCAGAGCTTGAGATGGGACGCGGTTGGCTCAGAAGTGCAACTGATAGAAGCTCAAATTTGCGCCTGAAGACGCAACATGAGGCGGTTTGGGATGAAATTGTTCAACGCGAGGCAATTCATCTCGGTACCAAGTATCAGGTCGCTGGGAAATGGTGCTCCTTCATTGCAGTTAAAGGAGACGAGGCATACGAACCCATTACATTTCGCGGTCTAGCAAGAATGTCCAAGGCACCACGGAAACAGCTAGCTAATCACGCTGCAAGAAAGTCAGCTCCTTCAACCACACATCCAAAAGCAGTGGCTTCACAATCATTCAAACTTGCAGAGAATCCCGTCGAAGATGATACTTCGCCATCACTAGACCTTGCGAAAAGTAAAACCCTAGATAAAATGCACGCTCTCATTAGACTTCAGAAATTCGACGGATCTTGGAGATGGGAACAGTCTCTGCTCGAAATCACTGGCGCCATCTTATCCAAAGCCAAGGCACCGGTTCAAGAAGACTCTATTCTGGCTACGGCTCTAGCTATTGCTTTTCTCAGGACCCGCATGGCTCACTCGGCGGACGCCTGGGAGCTTATTGTGGACAAGGCCGTGTTATGGTTGACTAAGCAAGAGAGTGTCGATAATACTGAGACGGAGATCCAAAGAGCTACAATGCTTATTTCTTGATTTTCTCTACTGTGGTCCGCCAAGTACACGTCTTGGTTATTTCCTATATACTGGTTTCATTTTTCAAGATGGCATGATATAATAGTTCACCGAGCCTCACTTAGTCAACACTCACTTAGCTTTTCTTTGATAGGCATACTTCTTTACCTATGGTCGTGTAATTCCACATATGCACTCCATCTTCCTTTTGTTGTTGTTATGGCAGGGAATTTATTGATTTTTATCTACACACTTTCAAACCCATACTTCAAGCAGTCTCATACTGTACTGTGTGCTTGGAATTCCGTAGTATCGTGAATAAAATGATTGAAACAAGCCCACCTATATTTTCCTACTGAGGTTGTACCTGTGATATTGCCATCCTGGGGTGGAATATATAGTCCAGTTAAACTTCGCACATCTAACAGCGTCATTTTGACAGGGTGTGGCAGATGTAATACTCGGCACGCAGTCTATGCTGCTTAAGCTTTCTGCTGTTTGGTGAAACTTGGTAGAGCCCAGACCTTGTGCTCTGGTAGTCCGTCACCAATCGGCACCACTGTCTTTTCCGACCGGGACTTGGACCATTTGTACCAGAATAGTAGTACAAAGAGGGTAAGTGGCACTGATGTGACTGGGATAATCCACCAGAATCTGGATACTGTGAACAATGTCCCGTCAAAATTGAAGAAGTTTGTGCCAAGGATTGACTGCTTAATCATCAGCAGGAGAGCCTATATTCCGAGCTCAGAGTTTGATAAATTAGTTCGCATTACTTACAGCAACGAATGTACTCGGAAGGAAAATGACTGTTACAATGGCAAGGGTGAACATGGCGATACTCTCTCTCCGTGCTTGTGTCGTTAACTCTTTGTTTTCAAGGTGGTGCGCCTAAGATCAATCGTAAGTTTAATCTTTTGGGACTATCTGTTGGGACTCACGAGATTAATGCAGATATTGGTTCGCTCTAGGTATGTTCTTGCCCAGCTAGCCCAAAATTTACAGTCATTATCAAACTGCAATATTGACTCGATCGTCTCCGATGACTCGCGACGATGATTTGGTCGGCTTCTGTTATAGACTGCATCCCAACGCTTTAAAAAGGCTCTAAGCTGTCTGGTATGCTCTTTCAGGTCCCTGAAATCTTTGAGCATCGAGTGCCATCTTCTACTGAGAGCGTGGAGCTCTTCAACTTGGCTTTGAACAGTAGAGCCGCCATGGTGATGCTCCTGAATGCAGAGTCAGTGTGCGGTTCCAAGCATAGCATTGTCACATACAATTTTCCTAAGTATAGATCTTTGAGCTCCCAAACCTTTACGATATGAATTCAAGAGGTGGCTTAAGATCCACATGTCCAGACATAAGGGCGGGATCCTCGAGCCTCGGTAATCTGTCAGAGACGTTTCTATGAATTGTTTCAAGCCGTCGTTGAAATTTACAAAATAGTACGTCGTCATGTTTGACTCGATAAAAACTTGCACAAAGGAATGAGTAGCCCGGTCTCCCCAAGACCAAAAACCATACTGAAGGGCTGGATGTAATTAATGAGCCAGAGGTCTTCATGATATCTGAGCGACTTTGAAAGCTTACATGATCTGCTCGGTGCCTCACCGGCTTTGGACAAATTATAAGTAGTTGGGAAGACAGTCCAGTCTTCAGTCTGATATAAGTCAATAATGAATTTGGCAGGCAGCTTGGCATGTTCGTGCAATAGTTTAAGGATTGTCGGGTCGACATGTGTATGCAGCTCATCGTCCCCAATAGTGGCGGAGATAAAACTGCAACATCAAAATCAGCATAGGGTCTCACAATCAACATATCTTGTGATGGATCCTACAAGAGTCGTAATTGACAACGAGCTACGGATACATCAGCTCCCGGCGTTTGATGGGTGTCTGCAGAGGAATGCTGTTCATCTCTACTTTGCGTTGCGCCAATATAAGCACCCAAGTCTTCATCCTTCACCCACTCTGCATGACCAAGTTAGCAATACAGTTGGTCTCGAGCGTTTGCTACCTTCCTAAATGAGGAAACTCACTACACTTTCCCTCCTTCATATACTCTAAAATGTGTACCGCGCTGCTGTTCCTGAAGCAGCAACGCTGCGCTTCAGCAAGACAATGGTCCAAAGAAGCCATGCACATATCCTACCTTTGATTGACTTGTAAAACTTAACTTGATACCAATAGTCAGATAATGGGACAAGTAGACGTCAGGACTTGTGTTGTGCTGTGAGGGGAATCAAATCAGTCAAAGTGGGGTATGATTTAGGATCTGGGCTGAACTGACTGCATGTTCGCATTGGGATCAACAAGGGTACTAAAGAGTCCTCCGCAGTAAATCAGCTGTGCCAGACGCACTAGCCATAATGTTCAGAAATGTTTCCATTTTTGGCCGTACCTTGTTCCATACCACTGAGCTGGAGCGCTTCTTGCAATACACAGGGGTATGAGAGGCTGCGAGCTACCTATCAAATTATTCAACCCAATTCTTCTTCTTCTGCTTTTAATTCCTTGTCTATATTCAGGCAATATTGAGCTAACACCTTCTCTCAGAGGGAATCTTAGTGTGTTAGTGCGTTTAGTTCTCGTCCTTAGTCGGCTTACTGTATACTCACTCGGCCAAGACAGAAGAATCCTTCTTCAACACGAATGTAACCTACAATGGCATGTCATGACTAATGAACATCGTCCAACCTGGCTTGGAGCGCGATAGGCAGCAAGTTGCGCTATGCAGGACTCAATACGAAAATTATGCTGTACGTTACTCATGCGACTCATTAAGAATACCACTGCTGCACGATCAGATAACCTTGACAATAGTTCAACCTTGGCGCTCAATAATATGTATATATAGCTGAAGAATTCCGAAGATTTCCTTCTTTTTTCTGCGATTATTCTCCTTTACCTTTAGCAGTACCTCCTAAGTTGCAAGTAGTAGAGTTCATTATAAGCTCATTAAGACTCGAGTATTCACCATGCACGTCACTCTTTCCGCCCTGGCCTTCTGCGTGATTGGAGCAGCAGCCGCTATCATCCCTGCCGCGACTGATGTTGAAGTCCGTCAAGAGGGTTCCGGTACATGGTATCTGATCGGGTTCCAACCCAACTGTGGAACCTTCGGGTGTAATTCAGACTACGCCATCTTCGGTGCCCCAGATGCAATTCCAGGTGCCCCCGCTTTCGGCCTTCGAGTAAGTAGCTTCTTAAAACCATACTCTTATACTCCTTCAAAGCTAGACTGTCGCCGGCTTTCATCGAGATTATTTTTCTTTTCAAAAGCAGAGTCATTTACTTCTTTTGACAAGTGCTGTGACTAAAACTGAACGATCTAGTGTAATACCTGGGGGAGCTGCACCAACACCTTGTCTGGGTCAACTGCCAATGCTCATATAGTCATAAACCAAGGTCCTCTCACAATCACGCAAACTTTCAGTAACGGCGGCAAGACTACCACAGCTACAGCTACTGTCAATTGGGATGGTTTAAGCTTGGCGTCATTCACAATTCCTGTGACCTACACGGTCTCTTAGGCCTTCCTTTCGTGTGATATATCGGAATATCGTTCTGAGACTGTACCAAGCACGCTTCTCAACTGTATTAACGACAGCTGGGGCAGCACAGACCTTGACCTGGGAATAAATTTAGGCATCTATATTGTAGTGTCTTTGTATTGCAATTCGCTATTTGGGACGGGCTGTTAAGTGCGTTTGACAAGCAATCTGAGGAGCTATTTTCAACCCATTTTACGAAGTATCATGCAATCATCTACATAGACAGTATGCCTATGACGTCTTGTCGTATGACTATGGACTGTCTCATGAATCGCCGTAAGCCTACACTGATAATCCAACCTCGCGAATCAGAGGGCATCGACTACTATTTAGGCCTCTGTGTGCCATTGTTACCGTATTACTACGATATCTGAGTTATTAGCTATTCACTCGCTAGTGTAACTGGCGCAGGTGTGTTAGCCTACTTGCACAGACAGTTGGACGTGACTGACAGCTTAGTCGAAGCATGGATGCCATTCTCCGGTAATAACTTTATCGACCAATTCGATGCGGTCGAGGTTGTTTCTCTTCCGCCACAAGCCAGAGTTTATCGACTTGGTGCCCTTCTCGTTAGCCACCGCTTGAGACATGCGTTTGGTGATCGTAATGAGCAAGCTGATATATAGTCAAAAGAGATTATGATGGAGCTAGAAGGGGCGTTGCAGAGTTGCTGGGCGACCAATCCGCCGCGTGACATTGCCATTCATAGTCGCGGCCATCGAAATTCGAGACGCAAGGGCACGAAACGCTGCGCTTCAAGACATAGCCAATTATGTGGACAATTTCTCGCGAGTTGTGCAAAAAAGCAGCTGGGACTTTCCTGCGCAGGGTTTGGCATGATAGAGACTTGCGAATTACATCTTGCTGGTTTGATTCAATTCATAGACTGTGTCTTATACTACTATCCATAAATAGAAATCGGGCTACCTGAATGAAAATAGTATGACCTAATTATTGAATCACTTCTTGTAGCCATTCTACTGCTGCACCCGAAGCTGTTTCATCCATGTATGTGAAGGAATGTAGGCCCTGGCAAAACAAACTCCATATGTAGTGAATATCCCTCATAAATTCCCCTGTGTCGATTCTCATCACCTAATGCACAGAGCCTTGAACGCTATTAATAGCTCGATCGAGTATTTCCGCAGTATTCACCAAGGCCTCGTCAGCGTGCCTGTATCCGACTAGCTGAACACAAACCGGGGCATCTTTATACGACTCGGGTCCCGTATCTAAAAGACTCATGTTAGCTGTACTCCTTTTCATAGCAGTAAAGGAGCTAAAAATATGCATACAGAGCCCATAGACCTTAGCATCTAACTCTCCAAACTTCACGTTGCTCACATCGTCTACGACATCTTCTTGGCGCACCTGGTCCACGGGGATAACAATGGCAGGATAGTCGAGATAGTTCCACAAGCCAGTATAAGTTGCTGTTGACCACGTATCTAGAGGCAGAGTCGTATGAGGCGCCGGAGGCATTAGGATTGCATCTAAATCATTGTCACGGAATAAATTGAGGTAGGATTTCGCAGCTTCTTCTCGGCGTACATTGAGATCAAAAAAGCCCTGCAGCGATTTTGCCTCTATTGAAAAGAAGCCAGTGGTTTTGAGGGAAGGAACTACTGGCTCGCCAGTGCGGGCGAGTTGCTCGCGGAAATACTTGAAGAAGACTCTGTTAATATGCAGATAAAAGCAAGAGGCTGCCTTCGACTCACATCACATCCCGAGAGTGACGAATAGCTAATGAGATCTTGGTAGTGTTCCTTGACATTGGGCAGTTTGAGCTGAATAATCTCGACACCACTTATTTGTCGAATACGATCTGCAGCTATCTTAAGGCCTCGCCGAACCGGAGGAGAAGGGGTGAAAACGCCATCATGTTCGACGATGCCGATCCGAAGCTGTTCTTTGACCTTGAGATTCACCCATGGAAGTGATATGATATTGCTATCATATTTCCACGTCTCTGCCTGTAGTATTGCCTTGAGAAAGAGCGAACAGTCTCGGACGGAGGTCGCCATAGGACCAGTTGAGGGCAGAACTCCAACTGTCCCTGGTACTCGAAGATCTCGTCCGCCACCTTGGGGTACCAAGTCGGCACTTGGCTTAAATCCATATAACCCATTACATAGGGAAGGAATGCGAATACTCCCCCCTAAATCAGTCCCAACTCCAAGAATGCTCCCACGAAGTGCGAGAAGGGCACCTTCACCGCCAGTACTGCCGCCGGCTGTCAAATAGCTGTTGCGAGGATTCAGAGTCCTTCCAAAAACATTGTTGTCGCTATCAGATGTCATAAGCATTTGGGGGATATTGGTCTTGCAGTAGAGAACCGCCCCCAAGTCAAGCAACAACGACACAAGGGTACTGTTCTCCTCGGCCGGCTCATCCACATAGCAAGCCAATCCGCAAGATGTATCTTCGCCCACGACTTGAAAGGTTTCCTTAAGTGAGATAGGAAGCCCAAAAAGCGGCGGAAGAGGTTCTTTAGGGTTTGTACGTCGCTTTGTATCTAGTTCGCGAGCGCGTTCAATCGCCTTGTCAAAGAATATCTCTGTCAAGCAATTGACCTAGTCCTGTTAGTCTTGCCAGCGACCCATGAAAATTTTTGACCTACAAGCTGGTGAGCTATCGCAGCTCTTTTGCAGAAGGCTAGCGTGACTTGTTCAACGGAATACGTGCCATCTTTAAGCTTTGGTAGAAGCCCGGTGGCGTCGTAGTTGGACGTGATCTCGCATTCTAGATCGCTCAATAATCCACAGGTAGTTGGGATGTGCATAACGCTGGTGCCGTTTCTGGCGGTGCCTAGAGGTATCAGCCAGGCTTCTGGGATCTTACTTCTCTGCTTGATGACTTTTTGAGCAGCAATGGCTCTATAGTCCTCCGTAATCGATGACATGATGATGTAATCAAGTGCTTGTGAAACAAGTGCGCAGAGCTCTTCCAAAAGATTCGAAGCATAGGTATGCAGCAATCTTAATCCTTTGTACGCCTCCTTCAAGAGCGAAGCAGATATATTAAGGTACGGGAATGTTGGACGAAGAGGCAAGAGAGGGGGGGTAATGCCGCTGGCTTATTTATAACGGTAATCCTTCGTGTTAACACAACATCTAGTACGTATGTATGCCTAGGTGCTACCATCTAATCCAGTTATATCACACGTTTGGATGCATGGCGCATCTTAGTCGATGGTCAGGCCAACGAGGGTGTCGCACACGCGGACCCTTCTGGCTCCGGTACCCGTCGCAACGTAATGTGTCCTTCTTCTGTTGAACACAAGTACTGTTCAATCTGTTTCGATTTTTTCTACTTAATTCAGTATCAAAGAACTCTCGTGAAGAGGGGTGTTATGGTCAAAGCTCCGACCAACCTTCCGGTTCGCTAGATCAATGATGGCACGACTCCATAGTGAGACAGCGTACCTCTATTCCCCATTCTGGGTGTCAAATGTCCGGAGAATCCTTGCTACGGCTCTCTACACCGACGATTCGTAAGGAGTGATCAGATAGACTGGCCAATCTAGACGAGCCACTTCATGCAGGACTCCGGCCCTTAAGTCTAATTTGCGACAACTTCTGGATAAGAGAAAGGGGGCCAATGCATGTCTACTACTTGGTTGGCCATCAGTAGGTATTCTGGAGCTATATACAGTTGGCGTGGCTGGTGTGGGTTTAACGTGGCGCAGTGGTCATGTGTGGCTGGTTATCGATTGCCTAGGTAGCTTGTACAATCTAGGTACATAGATACATAATCTACCCAGGTACCGTACATAGGTATATCAGAGGCTGAGAGTTGGCATTCTCACTTTTGCTGCAGAGGGGTGGTAGGACACTGGATCGATGATCGGATGAGATATGAACACGCCGGTGCCTGTGAGCCGCTGCCTGAGATCCAGGCGTCCATGGCCCGGTTCTTTTCCTCGCAACATTGTCACAACTACGTCCAACGTTGAGAAGCCTCAACCGCCAAGCAAGCCGATACCACGCACATCACAACGAGGACGGCCCCCAGGGAAGCCATACCCAAAGCGTACGGTGCCGCGACTATGTCCGTTCAACGCATACAAGGCCACACCTTATAAGCTGGTCACTGCCTACAGCCGCAAACTCCAGCTTGGTCATCCCATGTTAATCAGGAACCTGCCTGGGTTCCTGGATGGACAGTCGTGGATTGATAACGAGGATGGCCAAGAAGGCTCTTTCAAAGTCCCGAAAGCCTCTCCAAGAAATGAATCAGCACTTGGGTTTGATCTTCTCAAAAACATCCTTGAGAGTGCTGTTACCGGCCGCAGCCAAAGAGACTCCGACCCGACTATAGAACCGCCTGATCCGATGAGCATGTTTGACACTCTCGAAGCCGAATTCAAAATTGAGCGGGCTTCGTTTGAGGGTAGCAATCCACCTCTGCTCAACTTCAATGCTTGGCTGCCCCAATCTGATTTTAAAGGCTATTCACTCGAGACAATTATTGTCGAACTACAGGAGAGGTTTCGCACAAAGCCGCAACCATGGATACCCTTCAGAGCGCCGCTAGTCTTCATTCGTGCAGTGCACCAGTACAATCAGTCTCAGCAACCTGCCTCTGGCACACCTATCGCTGGTCTGAGTGGGTTAGTGGTCCTCCAGACGGAGATGACGGAGGAGTTCCCGTTCCCACGCATTATCCGAGATGTTGGGAGGTCTACGTACAGGACTAAATCATGTAGCATTCGTGCTGGAGTACGACCGTTGCGCAACGACATGCGCCGCTATAAACACAGTACCGTCGTGATTGGACAGCTAGCAGGGTACAGCATCGTGACGCTCATTCCTCCCAATATAAAGTTACTCGACGGGTTACCGTTAGAATTTCACGAACGGGTGCCCCGGACATGGGAACGCAGCACGCAGCGTTTTCCGCTTGGATCACCCAACTTTTCGTTGTCAAGCAAGACGTGGACACGCGAATTTGAAAGCGAGCTGGCCGCATCCCGCGATATCGTCCTTGCGACACTGATCCCCGGAGACGGCTTATTAGTACCGGAGGGATGGTGGTACGGAGTGCGAAGTATAAACCACGAACTGCAGCTCCATGCAACAGTCACATGGTTTTTGGGTCGTAGCGACCTGGCTTCTGGAGACCTGCAAGAATACGATAGAATGTCGTACCTTAAGCTATTCCCTCCATGGGTCCGTTTATGATCTCCTTGTATGAATAGGTGTACTTATAGTTGTATATATGAATGAGCGATGCACAACCTCAAATGATGAATTATTCAACAAGCGCGGGCGCCCGGGTGGCTGTCTTGAGTTCCCCCTTCAGAGATCAAGAGACGGTGCCTTACGTCAAATTCCCCAACTCAAATTCGAGCTTACTTCACCCAAATCAAGAAGGGATGTTGGCCATCTCATCAGAGTAAATTACAATGCAGTCTTGGCATTTTTGCCATGCCACTTACAAATTACGCCGCTTACCTGGCCTCATTTGACCTTATTATAACTTATTACATTCACACTTTTGTTGATATCTTCAATTCGCATCGCGGCGCAGTGCGCCCGATTTGAACCGGCTACCTGATGAATACGGGGAACGGATTGTTAGCGTCCTAGCAAGGTATATACCTCGGCAGGTTCCATCCGATGGCGGGTGTATTAGTCACGCCGAACTACCTCTAACAAGATTAAATGTACTACTCATTTGCTATATATGAATTTCATACAATAAGAGTGACACCCTGTCCCTATACCAAATTCCGTTATTGCGAGTTTAAATAGCGCAAGGTATAGTCATATAAGATTTTGGAACACAGTCAGTTGTATGCACCAACCGCGCAACTTGCTCTGTTTTATCTTTCTCAGTTCTTCAAAGGTTTTTCATCGTCCTTTTTCGCTTTATCCAAAAGTTATTGTTAGATTCAGGGCACAATGATATATCTAGTCTACTAGTATCGAATTGTCTTAGGCTACCCTTCAACAATGACCACCAGAATACCGCTGAGACTAATGCCCTTAGGAGGTTCGATTACCTACGGCGTTGGCTCCGCAGATGGTAACGGTTATCGAAAGCTTCTCTATGAAGCTCTGACAAGCTCCAGTTTCGACGTCACAATGCTAGGCTCTCGTAGAACGGGCACCATGAACAACAATAGCCACGAAGGGTGGCGAGGATTTAAGATCAACGAGATCCAGGAGAAAGGGGTGAAGTCCGCCAAAGTGCACCGGCCCAATCTCTTCACAATCAATGGCGGCTCGAACGACTGTATCCAGGGATTCGATTTGGGAAACTCAGGGAAACGAATTGATGATATGTTGCAGCGTCTTTGGGAAGCTTCACCAGGATCGACGATCATTTTATCTACGTTGCTCAAGAATGAGGATATTCAGGTCAATACCCGAGTTATGGAGTTCAACCACCGCATCCGGCAGCTTGTTCGGCAGAAGGAAGCTGAAGAGAGGAAAGTTGTGCTCGCAGATATGGACACACCCTACGGCCCCGAGGTTGGGGACCTCGTGGACGGAGTCCATCCGAACAATCAGGGTTACAAGAAAATGGCCGATATATGGTACAGCAGTATTCAAACGGCGGCGTCCAGAGGTTTTCTGTGGGAAACTTGACCCTGCAGTGTCTTAAGACCCTTTCTCCTTCTTGACATACATCGTTCTTATGATGAGGTATCGGCATAACGCTTCCAGATAATACAGGAGTCGATCCGATTGATAGCTTTTCATTTGGTAGTGGCCAAAGCTCAAATAATTACAGTCTCTGCCATTAAACACCCTTACAAGTTACTTCTATGTTTTCTCACGCCCAATTTTCATAAAAGGCTTCCCGAGGAAAAGGTGCGATGCTTGTAGCACAAAGCCGAGCACCTTGCATTATTATTCCAAGATTTTTGCGTTTACGGGGGTAAGAAACCTCACCAGGTATTTCGATAGACATAAGTAAAGCTCATCCCCGGTTATTATCTTGGACAATGGACAGGAAGGATGAGGAACAAAGGTACTGAAGTGTAAATGACTCTTGTTGTTGCACAAGAAGCCCAAGCCTTTCTTCGGGCTGAGAAGCTACTGGAGTATGGGAATGTCGTGATTCTCTGATAACATAAGGAACATAATCCCAGAAGTGCTACTCACTCTGTGTGTATATTAATTAAGCATATAAGGGCAAGATAATGAAAGATAAATTAATAAATATTTCAACTGCGAATCTTCTGTAGCTTCCACTATTCCCTTTCCCACTCTCCTATCGTTAGCTTTGCTCTTCAGCGCGCTGCTGAGACGGCCCGTTTCTCCTACATGATTATGGAGTCTTAGATCCCGGATCACCGAAATTGTGAGTCCTATGCGGGCTTCCAACAGGGCCATTTCCGCCTCCTTGATATATATGTGACGTCTGCCCATGAACAGTCTCCATTTCGTATATGGGAGCGTATTTCAGAGACCCTATCTCATGTCCGCCAACCTTCGCACTTTGCGAGCCTAAAATACTGCGATCCCCGCTCGTGTTTAAAGTTTTCGACCTTAGGCGGGATTTCAGGAGAGCCGGGAGGCTAGGTAAACAGGCACAGATGACTCCCACAAAATTCTCCAGTGCAGACCAAAGGGTAATAGGTACCCAGTCGACTGAATAGTGTCAGCTTGAGAAAAGAACGAATATGTAGGACTTCAGGCAATTACGCACTAGTAGGGTTCTTAGTCACAGTGAACTGATCGATGTATGGCAGTCTGGCAATGCTGATGGCGATAGTACTAAGAATATCTATCAGCATCTGAAGGGCAAGATTAGGTGTTTATGAGCATCTCGGGTTGAACTCACAGAAGTCCTGTAGCAAACATAGCAGACACCATAATCTTTTTCTTGAGAGGTAGATGTAGAGGAGCCACGAGTCTATAGGCAACGATGACAATCCAAAAGTCCACAGCAATGGCGATGCTTGTAATAGCCCAAATAAAGATGCGGAAGTTGATGCATTGACCTTGGTGAGTGCCATCCCAGCGCAGCCAAGTATAGCTTACTGGAGAGCACTGGAAGATGATGGGAAATAGAGCTCCGAAGAATAGGCTCACCACGACGGCCAGTGTCCACATGATAATAGCTTTGGCACTTGTTGTGCCGAATATGCGTAAATAGAATAAGATGATTGAGATGCGAACGAGTGCTCTAGACGTTAAGTATAGAACCGAGCCGACAAGGAAATTCTGGTAGAGATAAGCGTTTAGACATAGCTCACCACATTTCAGGAAAGATTGAAGCATATGTATATATTTTGACAGATGTAAAGGCAAGTGTGAGTTGCGTCTGCGCATGCGCAACAGGGAAAACTCAATGCTCATATTCGATAATGAGGCCCGAATAGGAGATTGGAAGAAACATAATATAGGGATTAATACGTACAATGAGAATGTAATCGATGTTTCCTTGCGGGACAGCCCAAAGATCAACGCCAAACCCGTCATTTGACACTATGATTTCTCCTTCTTAGTAGGCTACTCTAAGCCATTGGACAACTAGTGAAACAATTACATACGAGAAATATCATTCAAGGTGTACACGCTAGTGGCCACCTGGCAGTGTTTTTAGCAACAAGCGGCTAAGCATCTGAAGATGCGATGGGCAAAAGTGACTTACAAAAGCCGCAAAGTTGAAGTAATCATCGTACCAAAACTTTGCTTGTGACACGACCCGTGAGGCGATACGCAGCAGAACAACAATCAAAGTGAGAATGAAAAATGCTATGATCACAGGGACGAATCGCCTATCGGTATATGGTTCGACATGACATAAAGCTGACGTCTGGTTTTGGGTGTCTTTGATTGAAGATCAGTATCTCAGACTCGACCCTTGGGCAGAGGTGTAAGGTACTCACAAAGTGCTTCCCTAACACTGCAAGCGACGGTGACACAAGATGTCGCGGAGTTGAAGTAGACTTTACTACCACATGCGCACGAGATGTCAGTGAGACCACAATCAGCAGCGATAGCAGCACGAGCAAGACAGTTCAGCTGGAATGGAAGAAGTATTCGTTAGTGTTTGTGGCAGATCGGGTTGGGTAGAGCTGTTCATACCGCACACGAAGGTAGCTGTTCCATGATTCGATACTGACGATGTTGAGCGTCGGAATGCAGTATCCTAGTCGTGGATTTATAAGGGATAGAGAGCACTGCAGAACTACAGCTAGATCGTTGGAAATTCGTGCAAGCGCCACATGATGGCTCTTCATATGGCTTTATTGAATGGGCTCCACCGGTCATATAACTAGGGAGATTGGAAGCGACGTCGTACTTGATGTTTGGGACAGGCAGGCTGTGCCGCAACATGGGTGAAAATACTGGTCATCACTTGGTTGCAATGGATCGTGAAGACAGCTGCAAGACCCGCTACGCAGCATGGCTGGATGTGGGCATAGGCGATTAGTGAATAGTCGTGAAGGAAGTATTCTAGGAAAGTATAAGCGCGGGGTATCAACCGCCAGCCATGAACGCGAATATGGAAATGCTGTCAATTAATTCAAAAGCTTTCAAGAAGTATATGTTAATTTTGGGATGCGATCATTAGACACTCTCGGCTATGTATGAGGGAGGGGAAGAGAAATCAGCGCGCTGGCACCCAGCGTTGCAGTGCATTTGACCAGTGAACCAAAGAGCGGATGCACGGCACGATGCTGAACAACAGCTGATTATACATTTTTATTGTTTCGGGTACTGATCCTATCCAATATAGATGATCTCAGATTGCGAATTCCATAGGCCTCAATACTAACAATTTCTTATTAGACGTGATATTCATGTCGGATCTACCAACACCAAGTTGTATCGACAATGCCTCATAATTAAACTCAAGCCAAATAGATATAGATCAATCTGTTGTGTCATGTGCCGTTTCGCCGAACCGCCCCCTCCCCCGGCATCAAACTCACGCCACCTCCCATTCCTCATGGTTACCTACGTAGTAGTCTTTGTAGTACAGCGCGATTACGTCGTACTGTATGCAAGTAAGAAGCCCGCCTCAGGAGCAGGCCGGGGGAACCGGATCCTATAGTAATACCTATAACCGGAGTGTTGAAGCAATAATACAGAAATGATGCAGAGCACAGTCTTTGTGATAGCTTCGTGATAATTAGTCACTATTTACCTTAGCTTCAATTGTTTTAGCACCCGTTAAGGGTTAATATCAGTAATACACAGAGGAAGCGATCGACCTAAACGAACGCGCAAATTCTATGTCCATGTTTTGCTAGCAACAAGACACTAAGTAAAGTCATTAACAATGATAAATACAAGATTTTGGAACGACCCTTCTTCCAAAACACACTGATTCTGAAGACCTTATGATAGAATACTGAAAACTAGCTCTAGCATGAGCTGGCATCTCCTTAGCGTATGCCAGCTGCAATAGTACTTAGTAGCATTATTACGAGGTCTCATTCAGATCACTAGACATATCTTCTTCACGGCGTAGGAAACTCTTAAGGAAAGCTTCCACATCCTTCTCTGAGGCCCTTGTGAACGAAACAACACTCGTGGCGGATTGCTGGTCTGCTGACCGATCAATTTGCAAAGGTTCTGAAACGAATCCGCAAGGCTCTGGCGTTATTCCGGCGGCAGGAACCCAGTTTTCTTTTTTGTTCTTCAAAAAGCCTGGTCGACAAGCAAATGACAGAGTTGGAACTTTCGGCTTGGCGAAGGTCGTGATATTTGGAGAGGCTATGGTCATTTCAATGCCGTCGTCCAATACTAATCGTGGAACTTGACAAGAGTTCGTCTGGACAGTTACGGGCCCGAGAGGCTGAGCAACTGTTATTGTGATACATTGAGCTGTTACGGGGCGAGGCGAAGGGATCGAGGAAGCATGTAGCACAATCGGGTCGCCCATATTGTTCGAAGATGCGTTCATCTGCTGACGTGACAATCGTTCCTGCTTTAGCTTTTTTTTAGGCTTCTTTGCCCAGCCAAAAGGAGGGTCGCCGTTGTGCTGCACGAATTCGACTAAACGAGGGAACGGCATCACATTTGGATCTACTTTAAAGAACTGGCACACGTTGACATATGGTCTCAAGCTTCGGAAGCTTGATGGCTGGTTGCCTGGTCTCACTGAGCCCGGCCCTAAATCAGTCGGATTAATTCACTTGGCTCTGGAAGCTCGCGGTGAGATACTGACAAAAATAATTAGAGACGCCTTCAAACAGCATCCACTGGAAAACACATAGAGGGTTTTCTCTGGGCTTCAGTGTCTTCTCAAGGTATGAAAACTGTGTTCTCATAACACGGGGGAGTTCTTGATCTCTTCCTTGATCCTCTTTTTCCAGTCTTCTGCGGATGTCTATCATACGCGACCGGAAACCGGGAGCTCCCTTATCACCCTTTTTGGGCATGGTGGCAGCAGGACGTCTGAAGCGAATAGAGAGTCGATTGGTTGTAGTATCTTCGTCTGAAGCGGATCAAGTCGTAAGTATTGCACTTTGAACTTGTCGTTTGTGTTAGGTTAATGGACATAAGTGGTAATACCAGAAAGCTATGGCAATGCGAAAGATGATACGCAATAGGTAGCGAATTCATCTAGCATGGTAATACCATAGGTTCTGTTCGCGGAAGCGCAAGAATTCAGGATCAAGGTGAGATGATTGAACGGTATAGCGAGTGAAAAAGAAAGGAGGAGGGGGAGGGAGCGTGAAAGACTGGCCAGGACTAAACAATTGATCGTGATAGCCAAACTTCAAGCTCTGGTGACCTTGTAGCTCCTTCCCTCATTCCGTTGTCTGTCGAAGCAGGAACAGCCTAAGCAGCCGACATCAATGTAATGCACTTTAGTTATTTCTTGGGAGAATGTGATGGAATGCTTTCAATCACTTCAAAATCAAGATAACGAGACCTTCTGATATGCTATTCGACTGTGGTGGCTGGCTATGACCTCTATCAGGGGTATGCCCTCGACCATCTCAAAATCATGCTCGTTCTGACAATGCCATTGAAACACGATGAGTAGATTCATCCCATAGAGGCCAAGTGTACCTATACATAGCTTAAACCTTCATAATCCAACAATTTCTGGCGCGTCTTACAGTATCGAGCAGGTAGATGTCGTCGAAGCTCCATAGCAAGGCACGGTGCCGTGGTATCGGCGCCGTCACCGTCAGATCCGATCTAAATCTGACCTAGAACCCCCGCTCGTCCATGAACAGGCTTGGCGTGCCATACCACACTCGATGCAACCAAGTATCTCTTTTCTCTCACCTTTGCTATGAATCAACTTCATCGTTGCCGATTCATGAAGCCATCGCGCCGAATATAATAATCCAAAGCTAAATCACTATGTCTCCAACCAAGGAAGCTGTCTCGACACAGAACGCGCCGGCACCTCTGCCACAATTCTCACAGGCTGTCAAATACAACGGAATGGTGTATTGCTCGGGAAGCATCGGCATAGACATGTCGACGAAAACACTGGCAAAGGGCGGCGTCCAACCTGAGACTGTAAGAAACATATTCTGACTGCTCATGTCGCACTGGAATCAATTGCGTCGCTAACGACAAGCTCAGCGGGCTGCAATCAAGAATCTCTCTGCTGTCCTCAAGGCAGCGGGGAGCGACCTAAGCAACGTTGTCAAGGTCAACGTCTTCTTAACCACGATGGATGATTTTGCACCGATGAATCAGGTGTATGATGAGTTCTTTGGAAGCATCAATCCCAAGCCCGTAAGTCATTTTATCCCCTACAGCTTGAAAACCTACATGTAGGTAGTGAGAAGAGATGGAATGTCGAGACTGGCTAACACGATGCAAATACAGTGCCGAACCTGCGTCGCAGTACATCAGTTACCCTTTGGCGCCAAGATGGAGATTGAATGTACTGCATTCGTACACCCGAGCTCTAAGTTATAGATATTCATGTCTCAATTGGCTCTCTGAATCTTGTCCAATGTGCACGCTGGTACCTTTCTGAGTGATGTAACATTGTATGGCTCGCCGTTACCGGGCCGTTGGCTCAGAGGGCAGGATCTGCAACTCGGCACCTAGTCTAAGACACCGCTACTAGCCTGAACCCTGGCAACTGGCTAGGGCAGCTATGCAAATTGGGCCCAGGCCCATTTCGCTTAGTCCTGACGTCGTTGACATAAGTAGACATTGAAAATGCACATTGTCATAAAGATACTATTCTAGACTTGTCTATTCTCTACATCGTTCGTTGTCTGTACCTGATCACTTCGTACTAGGCCAATTGACCGAGCGTCCTTCAGAATTGTGTGTGGATTTCTTCTAGAGGCGCAGCCCAATGAGCCTAAACGCAGGAGCGCGCATGATGCGCCTCCAACCCACGCTCGTTCACCAGAGCCTTTACCACCGGAATTTACCTGTATCAGCTCTTTCGCGCCAGTTGCTGTCGCTACAGGCCAACACAAATTCATACGTGGTCACTCGAGGCTTCATACACAAGAACAATGCATCAAAAATCCAGCTCCGGGCCGCATCGACATCATCAGCGTCGCAGCCCAAGACCTCAGATGCTTCCCAAGACCCCTCAACGTCAAATTCCAGCTCCTCGAAGTCTCCCCCCTCGCCAGAGCTGCCAGCGACAATCTCAGATCCCATGAACCCGCCCGCCTCAACGCGCCCTCCTCCCCTCGATCTCCCAGTCCGCGACCCATCCACGAATGTCTTCACCTATCTCTTCCGCCTCGGCAAAGCCTACACAACATTCTACAAGGCGGGTCTAAAAGCCGTCTTTACGAACCGGCGGCTTCTCCGCGACCTCCCCGATACGCCGCCCCCGGGCCTCCCTTCCCCGGCGTCATCCACGCGCGGCACCGCCTCTCAAGCAACCATCGCATCCTCATCCGCGCTGCCCTCCTCGCTAAACAAGAGCGCCAACCCGACCCGATCGTCCCTCCTCCTGCGCGCCCGCGTACGCCACGACATTGCGCGACTACCCCTCTTCGCCGTCATCGTGCTGATATGCGGCGAATTCACACCGCTGATCGTACTCTTATTCCCACGTCTAACACCGTACACCTGCCGAATCCCAAGGCAAGCAAACGTGATCCGGCGCGCGGTGGAGTCGCGCCGGGCCTCCAGTTTCCAGGTCCTCAGACACACCGAACATGACGCTCTCACGAAGGTCGCGGACGGACATATCTGCCGCAGTCTTTTCCTGGGCAGCACGGCATGGGATAAGATAGGTGTCGACGTCCCGTTCGCCAAGGCTCGCGCCGCGAACGTCGTGCAGCGGATCGTGCAGGACGACGCGCTGCTCCGGAGCGGCGGCGGCGTGAGCGCGCTCGTGGACGACGAGGTTGTCCTTGCGTGCGAGGAGCGCGGCATCGATACCCTGGACAAAGACGTGGCGGAGCTGAGAGAGCGGCTCGCGGCGTGGATTGCGAAGTCGGCGCCTGGAGAGACGGGGGACGCCGAGGCCAGAGCGAAGGAAGCTACGGGGAAAGTCAGGGGGATGCTCTTGGGTCTCGATGGGACGATATGATGATGATGACGATTTTCAACGTGTTTATACGTCGTATTGCCAGGCAGGTATAGAAACTTGTATCGTATGATGGTATGCACTGGGACTAAAAATGTGTATGAATAGATAGTGACCTGACTAGATGTACAAGAGTCTAGACAAAAGTTATCATGGAATACGGAAATCTACTTCGTTGCTCGAGAATGACCTTATGGTAGTAAGTTCGACTTGCGGTTCCAGATGCTTGAATTGGGTATTGATCAACGTTACCAGTACTCTACTCTGTTCTAATTCACAAGTGTTCAGTCCAGTTCTAGTAGACTCCGAACAATGTAACGCCCGGATTCCCATCAATGCAATTGTCTACAGTCCCTCCAGCCCGATAACACAGCCCATGCGACAACCACCGTCAAACGGTTCTGTATCACATTTCGAGTTGTATGAAACACAGGCAAACGGAGAGCCGGGCGCCCACCCAGCTCGTTTTCATAGACGCGTTCTGTAATCTCCTGCATAGAGATCTGAGCGTCTGAAAAGAGAAGGAATCAAGTTCAATACTCCGCATGCGGAAGTAATTGAAAAGGAAATTCAATCGAGAAAATCATGTTATACACTTTTGTAGGTGGAAGAGGATCATGATCATGATCCGGTGTCCAGACGGCAGTAAATCGTCGTGATGCCTCTGCTGTCCTGGGGCCACGGCAAGGGGGGTCAACAGAGACAAGGTGGTTAGGAACATCTGGTTCGTTACCAAGGCCTGGCAAGTTGTGTTAAGACATTTTGAAGTTGTGGATAAGAGTTTCCGGCTTGAGGAACACCTTGAACTAGGTTTGGCAGGGGGTGTGGAGGAAGGTGTCCTTCTAAGCCTTGAGGAGCGCTCCCTAGGGTGGCTAACAGATTGTGGTCTTTCATGCCAGAAGAGACGGGCGCGGGGTAAGTTTGAGAAAGCGGCACGTAAGCCGGGGCATAACTTGCTGGGGGACATTGGCTACTGTGGTAGCCAGGTTGAACTTGAGGTCGACGGGAAAGGATTATCCGCGCAATAACATCTGGCGGTAGATCACGGTATTGATCAAAGCGCACATTATTAACTCCGTCTTGATGATCGAAAAGATCTAATGAGATGAGACCACGCTCTTCCATGTGGTAGTCGAGGATCACAACCGCCCTCACCCCCTCGACAACGAGGCGTTGGATGGCTTCGTGGTGACCTAGTCTAGGGTCCAGGCTTGAAAATCCAACTGATAAACCATTGTTAATGAATTCATTCATCACCATGGCCAAGAAGCTGTGGCTGACGTCCCCGAGGACAAGATGTACATCTGAGATCTCTGCTCCACGGCGTGGTTGGCGATAGGGGCTGAGGCTGCGTTGTCTATAGGTGTAAAGGTCATGGTCATCCCCTCTAGGGGACTTGGATCGATGACCTTTGCTAGAGGAGTTGCTTCCTTTGTGAATTCGATCTCGATCGGTTTTATCATCGGGCATCTGCTGGTATTGGTTTGGCTGCGGAGTAGAGGAACGTCTCTTGGATCGGCGATCATCTTGTCGTCGTCTATTACTGTTGTGGCGGTTGCTGTCCCGTCTCCCTCGACTACCACGATTTCCACCCCCGTTTTTGTTCTCCCCTCGTGCAATCTCCAGATCTATTTTGTTAGAGTGTTGTAAAACCTGGAAGCGATTATCAAAGCATAACTCACTAATCTTTTTGCCTCCAAGATTTCTCCCGTTGAGGTGCTTTATTGCAGCTTGTCCATCGGCAGCAGAGCGGTACTGTACAAAGCCGTATGACTCCCTTTTGAGAGAAATCTCTTCAACATGGCCATACTTCGAAAATAATTCATTAATATCTTTCTGTCTCACGCTTGCCGATAAATTGCCTGGTAACTGTTAGAGACTTGAATGTTAGATGCTAAGGAAGAGCTCACCAATGAAAACTCTGGAACCAATTGGAAAAGTTTTCCTCTTGGCCTCACAAAGCCCTTTCCGCTCATTTTTTGGAGTTACCTTTTCCTTCTCCGGGTGCTTTGAAGACATAGGATCAGGCAGGGAAACCGGGGTTGCATGATTGGAGGTTACCGAAGGTTCTCCCATGATACAGGCATCCGCAAAAGCTGGCTTATTTGTTGTTTGCGTATGATTACTGTAAATTGGCTCATTATTCCACGCCAGAGGGATACTGTTGCTATGAGCGAAGTTGCAAGTTGCGCTAGAACCAGCATTTGGTATCTGGACGGCTACGGTGTCAAGAGTAGTCTGGTAGTTTTCAACGGAATAAATCGGACCATTGGGTTGAGGGTCATTGCTTGCATATGGATTAACAGCACGGGAATGCTGGGCACTGATATCAATGCCTATCGTCGTGTTAGGGACGGCTTGAGGCTCCTTGCTCGAAGGGGGGGCAAGTGAGGACGACAATGAAGCTTGGTTATCCCCATGTCTAGAAGTAGCAATACCAAAATAGCAACTCATGGTGGATACGTCTGATTTGAGGTTGGGTTCACTCGAGCTGTAGCCATTCTGCTGGGCATCAGTAGTTCCAGGAACAAGTGCCTTCCTAGCCTCAATGCTTGTGCCTGCTCTTTTGTCTAAGCTATCGGCACATTTCCCTGAATCCGAGGCTCCTAAATGAGGCTGTCCTGCATATGAGGCATGCTTTGGCGAGCTGAGTTGAATGGTGACTTGCGACGCACAAGTCTGCCCGTCAAACTTTGGCATCTCAGGGATCAAGGCAGGAGTCAGTGCCAATGAATTGTTTCCCCGCGAGAGAGAGTTGAAGTACGTATCCGCTTGGTCTTGGAGGGCTGGGATGACAATGGGAGAAGGGGGGTGGACGGGCGCTGGGGAGACCAAATCAAGATGGGCAGTTGCCCGGACTTGAGGTGAGTTGTCCGTCATGTGTCCCAAAGCTGCAAATAGCAAACCTACATTCAGTTTGGATCAAGAGGGGATAAGTAGTTTTCAGCAGAATTGGAACAAGGTAAAGTAAACCTTTAGCAATCAACACAAAGTCCGGCCATAACTCTGAAGGGTACACAAGGCTGGATGAAGACCGGTGTGGAAGTGCTGTCTGTCCCAGATTTGAACAGCATGTGAGGTTTAGCCAATATCTAGGTAGGCGGAAGGCTGAATTCAAGGACGCCCTTCCCGGCTGAGAGTTAGTTTGGCACGAGATTGTGATTTATATGCAAATGGTGCAAGTGTTGAGCGAAGCGGTCTTGTGGTATGCGTTTCGGAGACGTGAGTAAGTGAGAGATAGAAAGTGGAAAGAAGCGCGCGCAAACAAACAAACCAACCCTTATGCTCACTCACAGTAGCCAAATACAATATCGAGGAGCAGACGGGAAGAGCTATCTGGGCCAAGATGGATACTAGGGTGGTCTCTGGGCGGTCTACCTGCTGTGGTAGTATGTAAGTAAGTGGAAAGGTACAAGAGGGCACATAAGTCGCAGATTCGCAGCCCGTTTCCATGCGGCATGCGAAGTCGGTGGTCGGCCACAAAGCTCTAACTTTCACGGATATTGCCGTGTGTGGGAGGGTAGGGTGCGTGTGAGATATTGGCTCTTCAAAATGGATCTGTTCGCTGGGCAAGTAGTGGGAGATGGTCGGAGGGGGCTGAAGACAAAGAGTGGCTTTGATAAAGTATCCTACTCTGGCCTTATAGCACGCACCACGCAGGCACTTGGGACGTAGAATCAGAGATAGAGAATAAATGTGGTCCTTATGGATGGCGGATTACTGTGATAAAAGAATTGATTTGACAGGTAGCAGAGATGATGTCAGTCATTAAGACGAGACAGGTTCGGCAAACAGTCATGGCCACCCGGTATCTACATACATAGGTAGGTAGGCGAGGTAGGTAAGCAAGGCCAGAGATGATGCCCACAACAAGCACGAAATCATCTGGGCTGTGTTTAAGGTTGAAGACAAAGACTGCCATACATTTAGGCATGTTCAAAGCACCTTGGTCCTTTTTGCGCAGAAGCATTGAATGCTGTTGTCCCAACATTGTCCGGAAATGACCAAATGACGTGGGACAAAGCTTCCAAAGGACAAACGCGGCACAGTACCATACCGTACTTAGGTATGTATGTACCTAGGTACCTAGTTCACTAATGCAGGGATCCCTCCTACCAGGTACTTACCTAGGTAGGTATCTAGGTTAGCACATAGCAGTACCTACCACATGTACCTGTACCCCATCTTTGTAGGTATCTACATGTAGGTAGGTCGGTTATGTACAGTACATGAGAAAGAAAACGTACATACAACCATGACAGCTGTGTACTTAATAGTTTATGCTCATACACCAAGTCAGGTAAGTAGGTAATTCAGACCTCTGAGTGTGGCATTGGAATATTTTTGCTAAGTTAAGGTAGACTCGAAAAAATTTGAGGCTGATATTAGGTATATCTCCACAAAAAACCTACAGTACATAGTAGATACCAGCTACATAGGTACACATTCTACCTGTAAGTACCATCAATGTACCTACACTACCTAGGTAGGTACCTACTTAAGTAGGTAAATACTACCCTAGGTATGTATGAGGTAGGCACAGTATAACTTTCTCGTTGTTCCAGGTTGCCAGTCTGCATGGCGCACTCCAACAACATGAAGAGGCATAGAACGGGTAGATGTCTCGGTTTTGAATTAATCACTCAACTGTCTTACCTCCCGATGCGAGACCGATGGCAATAATTTCAATTATCCTCTGAATCCACTTTGTTTGAAGCACATGCTCTTGCACCTGCTAGCTAGCAAGGATTGCCTGGAAACAGCTGTAGCCGGTCAAATACGTTGCGAAAGACGACTTCGATATCTCAGTACTCATGCCTCCATGCTCTCTCACTGCAGCTGCTCGTCTGCCATTGTTGGCACCATCCGTACCATCGTCCTTGGGACTGTCGCTAGTGCATGTACGGAGGATCAGGTATCAACCACACGACGCATGGCTCGATCAAGACGATATAAATGAAGCATACAAGTGGCATGCCTCGTTTACGAAAGACTCTTTACCTAAGCCCCATAACACCTATTCTCGGTCCAGCGGGCCGGGCGGTCAGCATGTGAACAAGTATGCAAGCATACATGGCTGCTATCTCAGAGACCTCTGCAATGACCATGCTGACTTGGTTCAGGACTGAGAGCAAAGTAACATCAGTGTGGCCTCTTAGCGAACTTTGCAAGGGATTGCCCAAACTAATGCGCGATGCTTTGAGGTCGTCACGGTACTATGTAGATCGCAGCGACTCAATCATGTTCCACTCGCAAACGGAGCGAAGCAGAACCGCTAACGCGGATGAGAACCCCAAGAAGATGTTCAATGAAATAGTTAGAATATTTCACGAGGTAGTACCCGCACCCACCAGCGAGACGAAGAGAAAAAAGCATGAAGCAGCGTAAGCAACTCTATCTCTTCTGTGTTCTATAAGGGTCATTGATTAGCTACGGAGCTAACCCTATCTCATGCAGAGAAAAGGCTTTCCATCAACGCCGACTCAAGGAGAAGAGACATATGAGCTCGAAGAAAGCATCCCGAAAGGGAGGTGAATAGCACGATATAAACTGCATTCATTGTGCTTGTTGTAGAACTCGCCTTTCTTCATCCGCGGTTCATATATCTAACCAAACGATGAGACTAGGTAGTCTGCATGGTTTAAGTACAACACCAGCTGGCATAGCCCTGTCACTTGAGACTAGGGAATTTAATGGACAAACTGCGTGCGAAGTTTTGCTTTATGAAACATATTCTGCGGATTTCTCTTTCAAAGACTTCTGGCTTGTTCGCTCGTTAGTTTTAGGATGCCTATTGCGTTCAGCTCGCCAAACCAGAGTTTTGAAGCATCCATACCATCATTTAACCCTTGTATAAGAATAAAATAGGTAATAGTATTATCAAAACAGTTCTATTATCTTCGTAGGCAGTGAGCTTTGTGTGTCCCATGGTCGGTGATGGGCTCTCCAGCTTACTACCAAAGTATTCAGGTATGGAAATAGTATCCCATTCACCACCCAAGCCACCTAAGCATCACAGATAGGAATAGGTAGCTGGTTCACTTTTGAAAAATGAACTAAAAACGGCCCTTGTTACCATTTTAATTGCAGAAATTCAACACCAACTCGTGAAAGCGTTTCCTCACCCCCCAAAACGACTTGGAAACAAAGGGCCCAAGTGGCGGCTGGAACCGCTGCAGCCAAAGGAGGGGCAGCTACTCGAGCGGGGCTGCTGGCATCCGCATGCTTCAAGTCATGCAAGCTCAGGGCAAAGTACTGGTACTCATGTTCTCTGTACTAAAACAGTACCTACCTACCTGCCTGAGTACCTACATCAGGCAGATACCTAATGTCGATGGTCATATCGAAAGGACAGTACTAAGGAGTCGTTGAACGTTCAACGGAAAATGTTATCATTCATTAGGTACCTAGGTAGGTAGTCGCACTTGTTATAAGTAAACACTTCAGGTAGATACAACTGGAAGGGAACATTTGGTATGTAGGTAAGTACTCTCGACTCGAGAACCCCCACCCCCCACCGCCCCAATCCCCACCGTTGCCTTACAGCCCACCTATCGCCCTATCGCAGAGTCAGCAGAGCATTCTGGGTAAGCAAGCCTTCGAGGAACACTCGGACAATCTGTGCGATTATCCTCTTCAACAGTCTGCGAGCGCTTCAGTTCATTCCTCCGTCCTTGGCCGCTTTGCTGTTTGGGACAAGAACAGCGCTTTCACCCCGGTTCTCGGTCGTCCCGGCCACATTAGCAGCTGCTTGTCGCAACCTTAACGCCCGTCTTGTTCAGCCGTGTTTAGTTCAATTGTCAGCGTCAACCCGATCGGACCAACAGCATATTCGGGCTCCCTCTCCTTGGCCGACTTCCGCATCGTACAATGAATCAAACACCAGATGCTGCCAGTAATGGCTCATCCGGCAAGCCAACCCCGCAAGTACAACCATGTCGCTACAAGGTGGGCAAGACTTTGGGCGCCGGTTCGTACTCGGTCGTGAAGGAGTGCGTGCACATCGACACCGGCCGCTATTACGCTGCAAAGGTCATAAACAAGAGGTTGATGGCTGGCCGTGAACACATGGTAGGCTTTCCCAGCCCGCGCCATACAGCATCGTCTCGGGTCTAACCACACCTTCGTACCAGGTACGGAATGAGATTGCCGTCCTTAAGAGGGTCTCACTAGGCCACCTGAACATCCTCACCCTTGTTGATTATTTCGAAACCATGAACAATCTCTATCTCGTGACCGACCTCGCCCTCGGCGGTGAGCTCTTCGACCGCATCTGCCGCAAAGGGTCGTACTACGAGTCCGACGCTGCCGATCTGATTCGTGCTACTCTGTCCGCCGTCGCATACCTCCACGATCATGGCATCGTGCACCGCGACCTCAAGCCTGAGAACTTGCTATTCCGCACGCCCGAAGATAATGCCGACCTCCTCATAGCAGATTTCGGTCTCTCGCGTATAATGGATGAGGAACAATTCCACGTACTTACCACGACCTGTGGGACTCCAGGGTATATGGCGCCCGAGATATTTAAGAAGACGGGCCATGGAAAGCCTGTCGACATATGGGCTATGGGCGTCATCACATACTTCCTTCTATGTGGCTATACCCCATTTGACCGCGATAGCGATTTCGAGGAGATGCAAGCTATTTTGAATGCAGATTACAGCTTCCAGCCAGCCGACTATTGGCGTGGCGTGAGTGACCATGCCAAGGACTTCATCCGTCGTTGCCTGACTGTCGATGCCAACAAGCGCATGACAGCGCATGAGGCTTTGAGCCATCCATTTGTTGCCGGCTACAACGCCAATGCGGATGGTGACAAGGGCCAAAACTTGTTGCCCACGGTCAAGAAGAATTTCAATGCGCGCAAAACACTCCATGCCGCCATCGATACCGTTCGGGCAATCAATAAGCTAAGAGAGGGCCAAGCCCACCACGCTCAGCTCATGGATGGGTCCCGGTCTGCAGAGCCTACGAGGGGCGCTGCTCCCTTAGCTAAGGACAATGGTCCAGCTGTGACCAAAGGTGATTCAGGGTACTCCAGTAATCGCGATGGAGATGTCGAGATGGGTGGTACCGGAATCCCTTCCAGCTTACGACCTGGCGCAGCCGTCAATAAAGTGGTAGAGACTTCCAAAGGTCTCTGGAGCGCAAGCCAGCCACAGAGGTGAAGTGATTTGATAATATTTTTTCGACTGAATACAAGCTTGATAACGGAAGTAACGGCACAGCGTCCTGTTTTTTGATCATTGGGACATTTCATGCAGCAGGTCCATCATAATGACGATTGCTTGACTTTTGAGGGAGGTAGACATGATTAGTGCATGACAGCTTGGATACCATAACAAAGTTGGCGGGAAAAAAAAACGAAGGCAAGCATATCACGCCATGGACATTCAACTTGATGTGAGAGCGACGCAATAACGACAGAACATTTGAACTTAGACTCTCAATACTTATTAGATTCGCGATGTACATAGGTAAAGCGAATTAGCCGAGGGCAGCGGCATCTACTCTGTCTTTTTTCACTTAAGCTAGCTGGTCTAGATGACGATTCCACAGGACGTAGAGGATAAGCAATGAAGTTACGTTTCAGCCAGTATGTTACTTGTTCATCCATATATAGTCTTAGGTATAGACGTCCCCGTACATATGCAGTCATGCGCATAGCATGCGCATGGTAGCATGCGAATACCCGTGCCAAAGCACGGCCATGCATGACATACGCGCAAGCCCACTGTCATGATATTTCGATACCTACCTACAGACTGCTAGGCTCGGCTTATACAAACTATGCGTGTATTCTGTTTTCGCTACAGCCTGGTACCAGCAGATTATAATAGCGTTAGCGTGACCAACCATAAAAAGTGCCTTAAAGGCCGAGCCTCTCCACTGCCACGAAACCTCTAATGCAGTGGTCCGGTTCTACATATCCACCTCGCGCACTTCGTACTCAAACATCCCGTTGCTCGGATGAGCACCCGCGTCCGCGAGTTTCGCGGCCGTTTCGTTCCCGGCTACGGGAACGCGGTACTCGAAGCGCTTTCCGGGCCCGGCGGTGCGACCGTCGGGGAGCGCGTAAGGAAAGGGGAGATACGAGGGGAGCAGGCCTGCCTGGGCGAGAGCCGTGCCCTGATCCCAGTGGATATGCTCGTGGTAGAGCCTGTCCCCGCGGATGTTGACTACGGAGGTGAAGGGGATGCGGAGATGTTTGTGGGTTGGCGGGATCCCGGGGAGACTTTGCGGCAGGGGTTAGTGGGAGTGATGGGCTTGTTGTTGATCCAAGGTGTTGTTATAGCTTGCTTGGTTAGGGGAACGTGGATGGAAATGAAAATGACGTACAGCCAATCCACAACTTGATCGTGCGTGAGCACGCAGATAAACTCGTCCACGACACGGTCCACCCCTACCGTCCGACTGACTAGCTCCAGTCCCGCGTCCGCGGGATTACTGAAGATAAAGCGCTCACGATAGAACTTTGTCAGCGCCTCGCGGCCCATGCCGCCCGTCAGCGTGGGCACGTGGTTCACGTACGGCTCGTCGACCATGGTGCCCATTGTTTGCGCCACGGAGCGCGCCGCGAATTCGAACGCCGTGTGCTCGTCCCAGATGGCCTCGAGGTCGAAGATCGGGCCCCCGAGGTGCGCGCGCAGGAACGACAGGCTGCGCGTGTGGCTTACGCTCGCCGAGCCGTAGTGGAAGTCTGGCGACGAGGGGAGCACGAAGGAGGCGGATTGTGCCGAGGCGTGGTAGTGCTGGCGAGTATTTGCGCGCGGAGTTGAGGATGTGGGCGCAGGTCCGGCTAGGTGTACTAGTTCTGGTCTTGATGAGAGATCCCAGGGTGTGCTGAAGGAGACGGAAGCTACAAGGCGAGATTCGGCTTCGTAGGCTGCCTTCAGCTTGGATGCGAAGCCTGTGCTGTACTCTGCTGGCTCCCCGTAGACTGCAGGCTCTGTGATTAGTCCTTGGATTCTTCATTGAACTAATATCATACCTGAACTTCCTTGGTTGATTGCGTTGAGGATCAAAAAAGGGGGTGCGGCAAATGGTGCATGATTATGACTCTCTTACCAATTAAACCGAATCGCTCTTTCACATTACACGTCTCTAGCTTTTCCAGAGCCTCTATCGCTTGATTAAACGCCGCCGTGACGTCCCATCCCTCATCTTCCTGCTTCCCGCCTTCAGGGGTAAGCTGTACGACTGCATAGCCCTCCTCAGCCCATTTCTTCTGAGGCATAGGGTCCAATGTCTTGGCCTTCGAGTCGCCTGATTCATTGCTACCCTCCTGGCCATCTTTCGGCGCACCCTTAGACGGTGATGGTGGGTCTCCGGGCGTGATCACCACAAGACCCGGACCGTACCCACGCCGAGTGAGGGGTGGCTGTAGAGTAGCGCTGCCTGCGAGTTGGATGATGGGCGCCGATGGCAGAGGCACGGGAGTTTCTTCTTGGTTTGCCATTTTGCTATGCTTCAGTGATTCTCTCTTCTCGCGGAAAGTGATGTTGTAAAGTTGAGTCTAACTTGCGGATCGCTCGGGTAATTGAACTGTTAAATATACGAGGCATATGCAGATCGAACCAACACATTGAGATTAAGTGGTTCTACAGACCTTCAGTGACCCCACCGTACAACTGTTGGATTGGGCCGACGCGTAGAGTGGTAGCTGTGTCACGATCGTAGGTTCAGGGCATAGCTGTATTGATGCTATGGACGAAGATTCTAAGCTAAAGAAAAAAGGAAGGAAAAGGTAAAGCTAGAATATAGGCGTACGTGGATATATACGGGCGAATTGTTAGTTATAGGTTATATAACTTTATTGATAGGAGCTTTTATATATATGTATAATGTCCCTCCATAATATGTATAGTATTTCAGTATAACTAGTATATATTTAATACGTTTATTATATTTCCCTTTATTAAGATTGAAATCTAAGCGAAAAATAGGTTAAGGACCTATTTATAACGTTATATTTTGATTATAATATTGAAACATAAGTTTGCTCGGCTGACAATTTATTGCGTTAATTGACTCCCGTGATCGGTCCGTCCTGATCATCTACTTCCCTTGTACATAAATAATATCAAAGTTCGTATACCTATACATGGCTTTAGACTTCCTAGAATACAATGGTGAAGCTCAACTATCTCCCCAAATAGTAACGAATGGTCATTGTTAAATATAACATCAACGGTCCCCGAAAGTAAGCGTAAGGTGAACGATTAGTTACAAGAGTGAAGGCCAAAACATCACGAAGTGGTCAGTTTCCAGAAAACAGACTGAACTTCTACAGGCAAAAGGAGCCGCAGTACTAACCGTTAGTGCTCAGCCATATTCGTTGAATCCTTAGAAACGCTGGGAAAATGCATTGAGCCCGAAAACAGTCGACCTTTACGTCGCTGAGGTCTTTCTATCTGTATCCTGCTATCTAGTGACCCGCACAACATATACCGACTCGCAGCACTCCTATAACGCCATGATGACAAATTTCGACGATTTCAAATAGTCTGGGCAATAACACCTTTGGGCACGTCCTGTTTATCCAATACTTCTGGGTTGGCGCGGAATTCATCAGAATCCACGATATCTTGAATGACTTCAAGTAGGTTTCGCTCGACCACAACCGCCGAGCTACTTGTTGGCACGCCATCTAATTTCAAAACTCGAGCCAGATACCGCATCAAGCTTTGAACTCTTCTTCGCTTTTCGTCGCCAGATCCTGCGCCGTCCGCGCTAACACCATGTGTAAAAAATGCAGGGGCATATGTGGCTATAACTGCAGGTTGTCCCACAGAGCCGTCCACATTTAGACTGGCTATAAGCGAGGCCTTTGTCACGACTTCCAGATCTTCCAGTGCCGAATCATACAGATGGGCCGTTTCTAGACTTATGACGCGGCCCATACAAAGCATTCTCATCAGGGCGCGATCATGGCTGTCAGCCACTCTGAGTTGTCTAAACCCTTTCTCCCTCAACTCGCGACCCCGGCGCACTAGTATAAGATCGTACGCATCTCGTAGGCCAATTTCGCCAGCAATGACGCTCTGCGAAACCTCAAAGACGTTCCGATACGCATCTAAAACTGGTTGTATCATAACCTTTGCGCAGGTCCAATCCTCGTGACCGCCCGCGCCGGCAATATCAAGCAGCTGCTCCATAAACCCGAGCTCGAAAATGCGCGGGCGCTCACGGAGCTCAAGTAACGCTGCCAGAGACACAGGGACATTCTCAGCTTGCGCCAATTGGCCGAAGTTAAGCTCAGCACCAAGCTTCATGCCGCGCAAGACGTCGGCCCTCTCTCCCCTCGATAGACGATTGAAGCTAGGGACGAGGCCGGCTTCCACTGCCTTGAAGAGGATATGGTCGTGGTTCTGCGCCGAGATATCCTCACCCGTCTTGGCGCAGTAGTCAGATGCTAGCTGCGGGTCCTTTCCGAGATCGTTGACTACGATGGAGGTGAGCAGAGCGATGAAATCATCGTTGTTTTTCAGTCCGGCTTGGAACATGTCCCGCATCCAATTGAATGACTCCCGTGTTAGGGCGACGGCTTCTGGCTGCGCCCCGCAGAAAGTATCATACTTGTCGTTGTAAAGCCATCGAAGAGATAAAAGACCGACAAGAGTGCGGTTCACTTCATCGAATTGGCGGCCAAATAAGATGTGCGACGGGGACTCCGTGGAGGGAAGCTTCGCATCCGGGTCGTGGATAGAGTATGCCCGTTTGAGACGTTCGAGTTCATTGCCGAATCGGTCGTGAACTAGACGGAGGACATCTTTATCATCTTCTAGAACGAAGAATGACGTTTTGTCTAATTCGCTATATAAAGTATCGGTGCCTGAAGCCGACATGGCTGCTAATTGATGAATTCTTGTAGAGGTGACCGTTGGTGTCTTTGTCCTATGAAAGCTGAATGCCGTAAACCACTAAGGAGCCCGAACGTGATGCGAATGGCATAGCCTTCAGCCCCAAGATTATTCTTAGATCAACATAACGTCCAAGGACGGAATTTATACACGATTGGTAATTGTGAGCATTTGCTCGTGATCATACTTGTTCTACCAACACTTTCTTCCATCAGCACATCCCTTAAACCAACACACACTTCTATTAATACATCATTTCAATGACACATGTTTATATCAAAAACACTTCTATTAAGATTTCATGCAACTCATACAATTATCAAATGATTTAGTATCAGGCTCATGGTAACTGAGGCCAAAGGTGGTGCTGCAGGCTCAAAGCAGATTACTAGATATTGCGTCTCACCATCATCAATTTGCATCAATACTCCAGGGTGAGAGGGAGAGCTAGTACATTGGGAAATGTGATCACTAATACCCTTTCAGGTTCTATTCCGTAAGCTAGATGACCAAAAACCAACTGTCTTGGCGGCTGTAGGATTCCGCAGGTACTAAACAGCGGTCGAAGCACATCGACCCCATCCTCAGACTAACAGTGGTGCCTTACGCCCTACGGTAGACGCCAGCGATGAAAGCGAATGACGGATAAAACCCAGGGAGTGCTCCTGGGAAAATAGCTAGGCGCCGACCAAAACCTCCCTTGCTCCCCCAACATGACAGTGGCGGGGTCAGCAGCAGCGCAGTTCGCTTCAATTGAGGAGCTTCTCCTAATCCTTGCTCATCATGTGTGTCGCTCATCATACGCCATCGATAACTGTACACAGTTTGCTTACGGGCTATAGGTCAATGACCATGGCACTCTCTGGTCCCTCTGCCTCTCGAGCTGGAGGTTTAACTGCGTTTTCACGCCAAAGTTATTCGAACACATAATAGTTCGCGCCGAAGAAGACGACGATGGGACAGGCATTCAACATACTGTTGATGGCTTACTAGCAGGGCCATACCTTCATGACCTCAGGCACTTGCATTTGATAATGGGAAATGGGCCCGACTATCCTAAGACGATTTTAGATATGGTAAAGGAACTGCTTAGCCACACACCACTCCTTAAAATCTTCACGTAGGCCCCCTTTGTCATGGCATTTGGTCACGCAGATATTGACAGAAGGAAACAGCTGGGATTCCGAGCATGGCGAAATTCCCGTCTCCATGCTGGTGCACCTGAGCAAGCAGTGCGCACAGCTCGAGGAATTACACCTGAGCTCCGGGGTCACAGAGAATCACTTCCGCTATGGGCTCCGGAATGTCCCGGATAAGCCGGTCTTCGAAAACATACGGATTTTCACGTGTAGCAGCATCGCGACTTGGCATGCATTCTATATCCTAAACCAATGCCCGAATGTCGAGATCGTGGAAATGACGCACATGGAACACATGCTGGCGCTGGGGTGGATGCATGGTGGCAACTACCATGGACATCTTAAAGCCCTGATCGTCCGCGAGGAGTTCATCCGCGCACGTTCTGGAAGACCACTGAAGATGATCATGTGCTATTCGCGAATTGCAAGGGTGCTCTACGGGTGTGAGGTTTGTGATAGCCCTGGGATGAATACGTACGAGCTACACAACGATAAGTATACCGAGGTATGGCCTTGGGCCGCCGGCAGAGCCAGGCAGTTTCTCTATCCTGGGCAAGTGAGACATATCACATATGAATACCCTTACCCAGAACCGTCTGAAATGGATATCCCATCCCTAACTATTAGAACAATATATTAGCCCGGGCATTTGCAATGACCCAACCCCAGAGATGTATGCATTCAAGGATCGCTAGAATCTTTGATCATTATCATCTCCATTACAGAGAAGACAGGCTCTTGAAAGTGAGGCACACCCTAGACGTCGTGAAAGCCGATGCGATACAATACCTAGATAATATGGTGGAGGGATATCCTGCCGACGGGGCACGTGAATCTATTGTCATTCTAGCTGAAGTTATGCTCTATGTGTATTACAATTGTTCCCGGTAGATTTCATGCGTCAAAAGCCTTCGTTGCCGGTGCCCATTCCAAGTCTTTCTGCTCAGAAACGAGCGTAAGCATCTTACCCTCATCGACAGCCGCTTGGAGGTTCTTCAACACCAAGAGTTCCACTACGTTACCACAAGTTAGCTATGGTCATGTCAAGGAAAATACCAACACATTTTAGGCATGCAAGAAGTGATTCAGGCGTAATGTTATAACGGATGAGGTGATATAAAGGGATAAACCCGGGTATTACTTACTTTCGCGCGCCGTCTCAACCGTATATGTCCCGACATGAGGAAGCAGGAACGCTCTCTCATTTTTGACCAGGCCCGGATGAATCTCCGGTTCGTGCTCATACACATCTAACCCTACAGCCGATACATGACCGGAATCTAGCGCCTCAACGAGCGCGGCTTCGTCAATGAGAGCGCCCCGCGCCGTGTTCACGATCACGACGCCGGGCTTGGTGCGCGCTAGTTCCGGCGCGCCTATGATGTGGCGCGTCGACGGGTTCAGCGCGAGGTTAAGAGATAGCACATCTGATCTTGCGAGTAAATCGTCAAACGACACGTACTCGGCGTCTTGTTCGAGTGCGGGGTCCAGACGTCGACGGTTATGGTAGATGATGCGCATACCGAAGGCGCGCGCGCGGTGCGCGAATGCTCTTCCTATCCCCCCCATCCCGAGTATCCCGAGCGTCTTGCCTTTGGGATCGTGGCCGCGCGGTGTATCGCCCATCCACTTACCTGCGCGAAGGGCTGTGATGGAGAAGTGCGCCACTAGACGAGGTCAGCATAGATCTGATATTATACCACGGTCATTGAGCCTATCTCTAGATGCTTCCAGTCCATGTAGATTCACGCAAGGGCTTCACAGCTATCAAGAGAAAAAGCAAGAGAAGTCATGTAGAGCGAACTCACTTCTTAGTGCACCAAGCATGAGAAACACGCCCACGTCCGCCGTAGCATCATCAACAGCAACGGGCGTATTCGAGACCGCAATCTGTCGGCGCGAGCAGGCATCTACATCGACAGTGTCGTAGCCGGCGCCGTTATGCGCAACATACTTCCAGGACTTGGGCAGGGCGTCGACAAGTTCGGCGTCGAAGCGCCCCGTATACCTCGTCGAGCCGTTCGATCGGTAACACGCCACCACGGAGTCGTAGACGCCGTCACGGCAGTTTGCCAGGAACTCCTCGCGCGTCCCGGACGGGAACTCCAAGAGCGTGTACTTGGAGCCTAGCGCCTTCCACTCCTGCATCGCGTCCGACAGATTGCCGATGCGCAACACCGTGGGTGCCATCGTGATTTGAGAGGGATGATGCTGTGCTGGGGTCTAGGTTTACGCAGGTTCCATCAATGCAAGTAACTTGCGCAGCTCAAAACTGCTAAAAGATAAAATAGAACAAAGTAGACACAAACTCTATTAATGAAATCGAAGACGGAATATAATATTCATGTAGTAAGTACTCACTGTCTCTGTTATTCTAGCCTTGTAACTACATTGACGATTGCCAAGGGCGACTTCATCGGTGTTGTCTCCGGCCGAGGCGCCCGGATATCGGAGCTCGGTGTATCTCAACGCAATATTCATGACATGTCGAGAGGCACTAAGTGGGCCTGGCTACGGATGACCGTGCAAAGAGCGGAGGGACGCCGGAAAACCACAACCGAAAGATAAGGGGCGATGTGCGACCGGTGGGCGTGTATCCAATCCAGAAACCCGCGATACCATTTCTGCCGACTCAATTTATACTGAACATCTTACATCAATACTCGTAAATCACATCTTGAAGTGGACAGACAGCTATACCGATGCAGTACTACATTAGTGAAACTAAGCGTAAGTAAATACAGCTTCATAGTTTGGCTCGTCGCTGCTCCGCCTCAGATAATTTCTATTTCCTCAATGAGTGACTATTTCGAACCGCTCGTTGTACTGCAAGCGAGTGGATCTAGCAATGTCACGGCCAAACCCTTTCTTCAACTTCCAAGTTCAACTTTTCAAAGCGCTGTTAGCAACTATGCAAATGGTCGGGACTCGAAAAGAATCCCACAGAGTATGCTGATCGGTGGACTTCTGCCAAACGCGTCATGCTGTATTTCGTTAGATGATCTGCATTCAGAATTAGGTCCAGGTAAAATACCCTGAATTACACTTGTTCCACATCATTATTCTGTATAGAAGTCCCCCGGACAATCATTGGATATTGTATGACTACATCCGAGATAACGCCTGTAACTGTAGTAGAAGTCAAATAAGCCTCAAGGACAATGTCTCACAGGTTTCATCAGCTTGGTATTAACGCCTCATTCCAGGAACATTCGGAAGAGGAATAGGTGTTTGCCTCGCTGTCGTAGGTGTCATAGCAGTTGACTTGGGTGTTTTCTCTTGCTTCACCTTGTCCTTTTTCTCTTTGCCTTTAGAAGACTTTTTCGATGGTGTGGCTGATGGATTAGGAGCCTGAATAGTGGCCTGTTTTTTGGCACTCGATCTTTCCGTAATCTGTTCAGCCTTGACTCGTTTAGCTGATTGATCATCAGCGCCCGAATGTTTTCGTTTTCGATCCCCATTTGCCAGGCCCGATTTCGTCGGTTTCGATTGACTGGCTGGTTTAGTTGATGCGCTCGGCGTAGTCATCTCCACGTCAGATCCACTCTCGGACTCGCTATCTGAGCTAGAAGACGACTGTACATATGGGTTTTTCTTCGCTTGAGACCCGGATACTTTTGCGGGCGTCGTCTTTGTCGGGACTATATTTGGAATTGCAGGGGTAGGAACACCAATAGGAGTATAACGAACCCTGAGACCTTCGGGCTGTTGTCTTATAGGTTTCGGTACCGGAACGTAATTATCTGTCGCAGTAGCGTGAACTTCACCGCCCGGGCCAAACTTTGCCATGCGCCGTAAGTGAACCGTAGAATCAATGCCGCGATTCACTATGGACATCAGCCTTTGCACAAAGACGAAGATGAGTGTAACTGAAGCTCACTTACAGGATGTATATTTGTCGCCACTACCCGAAGGGATGAGCAACTGAATTTGGGTATTCGTGGCGTAGGACTCGAGATCTAAGCCATAATTGTCGCCATTGTGGCTCAATAAAGCTTCGCCTTTGGTTGCCTTTGATAGATCAATCTCCATATCCTTCAAAACAGTGATAGGGAGAGAAGCCGGTGCGGTGAAGTACCACACCTGCTTGCCCTCTAGATTGGCGTTGCTGAAGAAGTCAGCGACTTCTTTGCCGGGGTTGCCAGAAGACGCTTTGCGAAGCATGAAATCGGAGTTGTTCAACCATGGTGCTCGCGACCTAAAAACGGAACAATTAGAAGGAAAAATAGCAAAAACCGGACGATCAACTCACACTTGAGACATTGGCTCTATCGGGACGTTGTCTTTACTAGACGTATCGACATCCATCTTATCACCGTCACTCTCATCATCACTATCACTTTCCTCACTAGAAGAACTTTGGGCGGTGTTGGCTAGGTTTTGGGTACTGCCCTTCACAGCGGTCTCAGCACTGGTACTTGGCCGACCTTCATCGTCGCTGTCGCTGCTGCTGTCCTCGCTTGATTCACTTGATGAAGATTTGTTCTCAAGGGCTTTATTTCCCGTATTAGGTCCTTCACTCTCACTAGAGCTGTCGCTAGAACTGGTGCTATCACTGCTGTTATTACTCTTCTGCTTCTTCACAACAGATTTGCTTTGGTCTATAACAGGAGGGCGGCTGGAGGAAGAGCCGTCAGAACTCGGCTCGTCTGACTCGGAATCGGATCCAGATGAGGATTCGCCGGCAGGCTTTTGTGCGGATGGTGGGATAGTTCCTTTGGGTAAGGGTTTCGCTGGTGTCGATGCTGGCTTTAGACCGTTCACCTTGGTCTCAGCAGCCTTCTTCTGCTTAGCTGCCTTGCCCGCAAGGAACTTGGCGCGGGCAGCATCAAGGTCGTCATCACTATCGCTACCGCTCGCGCTAGCTGCGGAAGAGTCGCTGTCGCTATCGCTATCGCTGCTCGAATCGACAGGTTTGTTGGCGCCCTTGAAAGGCTTGTTAGCTTCACGCGCACGCGCAAGTGGGGCTTTCGCTTTCGCAGAGGCGCTCTTCTTCTTTTCCTGGCGGACTTTGCTAGCCATGCTGCTAAGCGAGCCAATGTTGGCTTTTGCGCCCCTCATGGTGTGAGATTGTCAATTACATCCAAATACGTCGATAGGTGGCAGCGCGCGAGGAATTGGGAAGATCTGAGGTAGGGATGTTGGGTGGTGCAGTGATGCGGTGCTGTAGAATCGTAGAATCGTGAGATGGTCAAGAAATTTTTGGGAGCTCTACAGGTTGAAAACGCGCCCTGCCCCATCCTGGTTCATTGATTGACCAGCAACCCAGACAGCCCTGTAAGTAATTAAGGCAGAGCTAAAGTTGAACCTAAGCACCACTAAGTCAACTACCTAGCTTCTAGCCTAGACTGAGCCCGGTAGGCTCTTAATCGCGCCGGAATAATATGACGCCGGCACTGTTTCTATCTACCTATCCGCCTACCTAGGTATCTAGTAGGTGCCTACCTAGGCAGATAGGGTAGCAGCAGTTTGTTACACGCTACACAGAGGTAAAGATATATGTCAGGCACCGCCAGCGACCATGAGGTACACAGGCAGGCTTTACAAGTAACAGGTCAATACCCCAACATTCTTGTGCACCAGAAGCGGCTCAGAAATCCCGAGTTGTCATTGCTTACAAATGGTTGTTCTTTAGCTAAACTCATCTTGTGGTTCCGTGACAAATGAGGAAGTCTTGGGGACAATGTCTAGCAGCAAAAGACGGCGGTTGCCAGCCGAGGAATCACCACAGCGTATGTCTACTTTCTCTCGCCCATGCAGATCGTGCGGTCAGGTCTGGGTCCTTCATACTAAACAGCTCTATAGCTTTGAGTGCGTTTGCTCTCAGAAAGAAACTGCTGGCCCAGCAGAGCCAAGCCGTCTCGGCTCCATTGAGCGAGACTACCCTCGCTGAGACTGCCATCTCAGTGAACCCTGACGAGAGAGCGCTTAGCCCACAGAAGAAGGCCAGGAAAACTAGGTCGGCTCAGCATGCGTCTTTACAAGGCACGGAAACTGCCGAAGTGGCAAATGAGCAATCACCCAACCAAGACTTGAATAAGTTGCCAGAGTCACGTCAAAGCGAGGATGATGAACAACCTAGGAGTCCATCACTCATCTCACCTAATGATGACGAGGGGGAGAGACCTGAAATCCATGAGACCCTTCAGCCTGTCAACTTATCTAGCTTCCGCTCGTCAAAAAGTAATTTTCGCAAAAAGGGCAACGGGGTGTGTCAACTGAAGCTAGACGAAGGAGAGGTATGGCTGCGGCCCCTGCTGTCGGCGTCGGAAGCTAATATACTGTATAGAGATTGGTGATCCTCGGGAGCTATGGAGTCCAGGTAGAATCCGGTGAGGTAACCATAAATGGTGCTATCCTCAAGGCGTCCAAAACAATAGCCTGGGTTCATGCACCACAGTCCCACGCTCTCCCAGTGATCCGGTGTACCGAGGAAGCGTCTCTAGAGCTTCAACCGCATCCTGAAGCTGAGAACCTGAAAGCCCTGGGAGTACTTTCACCTATGTTTCGAAAACTCTGGTGTGAGAATCCCAATAACCCCTCTAAAACAAATCAGCCCGACCCCAGCGAAACATTCCGAATCGTAGGTTGACCGACATCTCAAGCATTCCAACTTAGTAAAGCTAACTTTGTAATAGCTTTACACGCTAGACGATGTGCCTAAAAGGGCTGTCTTGCAAGATTTGAGGTCGCCGCCGGAGTGGAATCGAGAAATGGCGGCGCTTGTTGCCTCGAACGAGTCCATACCATCTATCATGATAACAGGTCCTAAATCATCTGGAAAATCTACTTTCGGCAAAATCTTGACGAATCGTTTCCTCACCGGTGCACAGCCCCGAGCCAAGAAACCCGGAAAGGGGGGGGTTGTTATTCTCGATCTCGATCCAGGGCAATCAGAATACTGTGGCGTTGGCCAGTTAGCTCTTGTCCTAATCACCAAGCCCGTGTTATCACCATCCTTTTGTCGGCCTCTTGGTACTCCTAGTATTCGGACGATTAGATCACACGCTTTAGCCTCGCTCTCGCCGGCTTCGGACCCCGAGCTATACACTGAGATGGCCTTGGATCTAGTCACTCATTACCGTAACACTCTCGCGCCATATCCCCTCATCATCAATACACCAGGCTGGATACAAGGTACTGGTCTAGACCTATTAGTTTCTCTCATCCGTGATCTTCGTCCCTCAGAAGTATTCTACTTATCTCAGACTGGGCCAGCTGATGCTGTCGAAGCGCTTGGAGGGGCCTGCCATGTTGCCCGCTTCTCAACCTTGCCATCTCAGCCAAACCAGAATAATCTTCGAACTGCCATTCACCTACGCTCTATGCAGACGATGGCATACTTCCATGCCGAAGTGGCATCACCTCGAAACGACGAAGGCCACCTTTGTTGGTTTCAAAGACCACTCACAGCTATGACCCCATGGCAGGTTCATTTCAGAAGGGCTGGGGGCGGAATTTTTGGTGTTCTATGCTACGATTTCCAGACACAGCCAGACCTTTTAGCGGATACTATTAATGGTGGTATCCTCGCTGTAGTCGAGGTCGAAAGTCCGAAGGCTTTTCGCTGTATTGACGATCATGCACCTCTGCGTAAAGATTCTCTTAGTGGAGACTACTCCGAGTCTGCAATGGACATGGATATCAGCCAAGATGACGAAATCAAATCATCACCATTTTCTTCCCTTCAGCAAAGAATCACCACTCTAACAGCGGAAGGCATCCCATTCATTGATTCGTCACTGGGAGTGACCCTCGATCCCCGATATTCACGGAGTCTGGGTCTAACCCTAGTTCGTGGCATCGATGTCGAAAACGGTAACCTTCATCTTCTGTGTCCTATAGCGATGGAACAGGTCGAAGATGTAAGAAGGAGAGGAGGTGCGATCGTCCTTATTAGCGGTAAATTTGACCCGCCCAGCTGGGCTTACACAGAGGACCTGTACTTCCAATCCGAGGGCGATGAGGTTGGTGGGATGGAAGAAGTTGAATCTCACGGCCAATCAGAAGTTATGGAATTGGGCGTGGGGCGGACGAAACTGGGGAAGCCAACCACTTCGGACATTAGCGTTGAATCAGTGCCTTGGATCCAGGCCGTTACAAGAAACCAAAAGCGCGGCGCTGGATCTAAGGTGTGGAGGGTGCGTCGCGATCTGGGGAGAGTTGGGAATTCATCAGGGTGAACCCGGCTTGGCTAGGTGAATAGAGTATTCAGCTGCGTCAGTCGGGAAAGGCCCCATGAGTAACCAACAAAGACAATTAGCGCTGTTAGCAGTCAAGCCAAGTCAAGCCAACTCGAGAGATCCATGTTATTCTTACAAGCATACTTAAGCACACACATCCATGTTATTGACCGCGAGGCCAGCCTAAGAAAGCCACTCATTGCCCAATTCAACGCCAAAGTCCGTACGTACCATACACCCCGCCAAACCCACCCGAACCCTTTGTCATGCTTGATCATCACTTCTAAGTCAATCATGCATCTTGGTCATACTCCGCAAGCATGCATGCTGGCGGCGACGAGGCATTCGCAGCGGAATTATATTACCGTATTCGGAGATACATAGAAGGGCGATCGACTCACTATTGGGCTTGCAAACCACACCCATCGAACAGACATCTCATGAACGAGCCCAGCCCCTCGGTCCACTTGATGGCGATTTCTTATAAATCGCATTGAACCTCGAGACTTCGCCAGCGGTGAATTCTCATCAATTTTTTCATCTTATAATCGCCGGAAAATGGCGTCGGTACCACAATCCGAAGTCGATGTCCTAATCGTGGGTGCAGGCCCAGCTGGGTTGATGCTCGCACTCTGGCTTTCAAGACTTGGTGTCGTCGCCAGGATCATAGACAAACGAACGGCCAAGGTGTTTTCTGGACAAGCAGATGGGTTAGTTGATCCCGATCATAGCGTCTTATTCTTTCGCTGAAATGTTCTCTAGCTTCCAGGCGCGGACACTCGAAATTCTTGATAGCTTTGGTATTGGTGAGCAGGTATGGAAAGAAGCAAATCAAATGTTCGGTATGCTACACAAAGCGTGACAGTGAATGCACGAACTCTCCACATTTAGTCTTACCCCAACTCACTCGTCCATGGTAGAGGTTAGCTTCTGGAATCCAAACCCAGGTGGTCGGATCCAACGTAATAGCCGCGTGCCGAACAATGTTGCAAAGCTATCACGCTTCACGGAATCCGTGCTACATCAAGGGCGCATGGAAAAGTTCTTCCTAGAAGGCATTGCAGCGTCGTATCCTCACCCTGCTAGTCCCGCTGACCAAATAAAGGTTGAGCGGATGGTCATTCCGACTAGTCTTTCAATTGATGAAGCGAAGGTCGATGACGAGGATGCATATCCGCTGACCGTCACGGTCCAACACCTCACTGAAGAAGAAGCTACGCCGACGCAACAGCTTAGCAACTTAAGCGATGGCCTATTCAGGAGTAATCTTGCAGATGACGACGTGCCTCAAATGATAGAACAATCAAGAGCACGGAAAGACAAGAAAGAGGAAGTCATAAAAGCAAAGTATGTAGTGGGGTGTGATGGAGCCCATTCATGGACGAGGAAGACACTTGGAAAGGACTTTGAGATGCATGGGGAGATGACGGATTTCATCTGGGGTGTGCTGGATATCGTGCCCATCACCGACTTTCGTGCGGACCCTTTCTTTCTCCCTTCAGGCCTATGCTAACTTCAGCTAGCCGATATCCGAAATCGATGCATGATACATTCTGCTTCTTCCGGAAGTCTAATGATCATTCCTCGAGAAAACAAGATGGTGCGTCTTTATATTCAGCTCACAGAAGTTTCTGCCGGCGGTGGACGTATCGATAGGTCTCTTATCACACAAGAAGCTATTTTTAAGGCGGCCCAGAAGATCATTAGTCCATACAAGCTGGACTATCATTACTGCGACTGGTATGTTGTGTTTCTAACTATGAAGATCAGCGATCATTTGGCTAAGATGTGCTTGCTTTCAGGTGGACCGCATACCAGATCGGTCAACGAGTTGGGGATAAGTTTAGCAAGCTAGACCGCGTATTTCTCGCTGGCGGTGAGTTCACATTCTATAATCATACGCCGAAATACTGACAGCCTCTCCAGATGCTGTGCACACCCATTCGCCTAAAGCTGGCCAGGGTATGAATGTCTCGATGCAAGACACATATAATCTCGGCTGGAAACTTGGACTAGTGTGTAAAAAGATCCTTCGCCGGGAGGTACTCTCCACGTACGAATTCGAGGTAAGTACACAACGCATCTCGGCGCACCTGATATATCTTCCCTTAGATGGCTGTGGCTAATTGTGAATCCTTAAATTAGCGTAAGCAAATCGCCAAAGAGCTTATCGCCTTCGATCACAAGTTCTCCAGGCTTTTTTCCGGGAGGCCGGCCAAGGATATCATGGATGAGACTGGGGTGTCGATGGAAGAGTTTAGTAACGCATTCAATATGAGTCACATGGTTCGTATTGTCGTCATTCGTGCTCCTCCGGAGATGGACTACACTAATCATTCGTCACAGTTTACAAGTGGCATAGGTGTGAATTATAAGTCCAGTGCTCTTACTTCTAAGCCAGCCGAACATCGCATGGTCAAAACCGACCTTGAGGTCGAAGCTGACCAGATGGCTGCACATGAACGAGCGCAGAGCACTTTGTACCTGGCAAAGAATTGTATTCCCGGCATGCGTTTCCCTTCTTTCCAAGTCATTGCGCATTCAGGCGCGCAACATTGGCAGCTTCATCATAAGATGCCGTCTGATGGGCGTTTCAGGCTGGTTGTCTTCCCAGGAGATATTTCTCAACCCTCGCGACAAGACCTCGTTAATGATCTCGGCTCCTGGCTTTCAACAGAGTTGCTTTCCAAGTATCCGTCTATCACTCTATCTCCTGGCTCGGACCCCCATGCTGGAACGATGAAGTTTACGCCTGATCGCTCTCCCTCCGTCATCGACGTGCTGCTAATTCACACGGCTAGGCGGAGCGATGTCGAAATGCTGCGCGATTTGCATGAGGTTTATCATCCGTTTGATTCCAAATTGGGCTGGGATTACGATAAGGTCTTCGTAGACGAGGAGAGCTACCATCATGGGAACGGTCGCGCATATGAAGGCTACGGCGTCGATCCTGAGGAAGGGGCATTAGTCGTCGTCAGGCCAGACGGATATGTAGGACTAGTTACAAGTGTGGAAAAGAAAGGGTGGGATGAGGTTGCGAAGTGGTTCCGAGGTGTTTTGAGGACTGTTTAGAAGTTGGATGATTGTCTATTAGATGCTTTCCGTATTCCTCCACGCTTCCAATTCGAATACGCGATGTTCCTTTCCCGCGGTAAACGTAAGAGATTGGATAATTTCTAATACAAGCTTGATGTACGCCCAGTCTATCCAATTGACCCTAATAATGACGGCTCTATATATTTTCCTTTGTTCAATCTAAAACAGAATATGCCTCTTCCTTCACACCAAACATTGCCATTATCGCTGTAGGATTGTAGTATCTCTTTTACGTCATCGCTAATTCAACTTGTTCGACCGAGTCGATGATCTATCTCCATCTACCCCAAGTTCTCGAGCAGCCGATAAACTAGGCAGTAAACAAAGCGAAGCTATTAGACGTCCAACCACGACTCAACCCCAGGGAGTTTTCTATAGCACATGCATCTCATCAAGAGCATTCTCGCCGGGGTACCATATTGCACTGAGAGATACCGCCCTCGCTCCTGAAATGTCTCTTACTGCCAGAGGACAGCAAACCTGCTTGCCCCGTCACTAACCCATGCCGGCGGTCCTCCCGCCTTCTCCCAGTTGATGTTGCAACGAAGCTTACGTACTAACAAATCGACGTTGTCACCAAACGCCGCAGGACCTGTCATTTTTGCCAGAACCATGTGGCTCAAGTTGGTGAACCCGAAAGGGCTTATCACAGCATGTGTCGTCCTGTGTCGTAACGTCGGGTTTGTTCCGCTGTAGCGATACCGGCCGCGTTATCTCACAGGGAATGGCAAGCGAACGCGGTGTAATCCCCCTAGATCAGATACTTGGCTCTAACTTCACGTCTCCGGACAGCTTCAGCGATGGCTGGGGGAAGACACAAGCTGAAGACAAGCTCTAAAACGGCCTGCAGGGAAGCGTTCCTTGCTAGATACCGAGTACTACATCGGGCAATCAAGATATGCAAAGGAACGATGGGCTGGCTGCACGTTTGATTCCTACATCTTATAAAGCACCATGGGTTAGTTACTGCAATTTATTAAGCGCCATTGGTCTTGTTCTTACACTTCTGGTGAGGACGCCAGCTGCTTGAGCTGATCTGCCGTCATCTTTAAGCGCCGCTGCTAATTCGGAATCTGATCAGTACCTGTCTGACGTTTCACAAGCAGTACTTTTGGAAGCATGTGCCTTGGGAACACAGTCGCGGTACCTATTAGTCCATTTCTCCAGCCCCCGTACGCTGAACATGGGTTTTGCTGATTCTCGCGTTCTCTTTCCGTCAGTTCTCACTGGAAACTGCACTTCACTCTCTTCGTATGGTGTGACAAATATTATAGCGACGCAAGCCACAATGAGATGATAACGGCGCAACGACTCGCTGGGAAATGTATTCGAGACATCAGCGGCAGTTTGAGGTCAACTGAGAGTGAGCTTCTCCACATATCGGCTTCCCAAAAAGGTCTCAAGATGCGGTTGACAGACAGCGGGGAAGCGCGCGTGGCACCGGTTCACCGCTCTTCACAGCAACGATAAACGGGTTGTTGCAGCTTACGTGGGGAGAAATGTACGTTATATTAATTGCATGAGCTATATCAGGAGGCAGTACGAAGCTAGGTATTGCCGGCATATCCAAATGCAGTAACGTACCTATGCTTTCTCCAGTCTCATAGGTGCATCCTAGAGGGGTTGTTGATATTATGAAAACGTAGTGACGATGAGTACGGGGTTTTGAGCCCTACCTATCTCAATCCCAACACCCCTAGGGTTTCGCTAAGAACGAATTCATGGCGCAAGCTTGGCTTTGGGGTTCTGGTTCTGATGACTTCTTGATGCAAAGGTAGTTCTAGATCTGGGTTGAGCTGCAGAAATGAGAAGACCCCTTACAGCTTCTGGGGTATACTGCACAGATTATCGTGGTTCCGAATGGAGGGTCTTGTCCTTCTCACTGTTGGATATTTGAGGTGGTTGGATCAATTTCAATCTACTTACTAGAATCAATTCTATGATTCTGACAAACGTGATGCTGTTAGACGGCGCTATCAAGTAGCCGTCCCGAGGTCAGGACTTGAAGCTCATCACACCTGTCTAGGCCGAACGCACCTAAGACGACCACCAACTCCACTAAGGTAGATTATATGTTCGTTCCTAGCGCATAATTCGTCTATCGTTCCTCCTCCTCAGTGCCTCCTCCTCAGTGCCTCCTCCTCAGTGCCTCCTCCTCAGTGCCTCCTCCTCAGTGCCTCCTCCTCAGTGCCTCCTCCTCAGTGCCTCCTCCTCAGTGCCTCCTCCTCAGTGCCTCCTC